CAAACAGAGGTATCAAGGATTTCATAAGTGAGTTGAGGAATATGGTTAACAATAGTAAACCATCTATGTTCGCCAACCAACAAGGTCTTGAACAAATTAAAAAGGTGATTGACGGTCTGCAAAAAACTCCGTTCACTAACCGACAATTGAGAGAAGCCGTCGGCCTAATCAGGCAGGAGCTTAAGGCTCTTAGACAGAAGTTGAAGAAAGAGAAGATGACTGAGAAAGATGATGTGATAAATGCTTTGAATGACTTAAAAAGCTTTGGTCTTGGAGATAGTGATTGGACATTAGGCAACACAAAATGGAAAACTACGCACAATTTAAAAAGCATTGAGATTGACCTTAGAAATCAAAATGCTATTTTGCCTCAGCAAACAGAAATAATTGGCAAGGCTATAAAAGAAATTCGTGGACAACTTGCATCAATTGGATACAGGTTGAATGATTATGGATCATATGATGACGTCGTTGACCAGTTGCAAAGGTTGGCCAATTACATCGGTAAAGGCAAAAGCACAAATGGATACAGTCTCAATCTTCAAGCAATCCACGATGAAATTGCAAAGTTACAATCCGGTGATTTTACATCCAATCCACAAGCCATAGGGGAAGCCAGCGAGGCAATCAAGGATGCACTCAAAGAGCAGAGGAGCACGCTGGACAGTGACGTCATTGAAAAGCTGGGTGATTTGAAGGACAAAGGGATGAGTAACGAGGCAAGTTGGAATGATGATAACAATGCTAAGGGCTTGGAGAATATTGAAAATGGCCTTCACGCTCAACAAAGTGAGTTGACTGGACAACCCAAGAACATAGAGCAAGGCGTCACCCAAATCACCGCGGAGCTTGACGAGCTGAGGAGTGAGTTGCAGGGTAAGGATGCCGGTGAGCCAAAAGAAAGAGGCGTGATCAAGAATATGGAATTTATGATAAAGAAGATTGGTAAGGACAAAAATGAAGGTCTTGAAAAAATCAAGAAAGACATTGAAGATCTCAACAGGGATACAGTCCCTGACATCAACAAATTCCTTGGTGAACTGTGCGCCAAGATTGCGAGCGAAGCCGGTAGTGTGGATTGGAAGTTGGGGCTTTTCAAAGAAAATAACATCGACAAAGCACTCGAAAAAATCAAGAGTGACATCCACGCCCTCCGCACCGGTGACCTCCAGGAGGCCATCGCCATGTGCGACAAGTTCCTAACCAACGCCGATTACATAAAATGGGAGAAAGTAGAAAACATTGAACGCTTCGTAGACAGTGAGATTGAAAAGGCAATCGCGGAGCTCAGCAAGCAGGCGCGGCGGGACTACGTGGAGTCCGCCAGGGACGCGCTGAAACACTTCGCCGACAAGGTGGCCGAGGAGCTGGGGGAGCTGCCCGGCGAGATAAACAGGGATCTCTTCGTGGGCTTCAAGGGCTTCATGAAATACGTGTACGGACATTTTGATAACCTCGAAAGCGTGATGGAAGAGAAGGAAATTCAAGCATTGTCCTCCGCGTTCCAGAATTTCTTCGCGCCGCTCGACGAGTATCTCCGTGAGGAGATTGAGAGAGTGAAGAAGCAGAGTGACGACGAAAAGAATCCCTCACTGCCGAAGTCGGAAGAGCCCTACGCCGCCGAGTGGGACGCCGTGCACAGCGATGTCAACGCCCTGCTCAATTACCTCTGCGTGACGCAGGGCTTCGACGACAGGCTGCGAGGCCTGCTCCACAACCTCACCGACGCGCTCACACAGCTGACTCCGCAGTCGTTCCAGAAGCCCTCCACTCCCACGCTGGACTCCGTGAGCAGGGGACTCAGTGCCTTCGTCGGGGAGTTCGGCGGTGCGTACGTCTCTCGCTACTCGGGAGCGCAGTGCCGGGAGGCTGACGCCGACAAGTACGCCAAGGTGTTGCTGAGCATCATCCCGATGACGCACGAGGCGCTTAGCAACTTGGCAGAGAAATGCGGCAACAACTGGCGAAGCTATAAGATATGCAAGCTCACCGGCGACGACAGGGACAACGGCCTGGGCAACTACCTCACCAAATGCGGCTTCAAGGTGTCACCCACCGACGGACTCCAGGTGGGGGAATTGCAAAATCGTTTTTCGGGCGGCGCAGTTCATGAGCTACTTGCATCCCCAGTTGCCGACGTGACCACCAAAATGCTGGTCGGTGGCAAGCCTGCAGAAAATGGAATTAATGTCGTAGACTTAGTTGCGCTTTTCTATAACATGCTTTGTCGCTACCTCCAGGTCTGCCACCTTAAAGTACACGAATCGCCCAGGTACCCCTGCACGGTGAGGGACATGTTGTCTTGGCTCTCAGGCCTGCAGTACACTCCGGTGGCGGACAAACTGCCTGACCACTGCAGGGCGTTGCTCAACCGCAAGTGCGACGATAACGATGCCCCCAACAGGGACGACGATGTCATGGCACAGTGTATTAATAGTCTGCCTTATGTCATAGCATCAGCGTGTTCACACGCCGACTCTCTGCTAATCGCAATCCAGGGCCACGGCCGCGGCTTTGACCTCGCCGCCTACCCCTACTCCGTCGACTTCGCCAACAACACCGCACAGCTGTACTACCCGGCCGACCCCGACGAGCTGCTTGATATGCTGAGACAGATAGTCTGCCGTCTGTGCCCCGTGCTGTATTTCCTCTACGCCCAGTGCTGCCGTGCCACCGCCACAACCAAGGGCTGGCGGGAGTGCCACTACGGTCGGCAGGTGCCGTCCTCCCACTGGCAATGTAACACTCTCGACAAGCAGCCCGATGACGCAACTCACAACTGCCCGCCCACCTCGCCGCTCCAGTCCTTCCTCACCGACAGCTGTCCCAGCCTCCTGCCGCATAAGCTCAGTGTAGTTGACAATGCCATCGAATGCGTCGACTGCCCCGGCAATCAACCCGGCCAGCAGTGCCTCACCCCGCTCGGCTTCTGGGACCTTGGACTCGCTGCCTCCATGGCACGCTCCGGCAGGGAACTTGCGAAGTCACTCGGCCGTCTCTGCAGTGACGCCGACGCCTGCCTCTTCCAACTCTGCCGAACGCTGCGCTTGCTGTGCCCCTCAGCACCGCAGTCACTCGGCGACGTGTTCGCGCTGTTCAGTCATCTGCTGAGAATGTGGAACCACGAATCGTCCCGGCGTGCGTACTCTCACCATGAGAGTTACCAAACGCACCTGAACGGTGAGGCCATCGACAAGCTGTTCCCTCTGTGGACACAGCTCCACGGCAGTTACCAGAACAGCAATCTCACCAACGCGCTCAAGGCACTCGCCGGGCACGACCATGACAACTCAGGGCACAATGCCCTCTCATGTCTCTCCGCCGAGCCCCCTTGTCAATCACCCAGTGGATGCGCCCCCTTCCTCCAGCCGCTGGCGCTGCACGCCAACCACACCTTCCCGCAGAAGCACGCACAGCTGTATATCTCGGGTAGTGTGGCTGGCATGGCAGTTATGGGATCTGCTGGAGTCCCTGCTAGAAGCCTTGTCCAACATCGACTGCACGGCCCACGGCTGCGCCACGTGCCTCTGTCAGCCAGGCAACCACGGCGACACGGACGCCTGCCACTGCCCGTCACTCGTCGAATGCGGCGGACCCCTGCCGACGCTCTACCGCTACGGATTCACATACCGCAACGCCCACGCCCTGCTCGCCGGCAGCCAGAAGATACGGTGCAGTGACCTCAACGACCAACTCACCAAGGCACTCCACTCCGACCACTTCACTCAACTGTTCCACCAGATCGACCAACTCCTCTACACCATCCGTATGCCCTTCCTCTTCGCCATCACAGCACTCTGGCTCATCGCCACGCTCTACATCCTCCACTCACTCCTCTACCGCATGGACGTCCTCCGCATACGATCTCACCTCCTCACCACCAGGGCCTCCCACCAAGTCGACGTCAAGGCGCTGCTCGCCGGCAGCAGGAGAATGCTCTCACTCTACAAGGACGTCGACTACTTCGACGACGACTTTCACTCATGACAGTAATTATTGTAGCTACATTTGCATTCATCTCTTTGTGTTGCCATGTCTCATCACGTCTCTCATCGTGACTGTATGTCCCGCCTTGCCTAGCACCCAACTCACTGACTAACCTGATGTCCAACCTAAAACCTAACCCATAATTTAGTAGACGCGTTGGTATATTCGTTGTTTCACACGCCACCCGTGAACGTGTCCACGCTGTTGCCTAATTTCAAAACACCGTGAAGATGACTGCTTGCTATCTCCCCACCGCTGTGCCGGGCGAGTGTCTCACACGTCCGTTACCATGTGCGTTCGCAGGCAGTGAAATCGTTGTGACGGCCATTGTACAGCCTAGTCAAGCGGCATCTATGACCACATTGTGGCGGCCGGTAATACAGTAGTCACTACCCTCCCAGCTGCACTCATCGTTTGCCTCGTCACCTATCTCCTCAGATGGCGAACATTAATACGCTGCGTGATTACATCAATTAGCATTGGATATTGATTGAATTACTATTCCTTACAACATGGTTGCATACATTTGTAATGTTGCTGTAATTACGTGGCGTCATTGTACCCACATCCTTCATCTCCATATCATCCTTTTACTCCCGACTCCAGTAACACTGCACATGTTGCTCTCCGCAGCTGTCCGGCCACCTCCACGACATGACACCAGTAGCATCATTCAGTCCACTTAGCCATCCAGTAGCAAACTCACATTCGACGTAGAAGTACTACCGGCGTCACCTTCAATTTCGAGGTTTAGGTTTAGGTTATGCTTTACGTCAGCAACACCATACTTGCCACCTAACCAAACGTCTTACCTAACAGGTAATCTAGCATTTGACCAAATACCTAACCTAACGTCTGACCTAACATGTAACCAAACGGCTTACCTAGCACTTAACCAAATGGCATACCTAGCACCTGACCAAACTGCTCACCTAGCACCTAACCACATGGCTTACCTAGCACATAACCTATGATGCAACCTACTCGCTGCTTTGTCATCTCCCTCCTCCCTCTGTCGCCTTGCCGTCACTCCCAGAACAGCCTCCTTCATCCCTCCTTTCAGTGGATTGAGGCTGCGGACGCCGCCGTTCAGGCGGCTAAGGTGAAGGCGGAACAGGTACATGGGAGGTTGGATCATAGTGATAATAATGGTCATCCAAAGACTCCGATTGGTCAAGGAGTTAAGCAGATTAATGAGGCTAAAGGAAAAGTTAGTCAAGTTGATGGTCAGTTGAAACGTATTCACAGTGATTTAGGTAACTGGAAAAATGCGGCAAGTGACGTCCTTTCCACAGCGGTTAAGAAGGCGACGGAAGTCCATGGCAAGTTGGATCCTGATAAAAGTAAGTCGACGCTTGGTGGTAAAATCGGAGAAATTGAAGACGCAAAAAACAACATTATTAGCGCAAATTCACAACTGAAAACACAAGTCGACAGTCTGCGTTCTTGGATCACCACGGCGGAAGATATCCGTGCTAAGGCCCAGGAAAAAGCGGAAGAGGCTTATAGTAAGTTGGACGTTCACGCCGAATTGAGTAGGAATGTTCAGAAGATTGTGGACGCCAATAAGGTAATTGAAGGAGTTCACAAAGGCCTGAATAGTGTCGATAAAAGTTTGGAAGCGTGGAAGGAGCAGGCTGGGAAGGTGCTTACCGGGGCGATTGACAATGCTACGACAGTGTATAATGGTTTGAATGATGGTCAGACTGTAATGACAAATATTGAAGGGATTGAGAAACACAATCAGGAAATTCAGCGTGCAAATAAAGAACTCCAAGGACATGTCTCAAGTCTGGGAGACTGGAACGCTGCCGCCAAGGATGTTATTACCAAGGCGGAGCAGAAGTGTGAGGAGATACTTAAGAGGGTGGATGACAAGACGAAGGGATCAGGCCAAGTTGCAATTAAAGAGCATGCTGACGAATTGAAGAAAAAAGCGGAGAGCCTTTTGAACGCTTACAGCCAGGCGTATCCTAAAGTAGAAGGTTTGAAAAAGCAAGTTGAACAGGCCATCACAGAGTTGGAAGCCGGCATGAAAAATGATTTGGATAGGCTGCAAAAGGATATTGTGAGCAAGATGAAAAAGCATGTTGGTGAGATGCTTTTGCAGATTAAGGGGCAAGTGGAGAGCATTAAGGGGAGTGACACAAGTAGTTGGAGTGGCAGCGAAACTCCAAGTGGTCTGGAAGGCATTGTCCACGGTTTGGTGAACAGCTATGCCAGTGGGTTCCGCAACAATAATTTTGCAGAAATTGCCAAGGGCTGGTTGGAAGCCACAATCTTGAGGTACAACGGCACCGTGCGGAGGATACTCGGCATGGAGCAGGAGTTTGATGAGACGAGGAAGGACGGTAATATCGAGGCTTTCGCAATTGGAATGAAAACGAGGCTCAGCAATGATGTTACTAGTGTAGCCAAAGAGGCGTTCCAATCTGTTAATACCGTCAGTGGCGGCATCACTAAAAGTATTGAAGCTGTCCAAAAGCTTTGCAATTATTTTGCCAACGCGCTTGATAAGGAACTGTATACTAGCACAAAAAAAACAGTCGAGTATGTTAAGAATGACGCGCTGACTAAGGGATCCCTCGTCGCTAAGATTCAAAAATGCGTCTGCGAGTGCGGTAATTGCAACAAGCAGGATTGTGGCAAAAAAGCCGCCGCGGAATTAATAATGTGCGCGCTCACCTCTACAGTGAGACAGGTCGGCAACGAACTGAAGTCTGTGTTACTCGATAACAGGGTGGGAAATTACGGCAAGGGCAGCAAAAGCATCGCACAAGAATTGGACAAAGTGGTTGGTGAGACGAAGAAGCTTCACCAGCATCTCGAAGCGGCGGAAAAACAGACAAATGATCAACAACGTTCCACCTACGGTGACCCGAACAATGAAATTCTGAAGAAAGTAAACGAGATTGAGCAACAGGTTAAAATGGCGATGAAACAAAAAGGCAACGATATAGAGGTTGAAGAAACAATGACGTCCTATAAAGAAAAGAGAGAAAAACCAGCAAATGATAAAGATGGCCTCTACAAGAAGCTGACTGAACAAGACATCCCCCAGGCGATGGAGCCCTTCAAGCAGATGGGTGGATTCAGTCAAGAACAATCTGAACTTAAGGCAGGAAAAGTAGAAAAGGCTAAAAATGCAGTCCAAGAACATCTCTCCAAAATAACCTCCGAACTCCAAGAGATCGCCGGGATGGTTAAGAAAGGGAAGGACACGCTGAAGAAGAATGAAGACGGCGTCAAGGACTACCTGGGGGATTTGGAGAAGATGGTTACGCAAAGTGGTGAGTATGAAATTAAGTCTGATGTAGACTCACAGTACAAAAAAGTCCGAGGCCTCGATGCAATTTACACTACGATCAACGAGCTGCAGACCGGTGACTTCAAGAAAACTGATTCAATCGGCACAGCCGTCTCAACAATTAAGACGCAGCTTGGCACTCTCAGAACTACCCTGAAAATTGAAAGCGCTGATAGTAAAGATGATGTAATTGAAAGGTTAACAGATTTGAAAGAGAAGGGGCTTGGTGGCCATTGGACTATTGATAATGGAGACTGGAAAACTACCAAGGGTCTAGCAATAATCCAGGAGCGACTTAAAACACAGAATGCTATATTACCGGTGCAAACGAATGACATCGATATGGCTATAAAAGAAATCAAAGGTGAACTTGCGCGGATCGGCATCAAGCTGAATAATGTCCACACTGATCATGACATTCTAGACCAGTTGAAAAAGCTAAATAAGCATCTTGGTACATATAAGGGTAAATATGGAAGAAATTACACTGTCAACCTTAAAAGCATCCAGGAGGCAATTAAGGACCTTCATGACCATGAGTTTAACGAAAAACCAAAGGAAATCCAAACAGCCAACGAAGCAATCAAAACAGCACTCAAAGCGCAGATGTGCACGCTGGACACTGACGTCATCAAGACGCTGGGTGATTTGAAGGACAAAGGGATGAGTAACGTGCCAAGTTGGAACATAAATAATAACAAAGCAAAGGGCTTGGAGAATATTAAAGATGGCCTTCACGCTCAACAAAGTGAGTTGACTGGACAACCCAAGAACATAGAGCAAGGCGTCACCCAAATCACCGCGGAGCTTGACGAGCTGAGGAGTGAGTTGCAGGGTAAGGATGCCGGTGAGCCAAAAGAAAGAGGCGTGATCAAGAATATGGAATTTATGATAAAGAAGATTGGGAAAGGTAAAGGAAATGGACTTGATAAAATCACAAATGAGATTGACAGGCTCAACAGGGAGACAGTCCCTGACGTCAACAAGCATCTGGGGGACCTGTGCGGTGTGATTTCGGACAATGCTGCAAAGACAAATTGGCAACTGGATTATTTCAAAGAGGATAACATTGATGATAAACTGCAAGGCATAAAGAAAGACATTCACACCCTCAGCACCGGTGACCTCCAGGAGGCAATAGAGATGTGCGACAAGTTCCTCACCGACGCCGATTACATAAAATGGGAGAAAGTAGAAAACATTGAACGCTTCGTAGACAGTGAGATTGAAAAGGCAGTCGCGGAGCTCAGCAAGCAGGCGCGGCGTGACTACGTGGAGTCCGCGAAGGACGCGCTGAAACACTTCGCCGCCAAGGCGTCCGGGGAGCTGGGGGAACTGCCCGGCGAGATAAACAGGGATCTCTTCGTGGGCTTCAAGGGGCTCATGAAATATGCGCACGGACACTTTGACAGCCTCGAAAGCGTCACGGAAGAGAGAGAAATTGCCGTCATATCCTCCGCGTTCCACGCTTTCTACGCCCCGGTCAACGAGTATCTCGGCAGTGAGATCCGGAGGGAGCACAGGGAGCGTGAGGGCGAAAAAAGTCCCCTGCTCCCCAAGTCCCAGGATCACTACGCTGACAGACTTAGTGCAGTTCACACGGCGCTCAGCGCTCTGCTCACCCACATAACCGGTGCGCAACGCTACGGCCATGAGGTCCGTGGTCTGCTTGACGCGCTTGACAAGGCACTCGCCGGCCTCAGGCCGGAGTGCTTCGCCAGGCCAAGCACGGCTGTGATAGACGGCGTGACGGACGGGCTCAGTGCCTTCGCCGCCGAGCTGAGGAACGCGTACATCAGTGCGTACTCCGGCGCCGCGCTCACCGGTGACTTAGTCAGCAGTGAGGCCGTGAGCGAGAGAAGCGTCACCGTGTTGACGCCCTACGGCGAGAAGCTCTCTAAGGTGTTCCTCAGCATAGTGCCGTTACTTGACACTTCATTCGCCGTGTTGAGGATGGAGTGTATGAGCCTCGCCGGACAGCATCTCAACAGATCTACGGATCTCGGCAATCTCCTCGCCGGGATGGGCTACAGAGTTCCAGACGACGGCAAGCAGGACGGCGAGTTGAATAGGAACGTGACCGGTAGGGGAATTACCATGCTCCTTGTCGGCGATTATAAGCGTGTCTTCAACTCTGATAAGGACACTAAAAATGCTCTCGGAATTCTTGTCCAATGTCTCAATGATTACTACAAGGCGTGCCACTACGCCACTTTATCCGCCACCAAGTCACCATGCAACGTCTACGAGATGCTCTGCTGGCTGACAGGCCTTAAGTACAACAGTGTCTATGATAAGTTGCGTAAATGCATTAAATTGTGTTACGATGAGCAGACGAAAAATAGCCTACATCCCACCACTGTTGTTGCCGACGCTTTAGTGAACGCCGTTGACAGGCTCGCCGCAGACTCTCCCAGCATCCTCACCAGGGTGCTCGGCTTTGGTGACGCTATGACAACCTACGCCTGTGACTTTCATAACAACTCCACGCAACTGTATTACCCGCAGGACGGCGACTATTGCCTCCATCTGCTGCTTCACATCTTCCGCCTAGTGTTCCCCGTGCTCAGATATCTGTTCACTCAGTGCTCTCTCCCCGCTCACCACGGCGGCTGGGCGGAGTGCAGGTACGGCAAGGGTGTCCCACCATACACGTGGCAGTGCGCTCCTCCACTCACCGCCCTGCCCAACCCTCACCCGGAGTGCTCCGATAAATCGCCCCTGATGTCCTACCTCAATGACTGCCTCCCCGGCCACCTGCCTCACCAGTTGGTCTCTGTTGGCTGCGAGCCTCAGTGTAACACCTGTCCCAGTGCACCAAATGGCACGCCCTGTCTCACGCCCCTCGGCTTCCGGGGTTTCTCCGGCAGCACCAAGACGGGCAAAGAGATATGTGAAGTGCTGACCAAATTCTTCGCCCATCGTCATCTTTCATCACTGCTCAGCCTCTGTCCCAGACCGCCGGCCACCCTGGCTGAGCACATAGGCTTCGCCCTGTCACTCGTCAACGACTGGCACGACGGCAATATTGTGCCCAAGAATTCCCTCCAACAGGCCCTCGAGGCATCCGCCACGGACTTGTCACTTCGCCTCTACAACCAACCCGGTGACCTGACCGCAGCGCTCACCGCCGCCTACGGCTCGGACTCCGCGAAACACGGCGGCTGCAAGCACCCGCACCTGACGCACCTCGCAGGCACTGACGTCTGCACCAGGCACCAAGCTTCGCCCTTCCTCCAAGCCCTCTGCCGCGACTCCTACGACAGCCTCGCCCACCGACACTCAGGCCTCTACCTCTCATGGGCCGTCTACCTCCCGTGGACACTCTATGATCTGTTGCTGTGCCTGTACACCGCTTTCTGCAACATCTCCTGCCGCGACTGGGGCTGCGATGCGTGCCTACAAGAAGGCCCCTGTGACCAGGGCAGCCACGGTATCCTAAACCCCAAGGCACCTGCCTCCGGCTGCCACTGCCGCTCCACAGTCCAGTGCACGGGCGTGATGCCGACACTCTACCAGTATGGCCTCACGTTCGGAGATGCAAACGCTTTGATATCACGACACAAGACTTGTTTCAGCTTCCACACTCAGCTGAGCCGTGTCCTCCACTCTGAGTATTTCAGAGTACTGTTCAAGGAGTGTGACGAGTTCTTGTGGAAGACCAGAACACCATTCTTCTTCGCCCTCGCAACGCTCTGGCTCATCGCCACGCTCTACATCCTCCACTCACTCCTCTACCGCATGGACGTCCTACGCATCCGCTCCCACCTCCTCACCACCAGGGCCTCACACCTCATCGACGTCAAGGCTTTACTCGCCGGCAGCAGGAGAATGCTCTCGCTCTACAAGGACGTCGACTACTTCGACGATGACTTTCACTCGTGACAGTAATTATCTTAGCTGCATTACATTTACATACCTCTCTTTGTGTTGCCGTGCCATGTCACGTCTTTCGTCGTGACTGTACACCGTGCCTTGCCCAGCACCTAACTCACTGACTAACCAAGAGGCTAACCTAGCACATAACCTAACATCTGACCTAGCACATAACCAAACGTCTCACCTAGCACATGACCTATGATGTAACCTACTCGCTGGTTTGTCGTCTCCCTTGCCGTTTGCCGCCTTGCCGTCACTCCCAAAAAGCCTCCTTCATCCCACCTTGTCGGTGGACTGAGGCTGCGGACGCCGCCGTCAAGGCGGCCAGGCAGAAGGCGGAAAATGTGCATGACAACTTGGATCATAGTGATAATAATGGTGATCCAAAGACTCCGATTGGTCAAGGAGTTAAGCAGATTAAGGATGCCAAGGATAAAGTTAAGCAAGTTGATGACGCGCTTCAAGCTGTTCACACCGATTTAGGTAACTGGAAAAATGCGGCAAGCGGCGTCCTTGGCGCAGCGGTTGGCAAAGCAAGAGACGTGCATGGGAAGTTGAACCCAGATGAGACAGATGATCAGCATAAAATTGGTCAGAACATTGATAAGATTCACACTTCCAACGAAGCGATTAAAGAAGCAAATATAACGCTTGGTAAACAAGTCGGCAGTCTGCATTCTTGGATCAACACCGCGGAGGACATCCGCAGTAAAGCTGAGCAAAAGGCCAAAGAAGCCTATGAGAAGTTGGACGTTCACGCCGAATTGAGTAGGAATGTTCAGAAGATTGTGGATGCAAACAAGGCAATACAAAAAGTTAATAAAAGTCTGAATGGTGTCCATGGCAATTTGGGAGAGTGGAATGAGGAGGCCAATACAGTGCTTCAAGGGGCGATTGACAGGGCCAATGAGGTGTATGAGAATCTGAATCCCGAGAAAAACGGCGGCGGTACAAATGGTCACGTTGGCATTAAAATCGGTGACATTGAAGATAATAATGCTGCAATTAAGCAGGCGAATGAACAACTTAAAGAACATGTCACCAGTCTGGAGCATTGGAAGACTGCGGCTGAGAAAATCGTCCAAGCTGGGCAAAAGAAGTGTGAGGAGATACTTAAGAGGGTGGATGACAAGACGAAGGGATCAGGCCAAGTTGCAATTAAAGAGCAGGCTGAAGCATTGCGGAAAAAAGCGGAGAGCCTTTTGAACGCTTACAGCCAGGCGCATGGGAATGTTACTGGTTTAGTAAGTAAAGTTACTGAGGCCGTTAAAGATTTGGAAGCCGGCATGAAAGATGATTTGCGGAGGCTGCAAAAGGATATTGTGAACAGTATGAAAAAGCATGTTGGTGAAATGCTTTTGCAGATTAAGGGGCAAGTGGGACAGATTAAGGGGAAGGATAGGGGTGATTGGGGAAATTCAGGCGCCTCAGGTCTTTTGGGAATTGAGGAGGCAGTGCATAATTATGCCACTGCTTTTCGCAACGATAATTTTGCAGAAATTGCGAAGGGCTGGTTGGAGGCCACTGTATTAAAACACAACGGCACCGTGAGGAGGATACTCGGGTGGAAGCATGGGCATAATATGACGGGTAACATCAGTGCTTTCGCAATTGGAATGAAAACGAGACTCAGCGATGATGTTAATAGTGTAGCCAAAGAGGCGTTCAAATCTGTTAATATCGTCAGCGGCGGTATCACTGAAAGTATTCAAGCTGTCCAAAGGCTTTGCGAAGAAATTGCCACGGCGCTGGATAAAGAGCTTTATACTGCTGAACGAAAAACAGTCGACTATGTAAAGGAAAAGGCGTTGAACGTGGGACGGCTCGTCGCCAATATTAAAAATTGCGTCTGCGAGTGCGACGCACAATGCACAAAATGCAAAAATGGAGAGTGTGGCAAAAAAGCCGCCGCGGAATTGATAATGTGCGCGCTCACCTCTACAGTGCGGCAAGTGGGCAACGAACTGGAATCTGTATTTCTCGGCGGCGGTGCAAAGGTGGGCGGCAACAGAAGCATCGCACAGGAATTGGACAGCGTCGTCAGCCTGACTAGGACGCTGGACGATAATCTGGGAGAGGCGGAAAAAGAGGCGAAAAATGATCATCAACCTTCCACCCCCGGCAACCAGGACAATGAAATTTTGAACAAAGTTAAGGGGGTTGAGCAGCAGGTTAAAAGTGCGATGAAGGAAACGACGAGCATTGATGAGAACTTCAAACAAATCATGCCACTTTATGAAGCGGCGAAGGGTGAAAACGGTGTCGGTGACCATAAATATCACAATTTGCTGAAAACTGATATCCCCAACGCACTTAAGGACTTTGCGCCTCATGTCGACAACGGAAAGAATGAAGGAATCATAAAACAAAAAACAGAAGAAATTAAAAAACATCTCTCCACAATAGACGGAGAACTGCAAGAAATCGCCAGACTGGTAGACAAGGGGAAGGGACAGGCGCCGGCAGGCCAAAAAGACGGCGTCAAGGATTACCTGGGGGATTTGGAGAAGATGGTTACTAATAAAAATGGTGAGCATAGTATTTCCTCCAAGCTAGATGATGGTACAGAGAAAAAAGTCCAAGGCCTCGCCGCAATTCAGTCCAAGATCCACGGCCTGCAAACAGGGACGTTCAAAGAGAAACCCGGCGAAATCGACTCAGCCGTCGAGCAAATTAAGGCGCAGCTTGGCACTATCAGAACCACGCTGCAAAATGAAAATGGAGCAACAGATCAAGATGTCATCAAAAGACTGCAATATATGAAAGTCACTGGGCTTGGTGACAGTGACACTGCAAAATGGAAAGTTGGACAAAATGATGTTAATGGTCTCGGGAATATTAAGAGTGACCTTGAAAAGCAGAATAAGCAACTGGGCGAGCAAAACAAGATTATTGGAGATGCTGTAAGAAAAATTCAGTTGCAACTTAGATATCTTGGATTCAAGTTGGACCATGACTTCGTCCCCGATGACATCATGGATCAATTGCAAAAATTAAAAAGTGAGATTGATAAAGGTGGAAAAGGAGGACTGCAGAAAATTCATGACGTGATAAGTGGACTACAAAAAGGGGAATTTACTTCGAACCCCAAAGCCATCGGAGAAGCTGGACAACGAGGCGACAACTGAGTTGAACATAAATAATAACAAAGCAAAGGGCTTGGAGAATATTAAAGATGGCCTTCACGCTCAACAAAGTGAGTTGACTGGACAACCCAAGAACATAGAGCAAGGCGTCACCCAAATCACCGGGGAGCTTACAAGGCTGAGGAATGAGTACCTAAATAAGGATGCCGGTGAGCCAGATAAAAGAGGCGTGATCAAGAATATGGAATTTATGATAGAGAAGATTGGAACAAATGATGACGATCCTAATAGCCTCAGAAAAATTAAGAAAGAAATCAACGATGTCAAAAACACTCAGGTTCCCATTGTGACCAGTAAGCTCAATGAGCTGTGCGCCAAGATTGCGAGCGAAGCCGGTAGTGTGGATTGGAAGTTGGGGCTTTTCAAAGAGAATAACATCGACAAAGACCTCGAAAAAATCAAGTCACAAATTGACACCCTCCGCATAGATGACCTCCACAAGGCCATCGCCATGTGCGACAATTTCCTAACCAACGCCGTTTACATAAAATGGGAGAAAGTAGAAAACATTGAACGCTTCGTAGACAGTGAGATTGAAAAGGCAATCGCGGAGCTCAGCAAGCAGGCGCGGCGGGACTACGTGGAGTCCGCGAAGGACGCGCTGAAACACTTCGCCGACAAGGTGGCCGAGGAGCTGGGGGAGCTGCCCGGCGAGATAAACAGGGATCTCTTCGTGGGCTACAAGGGCTTCATGAAATATGCGTACGGACATTTTGACAGCCTCCAAAACGTGAGGGAAGAGAAAGAAATTGCCGTCATATCCTCCGCATTCCACAGCTTCTTCGCGCCGCTCGACGAGCATCTCCGTGAGGAGATTGAGAGAGTGAAGAAACAGAGTGACGACGAAAAGAATCCCTCACTGCCGAAGTCGGAAGAGCCCTACGCCGCCGAGTGGGACGCCGTGCACAGCGATGTCAACGCCCTGCTCAATTACCTCTGCGTGACGCAGGGCTTCGACGACAGGCTGCGAGGCCTGCTCCACAACCTCACCGACGCGCTCACACAGCTGAGGCCGCAGGGCTTCCAGAAGCCCTCCACTCCCACGCTGGACTCCGTGAGCAGGGGACTCAGTGCCTTCGTCGGGGAGTTCGGCGGTGCGTACGTCTCTCGCTACTCGGGCGCGGAGTGCCGGGAGGCTGACGCCGACAAGTACGCCAAGGTCTTTCTCACAGTGCTGCCCACACTGCACGACGCCTTCACCAGGCTGGCGGAGCAGTGCAAGACTGGCGGCAAGTGGAGGGATTTGCATATTAATTCAAGCAGTAAACTCGGCGCTTTCCTCCAACGCTGCGGCTACAAGGTCTCCACCTCTCCCTTTGACCAGGACGGCGAGCTGCGCGACGACTGCAACGGCCGCGACGTGTATGTCCTGGTCAGCCAGAAGATTAAGGAGACAGAAGCCAACAAACACCTCAAAAAATGCCTGGCCGTACAACATACATGTAATCTCCTACAGCTCCTCAAATGCCTCTGCAACCACCTCCACCAGTACTATAAGACGTGCCACCTCAAACTGCATCCCTCACCCCGGCCGCCGTGTTCCATCTACGAGATGCTCGTCTGGTGCTGCGGGCTCCCGCACAACGCCGTGTACCTGGGCCTCAACTCCGAAGCACTGCCTTTGCTGTTCGAGGCGGAGGAGCCGGACTCCTGGGACTCCGAAGTGGCCCTCACTGACCTCAGCAGCCTGGCGCTTAAGGCCCACCCGCAGCACATCACTGTCACTTCCCTCACCGACGCACTCACGGAGGTCTGCCACCGATCGCATTCAGTGCTCACCACCCTACTCGGCTACGGCCACGCAGATGGCATCTACGCCTGCGACTTCAACACCAACCCGGCAGGCCTGCTCTATCCCTGTGACGCCGACGCTTTGCTCTGCCTGCTGTACGATGTGCTCAAACGCCTCCACCAACAGCTGTATCTCCTCTACCGCCGGTGCCTCTACAACACCCGGCACGGAGGATGGCTTGACTGCTGGTACGGCCGGGGAGTCGGTGGCTCCAGTTGGAAGTGCAACACCATGCAGTGTGCCAACCAAATATGTGACCAAACCTGTGACCAAATATGCAACCAAAGCTGTGACCAACACCCCAAGTGCGGCGTCAAGTCGCCGCTCCAGTCCTTCTTGGAGGACGGCCTGGTGGGCTTCCTGCCGCATGACCTGTCCCCCAAGGACACCTGCGTCAAGTGCTCTGCCTGTGACACCAAGTCACCCGGCCTACCGTGCAAGACGCCCATGGGCCTCTCCAACATTACCAGGCTGGCCTCCCGTGCCTCCCAAGGCAGAGCCATCATGGACGTCCTCGGCGCCTTCTGCGGCGGCGCTTCATCCCCCCTCACCAGGCTGTGCAGTTTCCTGACTTGCCTCCTCACTCGCCCACCTAGGACGCCAGCCGACCTGTTCGCCTTTTATTATCATCTCTTACAGGACTGGACTGACGGCGTTGCCCACCGTAAGGCGGCCTTCGAGGGCGCCGTCGGCACTGCGTGCTTCTGGCAGCGGGGCGTCACACTGGACGTCAGTACAATCTTCGGCAGCAGCAACCATGGCTCCGAGCAGAATATGCCTCACCTCACCGGAGACCTCTTCTCTCTCGTCGAGTGCAACGGCAGTCCAGGCTCCTCTCCGTCACACCCCTGCGGCCCCTACCTCAAGCCCCTCGGCCACGACGTCCGCGCCACATTCGCCAAGGCACACGCCCACCTCTACCTCTCGTGGGTGGTATACCTCACGGAGACATTCTACAACTTCCTCTGTTCACTGCTCCAAGACTGCGAGCGCAACTGCGCCGACGCCACGTCCAACTGCCACGCCAGGAGCTGCGACAACGACTGCACAGCCAAACGACGGCCACTGGCCCCGGACTCCAATCACCTTGAATCATGCCCCTCCATCGCGGACTGCCACCACACCACGCCCACGCTCTTCCAGTACGGATTCGTCCTCAGGGACCCACACTCCCTCGCCGGCTCCACCAGCGGCCACCAAGGCAAGCGCACCTGCGAGGATTTCTGCCGGGCACTGCAAGTCGCCGTCAAGCACATGAACCCTCTCCACAAGCTGGCGCACGAGACCATCCCCGAGTACCTCTACGGCATCCGTGCCCCCTTCCTCTTCTGCATCATAGCGCTCTGGCTCACCGCCACGCTCTACATCGCCCACTCACTGCTCTACCGCATGGACGTGCTGCGCATCCGCTCGCACCTACTTACCACCAGGGCCTCACACCTCATCGACGTCAAGGCGCTGCTCGCCGGCAGCCGCAGGATGCTCTCACTATACGGTGATGTCGATTACTTTGACGATGACTTTCACTCATGACAGTAATTACCGTAGCTACATTACGTTTACATTCCTCTTATTGTGTTGACATGCCATGTCATGTCCTTCATGGTGGCTGTACCTCGTGCCTTGCCCAGCACCTAACTCACTGACTAACCAAGAGGCTAACCTAGCACGTAACCAAACGGCTTACCTAGCACCTGACCAAATGGCTTACCTAGCACCTAACCAAACTGCTTACCTAGCACCTAACCAAGAGGCTTACCTAGCACCTAACCAAACTGCTTACCTAGCACCTAACCAAGAGGCTTACCTAGCACCTAACCAAACGGCTGACCTAGTACATAACCAAGTGGCTTACCTAGCACCTAACCAAACGGCTGACCTAGTACATAACCAAGTGGCTTACCTAGCATCTAACCTATGATGTAACCTACTCGCTGCTTTGTCATCTCCTTTTTCCATTATTCAGCATGCCCTCAGTCCCCAAACGCCCTCCTTCATCCCTCCTTTCAGTGGATTGAGGCTGCGGACGCCGCCGTTCAGGCGGCTAAGGTGAAGGCGGAAAATGTGCATGACAACTTGGATCATAGTGATAATAATGGTCATCCAAAGACTCCGATTGGTCAGGGGGTTAAGCAGATTAGGGACGCCAAGGATAAAGTTAAGAATGTTGATGAACAGCTTCAGGGGATTCACACCGATTTAGGTAAGTGGAAGTCTGCAGCAAACAGTGTCCTTTCCACAGCGGTTGGCAAAGCAAGAGATGTGCGTGAAAAGTTGGATCCTAATCAGAAAGATGACATGCATCCTATTGGTCACAACATTGACAAGATTCACACTTCCAACGAAGCGATTAAAGAAGCAAATGAGGACCTTAAAAGCCATGTCGACAGTCTGAGTACATGGATCTCCACCGCCGAGGACATCCGTGCCAAGGCCCAGCAAAAAGCAGAAGATGCTTACAAGAAATTGGACGTTAACGCTGAATTGAGCAACAATGTCAAGAAGATTGTGACAGCAAATGAGCAAATTAAGAATGTTAATAAAAGTCTGATTACTGTCCATGGCAATTTGGAAAAGTGGAATGAGCAGGCCAAGAAGGTGCTTGACGGGGCGATTGAAAAAGCGCAGAGTGTACATGATGCTTTGCTAGATGGAAGTAAGGAAGTTGGCCAGAAGATTACGAGTATTGAGATTGCCAAGGGACAAATTGAAGAAGCGAATTCACAACTTGCTGGTCATGTTAAGGATTTGAAAGATTGGAAGTCTGCGGCCGGGAGTGTCATTGACAAGGCAGATAGGAAGTGTAATACAATTTTGGAGAAAGTTAATACAGAGAAAAGTAGTCAAAAAGGTCCAATTTTGAGCAAGCTGAATTGTTACGAGATGATGGTACAATACTTTTGCAGGCTGCGAAGCAGGCCAAGGAGCAAGTTGGGAATTTGGTCACCGATGCGTTGGAGGCTGTTGTGAGAATGGACTCAGATCTCAAGAGGGATTTGAAGAGCGTGAAGATGGAGATTAAGGAAGGGATTAAAGAGGTTATTACGTTTTTGCAGGTTACTAAGTTGGATGGTTTGGTGAAGGATGATTTGGGGGAGTTGAGGGGGAAGATTGAGGGGCTTGGCAAGGATGTGGAGAGTAATGGTCTTGTTAAAGCTCAGTTGGAAAAACTTGCGGAAGAGAAGAAAAATCTTGAAACAGTAACTGGCAAGACAACTGGCACAATTGATAAGGAAATGGGTCAACTTGAAAGTAAGTTTAATACTTACATCAAGACTCCGCTTAACCTTCAAGTCACTGAAGTTGACACGGCGATTGGGACGCTTGGCGGGAAGTTTGAGTTGAGTGGCGGAAGTGAAAAGAAACTTGAAGAGATTTTTAAACAGATTAAAGGAAAGCTTGGGGAGATTAAGGGGGAGGCAGGAATGTTTGCTCCAAATGGTACATGGGAAAGTAATAATATGGGCTCAGGCCTGGATGGTATTAAGAGTAAGGTGCATAATTATGCGCAGGCCTTTAGTGGAGATAGATTCGCGGATATCGTGAAGGGCTGGCTGGAAGCCACAATCTTGAGGTACAACGGCACCGTGCGGAGGATACTCAATATGAAGCAGGAGTATAATGAGAGTAGAGACAGCAATATAAAGGAGTTCGCGATTGAAATGAAAAAGAGGCTTAAAACAGATGTTATTGGTATAGCCACAGATGTGTTCCAAAATGTTGATGTCGTTAGCGGCACAATTCAACAAAATATCACCGCCGTCCAACAGCTTTGTGAAACAATTGCCAACGCGCTCGATAAGGAACTGATGGAGGGCTCAAAAGGAATAGTCAAGCATGTTAAGGATGAGGCGTTGCAGAAGGGACGACTTGTCGCTCAGATTCAAAAATGCGTATGCGAGTGCGACGTACAATGCGCAAAATGCAAAAATGGAGAGTGTGGCAAAAAAGCCGCCGCGGAATTAATAATGTGTGCGCTAACATCTACAGTGAGACAGGTTGGCAACGAACTGAAGTCTGTATTTCTCGACAACAGGGTGGGCGACTGGCACACAGGAAAAAGCATCGCAAGCGAACTGGATAACGTGGTTAACGAGACTAAGAAGCTTCACAAGAATCTGGAAGATGCTCAAGCCGCGGCAAACGGCCAACAACCTCCCACCTCCAGCACCCAGTACAATGAAATTCTGGAGGGCGTTAAGGGGATTGAGACGGAAGTCAACAAGGGGATGAAGGGCAATGGTACTAGTACTCTAGAGGTTAAGACTACGATGACAGAATATGAAAAGAAGAAAACAGAAGAACCAAACGGGAAAACAGGCCTTTACAAACAACTTACCGAGAAAGCCATCCCCACCGCGATGGACGCTTTCAAGTCTGTCGACGGTTTCAAGGACCAACTCAAAGACCAAAATGTCGATCCACAAAAACGTGAAGTCGGCACTCACGTCTCCACAATCGAAAAAGAACTCCAAGCCATCGCGTGGTTCGTGGATAAAAGCAAGAACAGTAAGCCCGACGGTTACAAAGGTCTGGACGATGATGGCATCAAGCAGCACTTGAGTGACCTGAGGGAGGGGCTTGGAAAGGGTGAGTGGACAGGTAAGAAAATCAATGTCGGTAAAACTCTGCAAGGCCTCGACGCAATCAGGGAGGCGATTGAAACGCTGAAAGCAGACACGTATGATGACAAAACTAAGCACATCGGAGATGCCGTCCAGACAATTAAGACGCAGCTCAAAGGGCTCAGGGAGAAGTTGAAGAATTATCCAAGCAGTGGGCCAGGCAACGGCGTAATTGACGAGCTGAGTGAGATGCTAGGCAACGGGCTTGGTGAAGACAAAGGTAAATGGAAACCCAAAAGTGCCGGTACACTCGATGGTCTCGGGAGCATTAATCAGCAGCTTGAGGAGCAGAATGGGAAGCTGCCTGGGGAGACTAAGAAGATTGAGGCGGCCGTAAAGGAAATTAGAAATGAGCTTAGGAAAATAAAGATTGATTTGAATATTACATACAAAACTGATGATCTGATGGACGAGTTGTGGCGGTTGGAGAAGGCGATAGGAAAGGGAAAGAGTAGAGGACTGCAACAGATCCATAATAAGATCAATGAGCTCCAAAGCGGAGATTTTTCTGACAAACCAAGAGAAATTGGAAACGCAAATAAGACAATTAAAGCAGAACTCAAGAGGCTTCAAAATGCTTTAGAAGGCTCTGCAGGCGACGACGTCATTCAGACGCTGGAGGATCTGATGGGCGCCGGGCTGAGTAAAGGTGAGTGGGATAAACATGGCAGCAAGAAAGGTCTCCAAGGCATCCAGGAAGATCTAAAAGGTCAAGAAAATATTCTGAAGAGACAACCTGGTGAAATACTTCTTGGCGTCCAACAGATCACCGCGGAGCTTGACAACCTCCGAGAAAGACTCCTTAAAACAGACAATGGAGCGAGTCGGGCAACCGAAAAAGGCGTGATGAACAATCTGGAGGAAGTGATAAAGCAGATCGGCAACGGAGAAAATACAGGCCTTGAAGGTATTAAAAAGGAAATTGACACCCTTAACACTGGCACAGTCCCGAAGGTGACTGAGCATCTTGTGAAGTTGTGTCAAGAAATTCAAAATGCAGGGGCGTACGCCGGTTGGAAGCTGGACACTTTCAATACTACAAACATCGACAAAGACCTCGCAAAAATCAAGACACAAATTGACACCCTCCGCATCGGCGACCTCCAGGAGGCCATAGACATGTGCGACAATCTCTTCAGACTGCTGCAGCCACAAGCCGAAGCACAGATCATAAGCCGTATCAACAAACACATCGACGATGAGATTAAAGAAGCCGAGGAGGCTTTGATCAAGGCAGCGCGCACGGACTACGTGGACTCCGCGAGAGCAGCCCTTAAAAGCTTCGCCACCAAGGTGGCCGACGCGCTGCAGGGGCTGCCCGGCGAGATAAACAGGGATCTCTTCGTGGGCTACAAGGGCTTCATGAAATACGTGTACGGACATTTTGACAGCCTCCAAAACGTGAGGGAAGAGAAAGAAATTGCCGTCATATCCTCCGCATTCCACAGCTTCTACGCCCCGGTCAACGAGTACGTCAGCAGTGAGATCCGGAGGGAGCACAGGGAGCGTGAGGGCGAAAAAAGTCCCCTGCTCCCCAAGTCCCAGGATCACTACGCTGACAGACTTAGTGCAGTTCACACGGCGCTCAGCGCTCTGCTCACCCACATAACCGGTGCGCAACGCTACGGCCATGAGGTCCGTGGTCTGCTTGACGCGCTTGACAAGGCACTCGCCGGCCTCAGGCCGGAGTGCTTCGCCAGGCCAAGCACGGCTGTGATAGACGGCGTGACGGACGGGCTCAGTGCCTTCGCCGCCGAGCTGAGGAACGCGTACATCAGTGCGTACTCCGGCGCCGCGCTCACCGGTGACTTAGTCAGCAGTGAGGCCGTGAGCGAGAGAAGCGTCACCGTGTTGACGCCCTACGGCGAGAAGCTCTCTAAGGTGTTCCTCAGCATAGTGCCGTTACTTGACACTTCATTCGCCGTGTTGAGGATGGAGTGTATGAGCCTCGCCGGACAGCATCTCAACAGATCTACGGATCTCGGCAATCTCCTCGCCGGGATGGGCTACAGAGTTCCAGACGACGGCAAGCAGGACGGCGAGTTGAATAGGAACGTGACCGGTAGGGGAATTACCATGCTCCTTGTCGGCGATTATAAGCGTGTCTTCAACTCTGATAAGGACACTAAAAATGCTCTCGGAATTCTTGTCCAATGTCTCAATGATTACTACAAGGCGTGCCACTACGCCACTTTATCCGCCACCAAGTCACCATGCAACGTCTACGAGATGCTCTGCTGGCTGACAGGCCTTAAGTACAACAGTGTCTATGATAAGTTGCGTAAATGCATTAAATTGTGTTACGATGAGCAGACGAAAAATAGCCTACATCCCACCACTGTTGTTGCCGACGCTTTAGTGAACGCCGTTGACAGGCTCGCCGCAGACTCTCCCAGCATCCTCACCAGGGTGCTCGGCTTTGGTGACGCTATGACAACCTACGCCTGTGACTTTCATAACAACTCCACGCAACTGTATTACCCGCAGGACGGCGAGGACTGCCTGCACTTGCTGTTTCACTTGCTACGTGTATTGCTCTCAGTGCTCAGGTTCCTGTCAACTCTATGCTCACTCCCTGTTCATCACGGCGGCTGGGCGGAGTGCAGGTACGGCAAGGGTGTCCCACCATACACGTGGCAGTGCGCTCCTCCACTCACCGCCCTGCCCAACCCTCACCCGGAGTGCTCCGATAAATCGCCCCTGATGTCCTACCTCAATGACTGCCTCCCCGGCCACCTGCCTCACCAGTTGGTCTCTGTTGGCTGCGAGCCTCAGTGTAACACCTGTCCCAGTGCACCAAATGGCACGCCCTGTCTCACGCCCCTCGGCTTCCGGGGTTTCTCCGGCAGCACCAAGACGGGCAAAGAGATATGTGAAGTGCTGACCAAATTCTTCGCCCATCGTCATCTTTCATCACTGCTCAGCCTCTGTCCCAGACCGCCGGCCACCTTGGCTGAGCACATAGGCTTCGCCCTGTCCCTCGTCGGCGACTGGCACGACGGCAATATTGTGCCCAAGAATTCCCTCCAACAGGCCCTCGAGGCATCCGCCACGGACTTGTCACTTCGCCTCTACAACCAACCCGGTGACCTGACCGCAGCGCTCACCGCCGCCTACGGCTCGGACTCCGCGAAACACGGCGGCTGCAAGCACCCGCACCTGACGCACCTCGCAGGCACTGACGTCTGCACCAGGCACCAAGCTTCGCCCTTCCTTCAATCTCTCTGCCACGACGTCTACAACCATCTCGCCCACCGACACTCAGGCCTCTACCTCTCATGGGCCGTCTACCTCCCGTGGAATTTCTATGATCTGTTGCTGTGTCTGTACACCGCTTTCTGCAACATCTCCTGCCGGGACTGGAGCTGCGATGCGTGCCTTCACGAAGGCCCCTGTGATCCAGACAGCCACGGCGTCCTAAACCCCAAGGCACCCGTCCACGGCTGCCACTGCCGCTCCACAGTCCAGTGCAGGGGCGTCATGCCGACGCTCTACCAGTACGGCCTCGCCTTCAGGGACGCATCGGCGCTGCTATCCCAAGACGCGACGTGCTCCAGCTTCTCCACGCAGCTGAGCAACATCCTCAACTCAGAGCATTTCCGAGACCTCTTCGACAGGTGCGATGAGTTCCTCTGGCACATCCGTGCCCCCTTCCTCTTCTGCATCATAGCGCTCTGGCTCACCGCCACGCTCTACATCGCCCACTCACTCCTCTACCGCATGGACGTCCTACGCATCCGCTCCCACCTCCTCACCACCAGGGCCTCACACCTCGTCGACGTCAAGGCCCTGCTCTCCCGAAGCCGCAGGATGCTCTCGCTCTACCACGACGTCGACTACTTCGACGATGACTTTCACTCATGACAGTAATTATCGTAGCTACATTACATTTACATTCCTGTGTTTCCATGTCACGGCTTTCATCGTGACTGTATCTCGTGCCTTGCCTAGCACCTAACTCACTGACTAACCAAACGGCTTACCTAGCACCTAACCAAATGGCTAACCTAAGATGTAACCTACTCGCTGCTTTGTCATCTCCCTCCTCCCTCTGTCGCCTTGCCGTCACTCCCAAAGCAGCCTCCTTCATCCCTCCTTTCAGTGGATTGAGGCTGCGGACGAAGCCGTTCAGGCGGCTAAGGAGAAGGCGGAAAACGTACATGGGAGGTTGGATCATAGTGATAATAATGGTAGTCCGAAGACACAGATTGGCCAAGGAGTTAAGCAAATTAATGAGGCTAAGGACAAAGTTAAGCAAGTTGATGACGCGCTTCAAGCTGTTCACACCGATTTAGGTAACTGGAAATCTGCGGCAAACAGTGTCCTTGACTCAGCGGTTAAGAAGGCGACGGAAGTCCATGGCAAGTTGGATCCTGAGAATAAAGCTGATGACCATCCTATTGGTCACAACATCGAGAAGATTCACACTTCCAACGAAGCGATTAAAAAAGCAAATGAGGACCTTAAAAGCCATGTCGACAGCCTTAACTCTTGGATCTCCACCGCGGAGGGGATCCGCCAAAAGGCCCAGAAGAAAGCGGAGGAGGCTTATAGTAAGCTGAACGTTCACGCCGAATTGAGTAGGAATGTTCAGAAGATTGTGGAAGCTAATCAGAATATTAAAGATGTTAATACTGCGCTGGGAAAGGTTCATGGAAACTTGGGAGCGTGGAAGCAGGAGGCTGGGAAAGTGCTTGAAGGGGCGATTGCACAGGCGACGGATGTATATGATGCGTTGGAAGATAAGAGTAAGCCGGAATCCATTGGTCAAAATGTGAAAAACATTGAAACTGCTAAAGGACAAATTGAGCAAGCCAATAAAGCTCTTGCCACTGAAGTTGCCAATTTAGGTAACTGGAACGCTGCCGCCAAGGATGTTATTACCAAGGCGGAGCAGAAGTGTGAGGAGATACTTAAGAAAGTTGACCAAAAAGGTAAGATTTATGTGCAAGCTCAAGAGTTACAGAAGAAAGGTACTGAACTTTTGAAGGCTGCGAAGGATGCTAAGCAGGCTGTTGAGCTGAACGTCACTAAGGCACTGGAGGCTGTTGTGAAGATGGACGGAGATCTCAAGAGGGATTTGAAGGATGTGAAACAGAAGATTAAGGAAGGGATACAAAAGGTGATTAAAGATTTGGGAGTTAATGAGTTGGGTAATAAAGTGAAGATTGATTTGGGGACGTTGAAGGAGAAGATTAGTGATGTTACTAAAGATGTTGATGAGAATACAGCGAAAAATAGTGGTCTTGTAAGTGGGCAACTGAAAAAACTGGAAGAGGCGAAAACGCAGTTTAATGAGAAAACTACGGCAATTCAGCAAGCGGAAAGAGAGCTTGAAAACAAGTTTAATGACCATATCAAGACTCCGCTTAACTCTGCTGTCAGTGAAGTTGACTCGGCGATTGGGGAGCTTGGGGAGAAGTTTACTATTAGTGGCAGCAAAAATCCAGGAACTATTCACGAGATTCTTGGACATATTCACAAGGAGGTTGCGGCAATTAAGGGGACGCCGGGGACAAGTTGGGATAACTCAGGTGGCTCAGGGCTCGAAGGGATTAAGTCCAAGGTGAAGCATTATTTTGAAGCCTTTGGCGGAAGTGACGGGAGTAAGTTCAAGAATATAGTGAAGGGCTGGATTGAGAAGACTATTTTGCCGCATAACGGTTTGGTCAGTGATAGGATTAACGACAAGATTGTTGGAGGGAGTACAGAAAACATTAACCAGAAAATGGCAGGTGAAATTAAGGATAATCTTGGCGTCGAAGCAACTGAAGCCGGTCAAACGGTTGAACAAGCAAAAAGCGGCGGTGCAGAAGACATCGCAAAACGCATCCAAGCTGTGAAGGCAGGCTGCGAGAAATTCGCGGATACGCTTGATCAGAAACTGAAGGAACCGGACAGTGCTACTTCTGGCATAGTCTCTAAGGTTAAGGGGCTGTTGACATACATAAAACACGACGCGAAATGCATATGCTATTGCAGTCACTGCAGAGGCACAGAGTGTAAGCAAAACTCTGTCACCGCTGTTATTCTGGGATCACTCTCTTCTGTGTCCAGACAGGTGGGCAACGAACTGAATTCAGTGCTGCTCGAGCCCGAGAGTGGCGCAAACATCGCTGGCATCCTGGACAAGATCACACCCATTGCAGCGATGCTTAGCACTCAGCTTACCCAGGCGACTGAGAGATCCGGCCAATCAAATAATGAAAGCCCCGCCCAAGCCGTGGACAGTAGGTTGGGGGAAGTGAGGGATTTCGTGAATGGGAAAAATGGTGATAACCTTAACAAGATATTCAAGGAGAACGTGATAAATACACTCACTGAAAAGGTTAGGCAACTTCCCGGCGCCGTTGGAGCTTTCGACCAAGAAGCTCAGAATCAGATCAAGGCTGCCGCCAAGACGGCGATTGAGAGGGCGGCTGGGCAGATTAGTGATAATGGTGATCCAAATACAATTGAACTTGGTAAAAATGGTCTCATGGACACTTTCGAGAAAGCACACAAGCAGATAAGGGAGAACCTCAAGACAAAACTTGACGGCCAAGTTGATGAGCACATTGGGGAGGATGATGGGACGGGTGGCGTTAACATTAAGGCCACTAAGCAGTTTGATAGTTACGATACGCACGTTAACCAAGACAGTATTAAGAACGTTAATCCCAAGAAACCGGAAAGCCTAAAGGAGCTAAAAGGCCATCTTCCCGAGAAGATCAAGAACATTAGCAATGATGGTCTGCGAAGCCTCACTGAAGTCATCGGTCAACCAGGCGGCAAAGCAGAAATTACTAAAGATACTTTTGATAAGCCGTTCACCCAAATTAAGACACAGCTTGAAGAGATCAAGAAATTGGTTGATGGTGAACGCTCCGACAGTTCATTTATGGAAGGAGACCCAAATGAAGGCATCAAGGACTTTTTACGTAATTTAACAAGTATGCTTGGCAATGCGTTTTTTGTTGACGGTAATAAAGGTTTAGATGAAATTAAAAAGGCAATTGAAGGTCTGCATAAAACTCCGTTCACTACCCATCCCAAGGCAATTGACACAGCCGTCACAGCAATTAAGGAAGAATTGAGGAAGCTGAGAGGGAAGTTGAAGAAAGATGCAAGTGGAGCGTCAGACAACGATGTGATAAACGCTTTGAGTGACTTGAGAGAGAAGGGGCTTGGTGGTCATTGGAATGGTAACGGCGGAGATTGGAAGGACACTAAAGGTTTAACAACAATCGAGATACAACTTCAGCATCAGAATGCTATATTACCTGAGCAAACAGAAATAATTGGCAAGGCTATAAAAGAAATTCGTGGACAACTTGCATCAATTGGATACAGGTTGAATGATTATGGATCATATGATGACGTCGTTGACCAGTTGCAAAGGTTGGCCAATTACATCGGTAAAGGCAAAAGCACAAATGGATACAGTCTCAATCTTCAAGCAATCCACGATGAAATTGCAAAGTTACAATCCGGTGATTTTACATCCAATCCACAAGCCATAGGGGAAGCCAGCGAGGCAATCAAGGATGCACTCAAAGGGCAGATGAGCACGCTGGGCAGTGATGTCATCAAGACGCTGACCAATTTGATGACCAAAGGGATGAGTGAACAGGCAAGTTGGAAGCAAGATAAAAATGTAAATGGTTTTCAAAAAATCCAAAATGATCTTAACACTCAACAAAGTGAGTTGTCCACTCAGCCCACTGCAATCGGCAGTGGCGTTCAGAAGATCACCAGCGAGCTTGACGAGCTGAGGAAGCAGTTGCAGGGTGAGCAAGGCGCTGACCCAAATGAAAGAGGCGTGATAAAGAATATGGATTTTGTGATAGAGAAGATTGGTAAGGACAAAAATGAAGGTCTTGAAAAAATCAAGAAAGACATTGCCACCCTCAATAAGGACACAGTCCCTGACATCAACAAATTCCTTGGTGAACTGTGCGCCAAGATTGCGAGCGAAGCCGGTAGTGTGGATTGGAAGTTGGGGCTTTTCAAAGAAAATAACATCGACAAAGACCTCGCAAAAATCAAGACACAAATTGACACCCTACGCATAGATGACCTCCAGGCGGCCATCGCCATGTGCGACAAGTTCCTCACCAACGCCGATTACATAAAATGGGAGAAAGTAGAAAACATTGAACGCTTCGTAGACAGTGAGATTGAAAAGGCAATCGCGGAGCTCACCAAGCAGGCGCGGCGTGACTACGTGGAGTCCGCCAGGGACGCGCTGAAACACTTCGCCGACAAGGTGGCCGAGGAGCTGGGGGAGCCGCCCAAGGAGATAAACAGGGATCTCTTCGTGGGCTACAAGGGCTTCATGAAGCAGATGGAGGGTGAGCGCAGCGAAAACATTAATAGGCTAAGGAACGTGCAGAGCAGAATGCTCCGAGCATTGTCCTCCGCGTTCCAGAATTTCTTCGCGCCGCTCGACGAGTATCTCCGTGAGGAGATTGAGAGAGTGAAGAAGCAGAGTGACGACGAAAAGAATCCCTCACTGCCGAAGTCGGAAGAGCCCTACGCCGCCGAGTGGGACGCCGTGCACAGCGATGTCAACGCCCTGCTCAATTACCTCTGCGTGACGCAGGGCTTCGACGACAGGCTGCGAGGCCTGCTCCACAACCTCAAGGATGCGCTCACACAGCTGAGGCCGCAGGGCTTCCAGAAGCCCTCCACTCCCACGCTGGACTCCGTGAGCAGGGGACTCAGTGCCTTCGACGCTGAGTTCGGCGATGCATATATCTCCACTTACTCGGGCGCGGAGTGCCGGGAGGCGGACGCCGATAAGTACGCCAAGGTGTTGCTGAGCTTTATTCCGATGACGCACGAGGCGCTTAGCAACTTGGCAGAGAAATGCGGCACCAACTGGCGAAGCTATAAGATATGCAAGCTCACCCCCGACGGGAGGGACAACGGCCTGGGCAACTACCTCACCAAATGCGGCTACACAGTGTCACCCACCGACGGACTCCAGGAGGGGGAGTTGCAAAACCACGGCGACATGAACGGTGAGCAAATTCATGCTTTGCTTAACTCCCCAGTTGAAGGTGTAGCCATCAAAATGCTGGTCGGCGGTAAGCCTCCAGAAAATGATATTAATGTTATTGATATTATTGGTCTTCTTCATAACATGCTTTGTCGCTACCTCCAGGTCTGCCACCTTAAAGTACACGAATCGCCCAGGTACCCCTGCACGGTGAGGGACATGTTGTCTTGGCTCTCAGGCCTGCAGTACACTCCGGTGGCGGACAAACTGCCTGACCACTGCAGGGCGTTGCTCAACCGCAAGTGCGACGATAACGATGCCCCCAACAGGGAGGATAAAGTCATGGTGCAGTGCATAAATGGCCTGCCGTTCACTATCGCAGAAGCGTGTTCGTACGCCAACTCATTGCTCGTAACCATACAGGGCCACGGCCGCGGCTTTGACCTCGCCGCCTACCCCTACTCCGTCGACTTCGCCAACAACACCGCACAGCTGTACTACCCGGCCGACCCCGACGAGCTGCTGGAGATGATGAGACGGATAATATGCCGCCTGTGCTCAGTGCTCTATTTCCTCTACGCCCAGTGCTGCCGTGCCACCGCCACAACCAAGGGCTGGCGGGAGTGCCACTACGGCCGGCAGGTGCCGTCCTCCCACTGGCAATGTAACACTCTCGACAAGCAGCCCGATGACGCAACTCACAACTGCCCGCCCACCTCGCCGCTGCAGTCCTTCCTCACCGACAGCTGTCCCAGCCTCCTGCCGCATAAGCTCAGTGTAGTTGACAATGCCATCGAATGTGCCGACTGCCCTGCCAACCTACCAGGCCAGCAGTGCCTCACCCCGCTCGGCTTCTGGGACCTTGGCCTGGCAGCCTCCATGAGACGCACCGGCAAGGAACTTGCGAAGTCACTCGGCCGTCTCTGCAGTGACGCCGACGCCTGCCTCTTCCAACTCTGCCGAACGCTGCGCTTGCTGTGCCCCTCAGCACCGCAGTCACTCGGCGACGTGTTTGCGCTGTTCTTCCAAATGCTCAGAGTGTGGGATCACGAATCGTCCCGGCGTGCGTACTCTCACCATGAGAGTTACCAAACGCACCTGAGCGATGAGGCCATCGACAAGCTGTTCCCTCTGTGGACACAGCTCCACGGCAGTTACCAGAACAGCAATCTCACCAACGCCCTGAATGAACTCGCCGGCCATGACCATGACAACTCAGGGCACAATGCCCTCTCAAGCCTCTCCGCCGAGCCCCCTTGTCAATCACCCAGTGGATGCGCCCCCTTCCTCCAGCCGCTGGCGCTGCACGCCAACCACACCTTCCCGCAGAAGCACGCACAGCTGTATGTCTCGTGGATAGTGTGGCTGGCATGGCAGCTGTGGGAGCTGCTGGAGTCCCTGCTGGACGCCTTGAACAACATCGACTGCACGGCCCACGGCTGTGCCACGTGCCTCTGTCAGCCAGGCAACCACGGCGGCGAAGACGCCTGCCACTGCCCGTCACTCGTCGAATGTGGCGGACCTCTGCCGACACTCTACCGCTACGGATTCACGTATCGCAACGCCCACGCCCTGCTCGCCGGCAGCCAGAAGATACGGTGCAGTGACCTCAACGACCAACTCACCAAGGCACTCCACTCCGACCACTTCACTCAACTGTTCCACCAGATCGACCAACTCCTCTACACCATCCGTGCCCCCTTCCTCTTCGCCATCGTCGCACTCTGGCTCATCGCCACGCTCTACATCCTCGGCGTACTGCTCTACCGCATGGACGTCCTCCGCATACGATCTCACCTCCTCACCACCAGGGCCTCCCACCAAGTCGACGTCAAGGCGCTGCTCGCCGGCAGCCGCAGGATGCTCTCACTCTACAAAGACGTCGACTACTTCGACGACGACTTTCACTCTTGATTGTAATTATTGTAGCTAGACTACATTTACATCCCTCTCTTTGTGTTGCCATGTCACGTCTTTCACGGTGACTATCCAGTGCCTTGCCTAGCACCTAACCCACCACCTAACCAAGAGGCTGACCTAGCACGTAACCGACAATTTGGTAGATGCGTTGGGATGTTAGTTGCCTAGGACGTCGTTTCATGTGCCACTCGTGAACGTGTCCACGCCGTTGCTTAATGTCAAAGCACCGTGAAGATGGCCGGTTTGCTAGCCCACAACTGCTGTGCCGGGCGAGTGTCTCACACGTCCGTTACCATGTGCGTTCGCAGGCAGTGAAGTCGTTGTGACGGCCATTGTACAGCCTAGTCAAGCGGCATCTATGACCGCATTGTGGCGGCCGGTAATACAGTAGTCACTGCCCTCACAGCTACACTTGTCATTTGCCTCGTCACCTATCTCCTCAAATGGCGAACATTAATACGCTGCGTGATTACTTCAATTAGCATTCAATATTAATTGAATTATTATTCCTTACAAGATGGTTACATACAATTCTAATATTGCACTGATTACGTGGCGTCATTGTACCCGCATCCTTCACCTCCATATCATCCTTTTACTCCCCGACTCCAGTAACACTGCACATGTTGCTCTCCGCAGCTGTCCGACCACCTCCACGACATGACACCAGTAGCATCATTCAGTCCACTTAGCCATCCAGTAGCAAACTCACATTCGACGTAGAAGTACTACCGGCGCCACCCTCAATTTCAAGGTTTAGGTTTAGGTTATGATTTACGTCAGCAACACCATACTTGCCACCTAACCAAACGTCTTACCTAACAGGTAATCTAGCATTTGACCAAATACCTAACCAAAAGGCTCACCTAGCACATAACCAAACATCTGACCTAGCACGTAACCAAATGGCATACCTAGCACCTGACCAAACTGCTCACCTAGCACCTAGCCAAACATCTCACCTAGCACATAACCTATGATGCAACCTACTCGCTGCTTTGTCATCTCCCTTCTCCGTTTGTCGCCTTGCCGTCACTCCCTAAACGCCCTCCTTCATCCCTCCTTTCAGTGGATTGAGGCTGCGGACGCCGCCGTTAAGGCGGCTAAGGAGAAGGCGGAAGATGTACATGGGAGGTTGGATCATAATAAAAACGATGCTTCAGGGACCGTGATTGGTCAGGGGATTGGTAAAATTGAGGAAGCTCAAAAGCAAGTTTCGCAAGTTGACAAAAAGCTCAGTCAGCATATTGATGAGTTGGGAACATGGAAATCTGCGGCGCACAGTGTCCTTTCCACAGCGGTTGAAAAGGCAGAAGAGGTGCGTGGCAAGTTGAACCCAGATGGTAAGGATCCTATTGGTCACAACATTGAGAAGATTCACACATCCAACGAGGCGATTAAAAAAGCAAATTCGCAACTTAAAAGCCAAGTTGAGAGTCTGCATTCTTGGATCACCACGGCAGAGGGTATCCGCCAAAAGGCCCAGAAGAAGGCTGAAGAGGCTTATAAAAAGCTAAAACCTCATGAGGCTCTGAGTAAGAAAATCGGAGAGATTATGGATGCTAATAAGAAAATTAAGGACGTTCATACTGAGCTGGGTAAGGTTCATAATAATCTGGGAATGTGGAATCAGCAGGCCAAGAAAGTGCTCGACGGGGCGATTGACAATGCTACGACAGTGTATAATGGTTTGAATGATGGTCACGCTGTGATGAATAAAATTGGTGAAATTGATAGTGCTAGACAGCAAATTGTCACTGCGAATTCACAACTTGCCAGCGAAGTTGACAATTTAGGTAAGTGGAAGACTGCGGCCGGGAGTGTTATTGACAAGGCGGATGGGAAGTGTGAGGAGATACTTAAGAAAGTTAAAGCAGAAAAAGATGGTAAAAGTGATACAATTTTTGAATATGCAAATGAGATGAGTGAGAAGGGTGTTGAGCTCTTTAGGGCTGCGAGTGAGGCTAAGAGCCTTGTTGAGCAGAAAGTCACTGAAGCCTTGGAGGCTGTTGTGGCCATGGACAAATCTCTCAAGACGGATTTGAAGAAAGTGAAAGATGATATTAAGATAGGAATAGACCATGTGATTAAGACGTTGCAAGTTAAGGAATTGGATACTTTGGTGAAGAATGATTTGAAGACTCTGAGGGAGAAGATTGAGAAACTTAACAACGGTGATGAGCTTGTTACAGATAATTTAGCGGCACTAGCAGAAACGAAGAAATCTACGTTGGATGAGAAGGCTGAGGCGATAAAGACGTCGGAAAGTCAACTTGAAGGGAAGTTTAAGCAAGAGATCCAAAGTCCGCTCAGCACTAAAGTCAAAGCAGTTGACCAGGCGATTGAGAGGCTTGGCGGGAAGTTTAATAAAGGCGGTACATTTAATAGTATTCAAGAGATTTTCGGGCATATTAAAGATAAGGTTGGGGAGATTAAGGGGACGGCGGGAAACGGAAGTTGGGATAACTCAGGCGGCTCAGGCCTGGATGGGATTAAAAGCGCAGTGAACACGTATTACAATGCGTTCAGCGGGGAATATAACTTTGAAAAAATTGTGAATGGGTGGTTGCAAGGCATTTTGGGTAAGCGGGAAAAGAGGGTTGTGGAGTGGTTTAAGGAGTGGACTGATGACCATGTCACTGATGGCCGGCCGACCGGAAAAAGGGTGCTGGGCAATGATATCACATTTGACAAAATCTTTCGTGACAAAATCATCGACCATCTTAAGAAACAGCTTCACGGCGAAGCCAAAGCAGCCGGTGGAGTGGTTGGACAAGGCAAAAGCACCGATAACATCACTGCGAACATTGAGGCTGTGAAAAAAGGCTGCGAGGATTTTGTAAAGCGGATTGATGCAAAACTCATGAAGGGGCAAATTAGTACACTTCTTCAAGCCGTAAGGGGAAAGGTTGTCGGCAAGATTGTTAAGTTGAAAAAAGGCAAAGATGAAGATATCGATGAAGTCCTGAAAACAATCCTTGTTGCCCTGCGCTCCACGTCCAATCAGGTATCCGAGGAGCTGAACTCAGTGTTTCTCAACATACCCCCTGACATCAGCAACGGAGATCCCAGCCCCGGAAGCATCGCATCCATCTTGGACAAGATCACGCCGGTTGCTAACAAACTCCATGAAAATCTCGAAGCGGCGACTCAGCAACAACCTCCCGGTCTCGGAGCCTCCGGCCAAAATGAAAGCCCTGCCCAAGCCGTGGACAAGAGGTTGAATGCGGTGAGACAGGAGGTTACCCAGCTTGAAGAGAACTTTAAGAAAGCAAAGCAGAATCTGGAGGCTGAGGTTGCCAAACTTCCAGACGCCGTTGAAGCTTTCAACAAGTCCGCCGAAGAGCAGATCAAGGCTGCGGCAAATACGGCGATTCAAAAGGCGGCTGCGCAGATTAGTGATAATGGTGATCCAAATACAATTGACTTGTCGACTAAAATGCCCACATTCAACTCTCACTTCACTGCTATTACAAAAAATCTCGAATCAAAACTCAAGCAGCAAGTTGACAAGCACATCGGGGAGGATGATCCGCCAGGTCAGCCGAGTGGTCCAGCAGCTGAGAAAGTGAAGCTTCCTGAAGAGCATTTTAAGCAATATCAAGCATACGTCGATGCCTCTGGAGTCTCCGATCCCACTAGACCAGATGAGCTAAAAAAGCTAACTGGCCAACTCCCCGTTGCGATCAACAGCATTAGCAGTGAGGGTCTGCAAAAGCTCACTGAACTCATCGATGGAAAAGGTGGAAAAGCACAAATTACTACGAATACGTTTGAAGAGCCTTTCGGCAAAATTACGACAGAGCTCAATGAAATCGCCGGATTGGTTGATGGTGAACGCTCCGACAGTTCATTTATGGAAGGAGACCCAAATGAAGGCATCAAGGACTTTTTACGTAATTTAACAAGTATGCTTCGCAATGCGTTTTTTGTTAACGGTAAAAAAGGATTACATGAAATCACAAAGGCAATTGAAGGTCTGCATAAAACTCCGTTCACTACCCATCCCAAGGCAATTGACACAGCCGTCACAGCAATTAAGGAAGAATTGAGGAAGCTGAGAGGGAAGTTGAAGAAAGAACCAAGTGGAGGGCAAGATAACGATGTGATTGACGACCTGAGTGAGATGCTGAGCAACGGGCTGGGCACCGGTAAAGGCAAATGGCCAACCAAAGGTTCAAGTAACCTCGACGGTCTGGGGAGCATTGCTGAGGAGCTTCAGGCGCAGAATGGGAAGTTGCCGGGGCAAACAAAAATTATTGGCGACGCTACGCAGAGTATCATAAACGATATTACAACATTGCTTTCAAACGTCAAAATGAAATTGGGTCACAATATCATTCCCAATAATGACATTGCATATTACATGGGACAGTTGCAGAAGAAACTTGGGAAGGACGTCTCAAAGCAGGACGATGATACTCTGGTAAAAATCCATCACGGAATTCAAAATCTGCGAGCCAAAGCGTTTTCTACAAATCCCAGAGACATTGGCAGCGCCGTCAATACAATGAGGAGAGAATTCAAATGGCTACAACATGTGCTGCAAGGCAATGAGGGCGAAGATGTGATTGAGACATTGAAGGATTTCGTGGGCAAGGGCTAGGTAAACAGCAGTGGAACAAATATGGAAACGGTAACAAAGGCCTTCAAAGCGTCCAAGATGATCTCCAAACTCAACGAAATACGTTGACTCAGCAACCCGGGAAAATTAGTGTAGGAGTTTCACAAATTGAAAATGAGCTCACAAAGCTAAGAGACAGATTCCTGAAAACAGACAATGGAGCGACTAGGGAAACCGACAAAGGCGTGCTGAACAATCTGGCCGACGTGATAAAAGAGATAAGTAAGGATTCAGAGGCAAGTGGACTAAGCAAAATTAAGAAGGAAATTGCAGAGCTTAACACTGCCACAGTCCCGAAGGTGACTGACTACCTCAATAAGCTGTGCAACGCTGTCACCAACCACGCCGGAAATGCGGGATGGCATCTGGGCCAGCTGGAAGAAAGGCATATTAATGAGGGACTGAAAGGCATAGAGAATGACATTAACACCCTCAGCACCGATGACCTCCAGGAGGCAATAGAGATGTGCGACAAGTTCCTCACCGACGCCGACGAGATAGAGAGGAACACAGTGAAAGGCCTTGAGAAATTCGTGGACTACGAAGTTAACGATGCAATTGAAGAACTCACAAAAGAGGCCCGTCAGGACTACGTGGAGTCCGCGAAGGACGCGCTGAAACACTTCGCCCTAAAGGCGGAGAGTGAGCTGGGGGAACTGCCCGGCGAGATAAACAGGGATCTCTTCGTGGGCTACAAGGGCCTCATGAAGCAGATGGAGGGTGAGCGCAGCGAAAACATTAATAGGCTAAGGAACGTGCAGAGCAGAATGCTCCGAGCATTGTCCTCCGCGTTCCAGAATTTCTTCGCGCCGCTCGACGAGCATCTCCGTGAGGAGATTGAGAGAGTGAAGAAGCAGAGTGACGACGAAAAGAATCCCTCACTGCCGAAGTCGGAAGAGCCCTACGCCGCCGAGTGGGACGCCGTGCACAGCGATGTCAACGCCCTGCTCAATTACCTCTGCGTGACGCAGGGCTTCGACGACAGGCTGCGAGGCCTGCTCCACAACCTCACCGACGCGCTCACACAGCTGAGGCCGCAGGGCTTCCAGAAGCCCTCCACTCCCACGCTGGACTCCGTGAGCAGGGGACTCAGTGCCTTCGTCGGGGAGTTCGGCGGTGCGTACATCTCCACTTACTCGGGCGCGGAGTGCCGGGAGGCGGACGCCGACAAGTACGCCAAGGTGTTGCTGAGCATCATCCCGATGACGCACGAGGCGCTTAGCAACTTGGCAGAGAAATGCGGCAACAACTGGCGAAGCTATAAGATATGCAAGCTCACCGGCGACGACAGGGACAACGGCCTGGGCAACTACCTCACCAAATGCGGCTTCAAGGTGTCACCCACCGACGGACTCCAGGTGGGGGAATTGCAAAATCGTTTTTCGGGCGGCGCAGTTCATGAGCTACTTGCATCCCCAGTTGCCGACGTGACCACCAAAATGCTGGTCGGTGGCAAGCCTGCAGAAAATGGAATTAATGTCGTAGACTTAGTTGCGCTTTTCTATAACATGCTTTGTCGGTACCTCCAGGTCTGCCACCTTAAAGTACACGAATCGCCCAGGTACCCCTGCACGGTGAGGGACATGTTGTCTTGGCTCTCAGGCCTGCAGTACACTCCGGTGGCGGACAAACTGCCTGACCACTGCAGGGCGTTGCTCAACCGCAAGTGCGACGATAACGATGCCCCCAACAGGGAGGATAAAGTCATGGTGCAGTGCATAAATGGCCTGCCGTTCACTATCGCAGAAGCGTGTTCGTACGCCAACTCATTGCTCGTAACCATACAGGGCCGCGGTCGCGGCTTTGACCTCGCCGCCTACCCCTACTCCGTCGACTTCGCCAACAACACCGCACAGCTGTACTACCCGGACGACCCCGACGAGCTGCTGGATATGTTGAGGGGCATAGTATGCCGCCTGTGCTCAGTGCTCTACTTTCTGTATGCTCAGTGCTGCCGTACCACCGCCACAACCAAGGGCTGGCGGGAGTGCCACTACGGTCGGCAGGTGCCGTCCTCCCACTGGCAGTGTAACACCTTCGACAGGCAGGCCACCGACGCAAGTCACAACTGCCCGCCCACATCTCCGCTGCAGTCGTTCCTCACAGACAGCTGTCCCAGCCTCCTGCCGCATAAGCTCAGTGTAGTTGACAATGCCATCGAATGCGCCAACTGCCCCTCCAACCAACCGGGTCAGCAGTGCCTCACCCCGCTCGGCTTCTGGGACCTTGGCCTCGCTGCCTCAGTAGCGCGTACCGGCAAGGATCTTGCCAAGTCACTCGGCCGTCTCTGCAGTGACGCCGACGCCTGCCTCTTCCAACTCTGCCGAACGCTGCGCTTGCTGTGCCCCTCAGCACCGCAGTCACTCGGCGACGTGTTCGCGCTGTTCTTCCAAATGCTCAGAGTGTGGGATCACGAATCGTCCCGGCGTGCGTACTCTCACCATGAGAGTTACCTAACGCATCTGAACGGTGATGCTATAAACAGTCTCTTCCCTCTGTGGCCGCAGCTCCACGGCAGTTACCGTAATGCCAATCTCACCGACGCGCTCAAGGCACTCGCCGGGCACGACCATGACAACTCAGGGCACAATGCCCTCTCAAGCCTCTCCGCCGAGCCGCCTTGTCAATCACCCAGTGGATGCGCCCCCTTCCTCCAGCCGCTGGCGCTGCACGCCAACCACACCTTCCCGCAGAAGCACGCACAGCTGTATGTCTCGTGGATAGTGTGGCTGGCATGGCAGCTGTGGGAGCTGCTGGAGTCCCTGCTGGACGCCTTGAACAACATCGACTGCACGGCCCACGGCTGTGCCACGTGCCTCTGTCAGCCAAGCAACCACAACGACAAGGACTCCTGCCACTGCCCGTCACTCGTCGAATGTGGCGGACCTCTGCCGACACTCTACCGCTACGGATTCACGTATCGCAACGCCCACGCCCTGCTCGCCGGCAGCCAGAAGATACGGTGCAGTGACCTCAACGACCAACTCACCAAGGCACTCCACTCCGACCACTTCACTCAACTGTTCCACCAGATCGACCAACTGCTCTACACCATCCGTATGCCCTTCCTCTTCGCCATCACAGCACTCTGGCTCATCGCCACGCTCTTCATCGCCCACTCACTACTCTACCGTATGGACGTGCTGCGCATCCGCTCCCACCTACTCACCACCAGGGCCTCACACCTCATCTACGTCAAGGCTTTACTCGCCGGCAGCCGCAGGATGCTCTCGCTCTACAAGGACGTCGACTACTTCGACGATGACTTTCACTCGTGAGTGTAATTATCTTAGCTACATTCACATTGCATTCCTCTCTTTGTGTTGCCATGTCTCATCACGTCTCTCATCGTGACTGTATGTCCCGCCTTGCCTAGCACATAACTCACTGCCTAACCTAGCACTTAACCTGACGTCTGGCCAAAGTGCTTACCTAGCACGTAACCTAACATGTAACCTACCACCTAACCAAACTGCTTACCTAGCACCTAACCAAATGGCTTACCTAGCACCTAACCAAACTGCTTACCTAGCACTTAACCAAGAGGCTTACCTAGCACCTAACCAAACTGCTTACCTAGCACCTAACCAAGAGGCTTACCTAGCACTTAACCAAATGGCATACCTAGCACCTGACCAAACTGCTCACCTAGCACCTGACCAAATGCCTATCCTAAGATGTAACCTACTCGCTGCTTTGTCATCTCCCTTCTCCGTTTGTCGCCTTGCCGTCACTCCCTAAACGCCCTCCTTCATCCCTCCTTTCAGTGGATTGAGGCTGCGGACGCCGCCGTTAAGGCGGCTAAGGAGAAGGCGGAAGATGTACATGGGAGGTTGGATCATAATAAAAACGATGCTTCAGGGACCGTGATTGGTCAGGGGATTGGTAAAATTGAGGAAGCTAAAGACAAAGTTAAGCAAGTTGACAAAAAGCTCAGTCAGCATATTGATGAGTTGGGAACATGGAAATCTGCGGCGCACAGTGTCCTTTCCACAGCGGTTGAAAAGGCAGAAGAGGTGCGTGGCAAGTTGAACCCAGATGGTAAGGATCCTATTGGTCAGAACATTGATAAGATTCACACTTCCAACGAAGCGATTAAAGAAGCAAATGAGGACCTTAAAAGCCATGTCGACAGTCTGAGTACATGGATCTCCACCGCCGAGGACATCCGTGCCAAGGCCCAGCAAAAAGCAGAAGATGCTTACAAGAAATTGGACGTTAACGCTGAATTGAGCAACAATGTCAAGAAGATTGTAGATGCTAATAAGGCAATTGAAGGAGTTCATAAAAGTCTGAATGGTGTCCACGGCAATTTGGAAACGTGGAATGCGGAGGCCAAGAAAGTGCTTCAAGGGGCGATTGAAAAGGCAACGGAAGTTCATGATGCGTTGGAAGATAAGAGTAAGTCACTTGGTGAAAATATTGACAAAATTGACAGTGCTGGAAAGCAAATTGAGAAGGCAAATTCAGAGCTTGGCAACCATGTTAAGGATTTGACGAGTTGGAACTCTGCCGCCCAGGGTGTTATTGGCAAGGCGGAGGGGAAGTGTAATACAATTTTGGAGAAAGTTAGTACCACAAATCCCCAAGGTCCGATTTTTCAGAATGCTCAAACTTTAGAAAGTAAGGGAATAAAACTTTTGGATGCGGTAACTAAGGCTAAAAAGGCTGTTGAGGAGAATGTCACCGAGGCGTTGCAGGCTGTTGTGACCATGGACGGAGATCTCAAGAGGGATTTGAGGACAGTGAGAGAGGAGATTAAGAGAGGGATAACGGAAGTTATTACATCTTTGAGGGTTAATGATTTGGGTGATCTGGTGAAAGGGGATTTGAAGACGTTGAAGGAGAATATTAGTGAGCTTGCAAATGGTATGGAAGGTAATGACAAACATCCATTAGTTGAAAGTGCGTTGTCTCAGCTTAAAGAACAGAAAGATAAGCTGAATGTTCTTGCTGGGCCAAACGGTTCAATTAAGAAGGAGACGGACGGGCTTCAAGATAAGTTTGAGAATGCGATCCAACAGCCGCTTAAGACGTTGACTGAGAATGTTGACAAGGCGATTGAGGTGCTTGGCGGGAATTTTGGTGTAAGTGGCGAAGAAGATAAAAAGAAACTTGAGAAGATTTTCGGGCATATTAAAGGAAAGGTTGCGGAGATTAAGGGGAATGGAGGTTCAGGTTGGGAAAATACAGGTGGCAAAGGCCTGGATGGAATTAAGTCCAAGGTGAATTTTTATTTTGGTGAGTTCAGCGAGGAGTATAAGTTTAACCAAATTGTGAAAGGCTGGATTGAAAAGACTATTATGCCGCATAACGGTTTGGTCAGTGATAGGATTAAGAACAAGATTTTTGGAGGGAGTACAAGTAACGCCATCCAGAATATCGCAAATGGTTTTAAGGAACAGCTTAAGATCCAAGCAGATGCAGCCGGTGGAGTGGTTCAAGCAAAAAATGGCTCTGGTGGAGATATTGCAAAAAGCATCCAAGCTGTGAAGGCAGGCTGCGAGGCATTCGCCGATGATCTTGACGGGAAACTGAAGGAACCGGACAGTGCTACTTCTGGCATAGTCTCTAAGGTTAAGGAAAAGTTGACAAGTTACATAAAACGCGACGCAAAATGCATATGCTATTGCAGTCACTGCAGAGGCACAGAGTGTAAGCAAAACTCTGTCACCGCTGTCATCCTGGGTGCACTCGCCGCCGTGTCCCGTCAGGTGGGCAACGAACTGAATTCAGTGTTTCTCAGCCCCGATAGCGCAAACATCGCTGGCATCCTGGACACTATCACGCCGATTGCTGAGGAACTTGATGAGAAGCTTAAAGCGGCGACAAACAATTCCCTTCCTCCCCCCGGCCAAAAGGAAAGCCCCGCCCAAGCCGTGGACAAGAGGTTGGGTGAAGTGAGGAATGAAGTTAGTACAGAAATTGAAAGGAAGTTTAGAGATGAAGTCACAAGAGATCTTAAAAGTGCAGTTGGTGGCCTTGAAGAAGCAGTTAACCAGTTCGACGGCGAAGCTCAAAAGCAGATCAAGAATGCGGCCAGGACGGCGATTGACAAGGCGGCTGAGCAGATTAAGGAGGAAAAGAGTCCAATTGTGCTTGGCCAAAATAAGCTTATGGAGCAATTCAACACTCAGTTTACTACTATTAAAAGTAGTCTCGAACATCAACTCAAGCAGCAAGTTAACAATCACATTAGGGAGGATGATCCGCCAGGCCTGGCAGGTGGTCAACAACAGAAATTCATTCTTGCTAAACAATATTTTACAGGTTATGATAACCATGTTAAACAAGAAGCAATTAATAAACTTAGTCCCGGTGGAACTCTAACCGGCAAGCCAGATGAAGGCCATCTTCCACAGGCGATCGGGAACATCAAGAATCAGGGTCTGGCAGAGCTTAAAATCATTGATCCACCAGGAGGTACTGGTAAAATAGATACCAATACCTTCACCGTTCCGTTCACCCAAATTCAGACAGAGCTTGACGATATCAAGAAATTGGTTGAGAATAAGCAGGGGACTCCACCAGGCGGTAAGCCAAACGGCGCGAAGGACTACCTGGGGGACTTGAGAGGGATGGTTACTCAGAATGGTGAGTGTACTCTTAAGTCTGATGTAGACCCACAGTACCAACAAGTCCAAGGCCTCGACGCAATTCACTCCAAGATCCACGGCCTGCAAACAGGGACGCTTGGCACTAAACCCGCTGCAATCGAGGAAGCCGTCCAAGAAATTAGGAAGGAGCTTGGAGAGCTTAGACAGAAGTTGAAGAATGAGAAAGATCAAGATGTCATTGAAAGGTTAAAGGATCTGAGAGACAGTGGACTTGGTGGCCATTGGAATGATAAGAATGGAGATTGGAGAGAAAGCAAGGGACTAAAAGTAATACAACACCGACTTGAAATTCAAAATTACAAGTTACCTGAGCAGACGGCAAAAATCGAAAACGCGATAAACGAAATTAATCGGCAACTTCATCTAATAGGATACAAGTTGGATCACCCCGTGGAGTATGACGATGTCATAGACCGATTGACATGGTTGGGGAGGAAAATTGGTAGAAGTGAGAAAGGATATCGTTATAATCTTGAAGACATTTATCAGATGATTAAATGGCTGCAGGAAGAACATTTTATTAATTTACCCGATGCAATTGGCACAGCCAACTCAGCAATCAAGGAAGCACTCAAAGCGCAGATGAGCACGCTGGACACTGACGTCATCAAGACGCTGACCAATTTAATGACCACGGGGCTGAGTGATCAGGCAAGTTGGCAGCCTAGTGGACACGAAGCAGCAAAGGGCTTTGACCATATTATTAGTGAGCTCAACACTCAACAAGGCATATTGACCACCCAGCCAGGAGACATCAGCGGTGGCGTTCAGAAGATCACCGTAGAGCTTGACGCTCTGAGGAAGCAGTTGCAGGGTAAGGATGCCGGTGAGCCAAAAGAAAGAGGCGTGATAAGGAATATGGAGTTAATGATAAAGCAGATTGGGAAAGGTAAAGGAAATGGACTTGAATGCATTGAAAAAGCAATTGAAGAGCTTAACAGGGAGACAGTCCCGAAGGTGAGTGAGTACGTTGATAAGCTCTGTGCAGAAATAAGGCTGCAAGCAAGGGATGCCAAATTCTTTTTGGAGTCACTGGAGGAGGGAAGCATAAATGAGAGACTCAGCAAAATCACAAATGACATTCACACCCTCAGCACCGATGACCTCCAGGAGGCAATAAGGATGTGCACTGATTTCCTCAGGGACGCCGACTACATAAAATGGGAGAAAGTAGAAAACATTGAACGCTTCGTAGACAGTGAGATTGAAAAGGCAATCGCGGAGCTCAGCAAGCAGGCGCGGCGGGACTACGTGGAGTCCGCCAGGGACGCGCTGAAACACTTCGCCGACAAGGTGGCCGAGGAGCTGCGGGAGCTGCCTGGGGACATCGAACATGACTTGACGATCGGATTTAAAGGGTTCATGGCCAAATTAGAAAATGGGTTTGTTAAGAACATCCAAAAAATAAATGGCATCGATTTCAAGGACTTTAAAAATAGGTCTCCGCTCAGCCAGGTGGCCGAGAAGGTCAGCGAAGCCGTACATGGATTTTTCCCCGAACTCATGCAACAGGAGGAATTTTTAAATGGTGGATTCCCGAAGTCGTCGGATCCCGTTAATCCCAAGAACTTGACGGATGAACAAGTTGAGACTCTGGAGTCCATGCCGGCGAATATGCTGCAATTCATGTCACTCATCGACGCGCTCGACGATCTAATTCAGTACATCGAAGCAGGCGGCCATTTCGATTTCCCGTTCACAGCGCCACTCAACAGCCTCAAAAAGCAACTCGGAGCATTCACCTATGATGCGTATAATGACGGTCAGAGAGCTTTATTACGTCCGCTGAAAAACGGTATTAATAACATACATGTTGAACTGGGCAACGCCTATATAAGCACTTACTCTGGCCAGGAATTCACTGCTGCGTTGGTGGAGCCTGAGAGTGCCGGCAAAAACGCTGCGCAAAGTACCGACCTGATATCCTGGCAAAACAGCAAATTGACGCCTTACGGCGAGAAGCTGTGTAAGGTCTTCCTCTCCCTCCTGCCGATACTTGGCGCATCACTCGCCGAGTTGAGGCTCAACTGCAGGAGCCTCGCCGGCCAGCGTCTCAACTCATCCACTGATCTCGGCAGGCTCCTCGCTGACCAAGGCTACAGAGTCCCGGACGACGGCCAGCGCAGCGGCGAGTTGGACAGCCACGTGACCGGTAGGAAAATTACCATGCTCCTCGTCGGCGATTATAAGCGTGTCTTCAACACTGACAATGACACTAAAAATGCACTCGGAATTCTTCTCGAATGTCTCAATGATTATTACGCCGCCTGCCACTACGCCACACTCTCCTCCACCAGGTCGCCGTGCAACGTCTACGAGATGCTCGTATGGCTGACAGGCCTCCCGCACAACTGTGTCTACGATAAGCTCTGTAAATTCACGAAACTGTGTTACGACGAGCAGACTGAGAATAGCCTCTATGCCGCCACTTTCCCTGCCGACGCCTTGGTTAAAGCCGTTGGGAGGCTCACCGCCGACTGTCCCAGTATCCTCACCAGGGTGCTCGGCTTTGGTGACGCTATGACAACCTACGCCTGTGACTTTCATAACAACTCCACGCAACTGTATTACCCGCAGGACGGTGAGGACTGCCTGCACTTGCTGTTTCACTTGCTACGTGTATTGCTCTCAGTGCTCAGGTTCCTGTCAACTCTATGCTCACTCCCTGTTCATCACGGCGGCTGGGCGGAGTGCAGGTACGGCAAGGGTGTCCCACCATACACGTGGCAGTGCAGTCTTCCGGTCACCGCCCTGCCTACCCCTCACCCGGAGTGCACTGATAAATCGCCGTTGATGTCATACCTCAACGACTGCCTGCCCGGTCACCTGCCTCACCAGGTCGCCGCCATCGGCTGTGAGCCTAAATGCAACACCTGTCCCAGTGGACCAGATGGCACGCCCTGCCTTACGCCCCTCGGCTTCCGGGGTTTCTCTGGTAGCACCAAGACGGGCAAGCAGCTGTGCAGAGTGCTGACCAAACTCTTCACCAACGAGCATCTCTCACCGCTGCTCAGCCTCTGTCCCAGGCCGCCGGCCACCCTGGCTGAGCACATAGGCTTCGCCCTGTCACTCGTCAACGACTGGCACGACGGCAATATTGTGCCCAAGAATTCCCTCCAACAGGCCCTCGAGGCATCCGCCACGGACTTGTCACTTCGCCTCTACAACCAAACCGGTGACCTGACCGCAGCGCTCACCGCCGCCTACGGCTCGGACTCCGCGAAACACGGCGGCTGCAAGCACCCGCACCTGACGCATCTCGCAGGCACTGACGTCTGCACCAGGCACCAAGCTTCGCCTTTCCTCCAAGCCCTCTGCCGCGACTCCTACGACAGCCTCGCCCACCGACACTCAGGCCTCTACCTCTCATGGGCCGTCTACCTCCCGTGGACGTTCTATGATCTGTTGCAGTGTCTATACACCGCGTTCAAGGAAATCTCCTGCCGGGACTGGAGCTGCGATGCGTGCCTTCACGAAGGCCCCTGTGATCCAGACAGCCACGGCGTCCTAAACCCCAAGGCACCCGTCCACGGCTGCCGATGCCCTTCCATCGTCCAATGCACGGGCGTGATGCCGACGCTCTACCAATACGGCCTCACCTTCAAGGACGCACCGGCCTTGATATCGCAAAACACAACTTGCTTTAGCTTCTCCACGCAGCTCTCCCAAGTCCTCCACTCTGAGTATTTCAGAGATCTCTTCCACAAGTGTGATGAGTTCCTCTGGCACATCAGGATGCCCTTCCTCTTCACCATCGTCACACTCTGGCTCATCGCCACGCTCTACATCGCCCACTCACTCCTCTACCGCATGGACGTGCTACGCATCCGCTCCCACCTCCTCACCACCAGGGCCTCACACCTCATCGACGTCAAGGCGCTGCTCGCCGGAAGCCGCAGGATGCTCTCACTCTACAAGGACGTCGATTACTTCGACGATGACTTTCACTCGTGACAGTAATTATCGTAGCTACATTACGTTTACATTCCTCTTATTGTGTTGACATGCCATGTCATGTCCTTCATGGTGGCTGTACCTCGTGCCTTGCCCAGCACCTAACTCACTGACTAACCAAGAGGCTAACCTAGCACGTAACCAAACTGCTTACCTAGCACTTAACCAAGAGGCTTACCTAGCACCTAACCAAACTGCTTACCTAGCACCTAACCAAGAGGCTTACCTAGCACCTAACCAAACGGCTGACCTAGTACATAACCAAGTGGCTTACCTAGTACACTACCAAGAGGCTAACCTAGCACCTATCCTAAGATGTAACCTACTCGCTGCTTTGTCATCTCCCTCCTCCCTCTGTCGCCTTGCCGTCACTCCCAAAGCAGCCTCCTTCATCCCTCCTTTCAGTGGATTGAGGCTGCGGACGAAGCCGTTCAGGCGGCTAAGGAGAAGGCGGAAAACGTACATGGGAGGTTGGATCATAGTGATAATAATGGTAGTCCGAAGACACAGATTGGCCAAGGAGTTAAGCAAATTAATGAGGCTAAGGACAAAGTTAAGCAAGTTGATGACGCGCTTCAAGCTGTTCACACCGATTTAGGTAACTGGAAATCTGCGGCAAACAGTGTCCTTGACTCAGCGGTTAAGAATGCTGGACAGGTGCGTGAGAAGTTGAACCCAGATGGTTCAGATGTAATTGGTGAGAACATTAAAAGTATTGAAGAGGCAAAAAACAATATTGTTACTGCAAATTCACAACTGAAAACACAAGTCGACAGTCTGCATTCTTGGATCGACACCGCCGAGGATATCCGTGCAAAGGCTGAGAGAAAGGCCAAGGAAGCCTATGATAAGTTGGAACCTCATGAAGCTTTGAGTAAGCAAATCGGAGAGATTGTGACAGCGAATAAGAAAATTAACGAAGTTCATAAAAGTATGCAGGGTGTTAGTAAAAATCTGGGGGAGTGGAAGTCTGAGGCCGGGACAGTGCTTGACGAAGCGGTAAAAAAGGCGACGGAAGTGCATGATGCGTTAGATACTGATCAAAAAAGTGACGCTGTAGGCCATCCTGTTGGGTATAATATACAGCAAATTAGCACACACAACAACTTAATTAAAGAAGCAAATAACACTCTCGCCACTGAAGTCACGGCTTTAGGGAGTTGGCACAAGGCGGCGCAACAGATTGTTTCCAAGGCGCAGCATAAATCTCAAGAAATTTTGGATAGAGTTCTTAAGGACAACGGTGATCAAACGGTTATTGGTGAGAATGCTAGCAAGTTGAAAGAAAAAGCTGAGAACCTTTTGACTGCCTACAGCCAGGCGCATGGGAATGTTACTGGTTTAGTAAGTAAAGTTACTGAGGCCGTTAAAGATTTGGAAGCCGGCATGAAAGATGATTTGCGGAGGCTGCAAAAGGATATTGTGAACAGTATGAAAAAGCATGTTGGTGAGATGCTTGGCGAAATTAAAACGCAAGTGCAGGTGATTAAGGGGAAGGATAGTAGTGATTGGAGTAGCAGCGGAAAAACTCTAAGTGGTCTGGATGGCATTGTCCACGGTTTGGTTAACAGCTATGCTAACGAGTTCAAGAATAATTTCGCGAATATTGCAAAGGGCTGGCTGGAGGCCACCATATTGGAGCACAATGGCACCGTGCGGAGGATACTCGGGTGGAAGCATGGGCATAATATGACGGGCAGCATTGAGCAGTTTGGCATTGGAATGAAAGAGAAGCTTAATGAAGATGTTACTAGTGTAGCCAAAGAGGCGTTCCAATCTGTTAATACCGTCAGTGGCGGCATCACTAAAAGTATTGAAGCTGTCCAAAGGCTTTGCAATGGATTTGCCAACGCGCTGGATAAAGAGCTTTATACTGCTGAACGAAAAACAGTCGACTATGTAAAGGAAAAGGCGTTGAACGTGGGACGGCTCGTCGCCAATATTAAAAATTGCGTCTGCGAGTGCGACGCACAATGCACAAAATGCAAAAATGGAGAGTGTGGCAAAAAAGCCGCCGCGGAATTGATAATGTGCGCGCTCACCTCTACAGTGAGACAGGTCGGCAACGAGCTTCATTCTGTATTTCTATACGGCGACAGGATTGGTCAAAACAGCGGTACAAGCATCGCACAGGAATTGGACAAAGTGGTTGAGGAGACTCAGAAGCTTCACAAGAATCTAGGAGACGCGGAAAATGAGACGAAAAAACAACCGCCCGGTCCCCCTGCCGGCAACCAGGACAATGGAATTTTGAACAAAGTTAAGGGGGTTGAGCAGCAGGTTAAAAGTGCGATGAAGGAAACGACGAGCATTGATGAGAACTTCAAACAAATCATGCCACTTTATGAAGCGGCGAAGGGTGAAAACGGTGTCGGTGACCATAAATATCACAATTTGCTGAAAACTGATATCCCCAACGCACTTAAGGACTTTGCGCCTCATGTCGACAACGGAAAGAATGAAGGAATCATAAAACAAAAAACAGAAGAAATTAAAAAACATCTCTCCACAATAGACGGAGAACTGCAAGAAATCGCCGGGATGGTCCAGCACGAAAAGAAGCAGCTGCCACAAGGCCAAAAGCCAGACGGCGTCAAGGATTACCTGGGGGACTTGAGAGGGATGGTTACTCAGAAAGATGGTGAGCATAGTATTTCCTCCAAGCTGGATGATGGAAATATTAAGAAAGAAGTCCAAGGCCTCCAAGCAATTCAGTCCAAGATCCACGGCCTGCAAACAGGGACGTTCAAAGAGAAACCCGGCGAAATCGACTCAGCCGTCGAGCAAATTAAGGCGCAGCTTGGCACTATCAGAACCACGCTGCAAAATGAAAATGGAGCAACAGATCAAGATGTCATCAAAAGACTGCAATATATGAAAGTCACTGGGCTTGGTGACAGTGACACTGCAAAATGGAAAGTTGGACAAAATGATGTTAATGGTCTCGGGAATATTAAGAGTGACCTTGAAAAGCAGAATAAGCAACTGGGCGAGCAAAACAAGATTATTGGAGATGCTGTAAGAAAAATTCAGTTGCAACTTAGATATCTTGGATTCAAGTTGGACCATGACTTCGTCCCCGATGACATCATGGATCAATTGCAAAAATTAAAAAGTGAGATTGATAAAGGTGGAAAAGGAGGACTGCAGAAAATTCATGACGTGATAAGTGGACTACAAAAAGGGGAATTTACTTCGAACCCCAAAGCCATCGGAGAAGCCAACGAGGCAATCAAAGCGGAACTCAAAGCGCAGATGAGCGCGCTGGACAGTGATGTCATTGAGACGCTGACCAATTTGATGACCAAAGGGATGAGTGAACAGGCAAGTTGGAAGCAAGATAAAAATGTAAATGGTTTTCAAAAAATCCAAAATGATCTTAACACTCAACAAAGTGAGTTGTCCACTCAGCCCACTGCAATCGGCAGTGGCGTTCAGAAGATCACCAGCGAGCTTGACGAGCTGAGGAAGCAGTTGCAGGGTGAGCAAGGCGCTGACCCAAATGAAAGAGGCGTGATAAGGAATATGGAATTTGTGATAGAGAAGATTGGTAAGGACAAAAATGAAGGTCTTGAGAAAATCAAGAAAGAGATTGAAGATCTCAACAGGGATACAGTCCCTGACATCAACAAATTCCTTGGTGAACTGTGCGCCAAGATTGCGAGCGAAGCCGGTAGTGTGGATTGGAAGTTGGGGCTTTTCAAAGAGAATGACATCGACAAAGACCTCGAAAAAATCAAGTCACAAATTGACACCCTCCGCACCGGTGACCTCCACAAGGCCATCGCCATGTGCGACAAGTTCCTCACCAACGCCGATTACATAAAATGGGAGAAAGTAGAAAACATTGAACGCTTCGTAGACAGTGAGATTGAAAAGGCAATCGCGGAGCTCAGCAAGCAGGCGCGGCGGGACTACGTGGAGTCCGCGAAGGACGCGCTGAAACACTTCGCCGCCAAGGTGGCCGAGGAGCTGGGGGAGCTGCCTGAGGAGATAAACAGGGATCTCTTCATGGGCTACAAGGGCCTCATGAAGCAGATGGAGGGTGAGCGCAGCGAAAACATTAATAGGCTAAGGAACGTGCAGAGCAGAATGCTCCGAGCATTGTCCTCCGCGTTCCAGAATTTCTTCGCGCCGCTCGACGAGTATCTCCGTAAGGAGATTGAGAGAGTGAAGAAGCAGAGTGACGACGAAAAGAATCCCTCACTGCCGAAGTCGGAAGAGCCCTACGCCGCCGAGTGGGACGCCGTGCACAGCGATGTCAACGCCCTGCTCAATTACCTCTGCGTGACGCAGGGCTTCGACGACAGGCTGCGAGGCCTGCTCCACAACCTCACCGACGCGCTCACACAGCTGAGGCCGCAGGGCTTCCAGAAGCCCTCCACTCCCACGCTGGACTCCGTGAGCAGGGGACTCAGTGCCTTCGTCGGGGAGTTCGGCGGTGCGTACGTCTCTCGCTACTCGGGCGCGGAGTGCCGGGAGGCGGACGCCGACAAGTACGCCAAGGTGTTGCTGAGCTTCACCCCGATGGTGCACGAGGCGCTTAGCAACTTGGCAGAGAAATGCGGCACCAACTGGCGAAGCTATAAGATATGCAAGCTCACCCCCGACGGGAGGGACAACGGCCTGGGCAACTACCTCACCAAATGCGGCTTCAAGGTGTCACCCACCGACGGACTCCAGGAGGGGGAGTTGCAAAACCACGGCGACATGAACGGTGAGCAGATTCATGCATTGCTTAAATCACCAGTTGATGTGACCACCAAAATGCTGATCGACGGCAAGCGTGCGGAAAACGGAATTAATGTTGTCGACTTAGTTGCGCTTTTCTATAACATGGTCTGTCGCTACCTCCAGGCATGCCACCTTAAGGTGCACGAATCGCCCAGGTACCCCTGCACGGTGAGGGACATGTTGTCTTGGCTCTCCGGCCTGCAGTACACTCCGGTGGCGGACAAACTGCCTGACCACTGCAGGGCGTTGCTCAACCGCAAGTGCGACGATAACGATGCCCCCAACAGGGGCGACGATGTCATGGCACAGTGCATCAACGGCCTGCCGTTCACTATCGCAGAAGCGTGTTCACACGCCGACTCGCTGCTCATCGCAATCCAGGGCCACGGCCGCGGCTTTGACCTCGCCGCCTATCCCTACTCCGTCGACTTCGCCAACAACACCGCACAGCTGTACTACCCGGACGACCCCGCCGAGGTGCTGGATATGTTGAGGGGCATAGTATGCCGCCTGTGCTCAGTGCTCTACTTCCTCTACGCCCAGTGCTGCCGTGCCACCGCCACAACCAAGGGATGGCGGGAGTGCCGCTACGGCCGGCAGGTGCCGTCCTCCCACTGGCAGTGTAACACACTTGGCAAGGAGGCCACCGACGCAAGTCACAACTGCCCGCCCACATCTCCGCTGCAGTCGTTCCTCACAGACAGCTGTCCCAGCCTCCTGCCGCATAAGCTCAGTGTAGTTGACAATGCCATCGAATGCGTCGACTGCCCTGCCAACCTACCAGGCCAACAGTGCCTCACCCCGCTCGGCTTCTGGGACCTTGGCCTCGCTGCCTCAGTAGAGCGCACCGGCAGGGAACTTGCGAAGTCACTCGGCCGTCTCTGCAGTGACGCCGACGCCTGCCTCTTCCAACTCTGCCGAACGCTGCGCTTGCTGTGCCCCTCAGCACCGCAGTCACTCGGCGACGTGTTCGCGCTGTTCTTCCAAATGCTCAGAGTGTGGGATCACGAATCGTCCCGGCGTGCGTACTCTCACCATGAGAGTTACCTAACGCATCTGAACGGTGAGGCCATCGACGGACTCTTCCCACTCTGGCCGCAGCTCCACGGCGGCTACCGCAACGCCGACCTCACCGACGCGCTCAAGGCACTCGCCGGGCACGACCATGACAACTCAGGGCACAATGCCCTCTCAAGCCTCTCCGCCGAGCCGCCTTGTCAATCACCCAGTGGATGCGCCCCCTTCCTCCAGCCGCTGGCGCTGCACGCCAACCACACCTTCCCGCAGAAGCACGCACAGCTGTATGTCTCGTGGATAGTGTGGCTGGCATGGCAGCTGTGGGAGCTGCTGGAGTCCCTGCTGGACGCCTTGAACAACATCGACTGCACGGCCCACGGCTGTGCCACGTGCCTCTGTCAGCCAAGCAACCACAACGACAAGGACTCCTGCCACTGCCCGTCACTCGTCGAATGTGGCGGACCTCTGCCGACACTCTACCGCTACGGATTCACATACCGCAACGCCCACGTCCTGCTCGCCGGCAGCCAGAAGATACGGTGCAGTGACCTCAACGACCAACTCACCAAGGCACTCCACTCCGACCACTTCACTCAACTGTTCCACCAGATCGACCAACTCCTCTACACCATCCGTATGCCCTTCCTCTTCGCCATCACAGCGCTCTGGCTCATCGCCGCGCTCTACATCCTCCACTCACTCCTCTACCGCATGGACGTCCTCCGCATACGATCTCACCTCCTCACCACCAGGGCCTCCCACCAAGTCGACGTCAAGGCCTTACTCGCCGGCAGCCGCAGGATGCTCTCGCTCTACAAGGACGTGGATTACTTCGACGATGACTTTCACTCGTGACAGTAATTATCGTAGCTACATTACATTTACATTCCTCTCTTTGTGTTGCCATGTCATGTCACGTCTTTCCTTGTGACTGTGTCTCGTGCCTTGCCGAGCACCTGACTCACTGCCTAACCAAAAGGCTCACCTAGCACATAAGCAAATGGCTGGCCTAGCACATAACCAAACGTCTCACCTAGCACATAACCAAACGCCTCACCTAGCACTTAACCAAGAGGCTTACCTAGCACCTAACCAAACTGCTTACCTAGCACCTAACCAAGAGGCTTACCTAGCACCTAACCAAACGGCTCACCTAGCACCTAACCAAGCGGCTCACCTAGCACCTGACCAAAAGGCTGACCTAACATGTAACCAAACGGCTTACCTAGCACTTAACCAAATGGCATACCTAGCACCTGACCAAACTGCTCACCTAGCACCTAACCAAACGGCTGACCAAACACCTAACCTATGACGTAACCTACTCGCCGCTTTGTCATCTCCCTCCTCCCTCTGTCGCCTTGCCGTCACTCCCTAAACGCCCTCCTTCATCCCTCCTTTCAGTGGATTGAGGCTGCGGACGCCGCCGTTAACGCGGCTAAGGAGAAGGCGGAAGATGTACACAGGAGGTTGGATCATAATAAAAAAGACCAACATGGTGGGACAACGATTGGCCAAAATATAGAGAACATTAAGCAAGCTAAAGACAAAGTTAAGCAAGTTGATGGTCAGTTGAAACGTATTCACAGTGATTTAGGTAACTGGAAAAATGCGGCAAGTGACGTCCTTGACTCAGCGGTTAAGAAGGCGACGGAAGTCCATGGCAAGTTGGATCCTGATAAAAGTAAGTCGACGCTTGGTGGTAAAATCGGAGAAATTGAAGACGCAAAAAACAACATTATTAGCGCAAATTCACAACTGAAAACACAAGTCGACAGTCTGCGTTCTTGGATCACCACGGCGGATGGTATCCGTCAAAAGGCGCAGGAAAAAGCGGAAGAGGCTTATAAAAAGTTAAAACCTCATGAGGCTCTGACCCAAAAAATCGGAGAGATTATGAATGCTAATAAGAGAATTGAGAGCGTGCATACTGAGCTGGGAAAGGTTCATAGCAATTTGGGAGCGTGGAAGACTCAGGCCAGGAGTGTGCTTCAAGGGGCGATTGACAAGGCGACGGAAGTTTGGACAGCGTTGGATGATAAGAATGATGATCAACATCCTGTCGCTCAAAACATTAATAAAATTAGCTCACATAATTCTGAAACCCAGAAGGCAAATACACAACTCGCCGGACATGTCAAGAGTTTGAATGATTGGAACTCCGCCGCCCAGAATGTTATTACCAAGGCTGAGCAGAAGTGTGAGGAGATACTGAAGAGGGTTGATAAGGATCATAAAGATTATAAAGGAGGAAAGAATGGCCCTGTGATTTATACGCAGGCTGAAAAGTTACAAAATGAAGGTAAAAGACTTTTGCAGGCTGCGACTGATGCTAAAAAGGCTGTTGAGTCTAAAGTCGGTGACGCACTGAACGCTGTTGTGGAAATGGACACATCTCTCAAGAAGGATTTGAAGGAGGTGAAAGATAAGATTAAATTGGGGATGCAGAATGTGATTGAGCAGTTGGAAGTTAATAAGTTGGATCAGAAGGTGAGAGATGATTTGAAGAGTTTGAAGGGGAATATCATGAAGCTTAACCAGCAGGTTAAAGATGATGACTCAGATGATAATATAGTTGGTGGGCAATTGAAGGCGCTTAAAACGCAAAAGACTATTTTAGATAATACTACTAGCAAGGAACATGGTTCAATCGCGAGGGAGACTGGATTGCTTGAAAGTAAGTTTCAGACCGCGATCCAAGGGCCGCTTAACAAAAAAGTCAAAGCAGTTGACACGGCGATTGGGAAGCTTGGCGGGAAGTTTACTGGGATCCAAAGCGAGGAGGACAAAAGGACAATTGCAGGTATTTTCGAGCATATTAAAGGAAAGGTTGGGAAGATTAAGGGGGAGTCAGGGCAAAAAAAGAGTAAATGGTATCTTGAAGATGGTTCAGGTCTCCTTGGCATTGAGGGTGCGATAAATCATTATTTTGAGGCGTTTTCCACTGGGCATGATTTTAAATGGAAAATAGTTAAAGGCTGGCTGGATGATATGTTGCCGCACAACGGCGTGGTGAAAAAGATACTTAAGGGGCTAGGGTGGGATGAGAAGAGAGGCGATTTTCTGCCGACTGCGTTTAATGTGAACCATAGTCTGACGGAGAAAATTAGGGACACGCAGAATCTTAGCACAGAAATTCAGAAAGGCGTTGACGTGTTCAAAGGTCAACAATCCACCGCCGGCATTCAAGAAAAAATTAAAGCTGTCAAAACAGCCTGCGAGACGTTCGCTGACGCTCTGGATGAGAAGCTCAAGAACTCGGGAAATGGAATAGTCTCTGAGGTTAAGGGTGTGGAGGGGCTGAAGAAAAGCGGCGTCCAAGACCCCAAATGCATCTGCGACTGCTATAATTGCAACTACTATGGTGGAGAAGGGTGTGCCAAGAAAGCTGCCGCCGAATTGATCATGTGCGCACTCACCGCTGTGTCCCGGCAGGTGGGCAAGGAGGTTGATTCCCTTATGCTCGCCGACTACAGGATGGGCGGCAAGGGCAGTAATATGAACATCGCAAAGGCGTTGGATCAAGCTGTTGCAGCGACAAACAAGCTTCACGGTCAGCTCACCGCGGCGACTGCTACCAACCAAGGCACCGACCCAAATGTAAGCCCCGCCCAAGCCGTGGACAAGAGGTTGGAGGCAGTGAGGGATGAGGTGAATACCAACATTACGAATAAGTTTAAAAGCAATGTAATAAACCAACTTGAGATTGAGGTCAAGAAACTTCCCGACGCCGTTAAAGAGTTCGACGAGAAAGCTAAGGAGCAGATCAGGGCTGCGGCAAATACGGCGATTCAGCAGGCGGCTGGGCAGATTAGTAAGAGCCAGGGTAAAATAGAGTTTAGTAGGGATTTCATGAACAAATTCGATGAGACCCACAAGACAATCATTGACCCCCGTGATGGCCTCGAGTCACAACTCAAGAAGCAAGTTGAGAATCACATTGGGCAGAATGATCCGACAAGTGGTCAAGGTGGTAAAGCAGCTGAGAAAATCACAATCACTGAAGATAATTTTAGAAATTACAACGATCACGTTAAACAAGATCATTCTAACCTAAAGAATGGTAATCTACAAGGCATTGATAAGGAAGGCAAACTTCCACTGGCGATCGGGGACATCAAGACTCAGGGTCTGGCGGCGCTTGAAAAGCATATCGGTGATAAACCCACAGAAAAGATAGACGATGATACATTCACCGGCCCGTTCGACAAAATTCAGAAAGAGCTTGAAGAGATCACGAACTTGATTAGTGACACAAGGGCAGGATACCTTGGTGAATCCGTCACAAATGGAAGTGGCCTCAAAAACCTGTTTAAAAATCTTAAAAGTGCGCTTGATCAAGGCAAGTTAGATGGAACTGATAAAGGCCTCGACGCAATCAGGGAGGCGATTAACGGTCTTCAAAGCAATGCGTTTACTACAGGACCCGATGAAATCGAGAAAGCCGGCCGAGAAATTAAGACGCAGCTTGAAGAACTTAGAGGGAAGTTGAAGAAAGACGGTGATAGTGATAAAACTGCCGTTGTCAACGCTTTGCAAGATTTGAAAGAGAAGGGGCTTGGTGGCCATTGGACGGACAATAATAATGGAGATTGGAAAGGTACAAAAGGTTTAACAGCAATACAACACCGACTTGAAATTCAAAATGCTGAATTGCCCAGACAAACCAAACAAATAACCAAAGCAATTGTCAACATTAAATGGGAGCTTGCAAAAGTCGGACTCAAGTTTCAAAATATATTCACCGACAATGTCATCTTTGACCGGTTGGAAAAACTGAAAGAGAAGATTGGTCAAGGTAAAAAAAATGGTGACCACCTTCAAGGAATTCATGACGTGATTAGTCAGCTGCAAAAGGCGCAATTTACTGATCATCCCAATCAAATCGGCAGCGCAAAGGACCAAATTGCAAGTGAACTTAATACCCTCAGAACTACGCTGGAAAGCAAAAACGGGGAGGATGTCATTACCACGCTGACCGATTTACAGACCAAGGGGCTGAGTGACAATCGGTGGGATGAGAAAAATGTAAATGGTTTTCAAAAAATCCAAAATGATCTTAACACTCAACAAAGGACGTTGACCACACAGCCCGAACAAATTAACCAAGGCGTCAACCAGATCACCAGGGAGCTTACAGAGCTGAGGACTGAGTTGCAGGGTAAGGATGACACTGAGCCAAAAGAAAGAGGCGTGATAAAGAATATGGAATTTATGATTAAGAAGATTGGTGAGGACAAAAATGAAGGTCTTGAAAAAATCAAGAAAGACATTGCCACCCTCAATAAGGACACAGTCCCTGACATCAACAAATTCCTTGGTGAACTGTGCGCCAAGATTGCGAGCGAAGCCGGTAGTGTGGATTGGAAGTTGGGGCTTTTCAAAGAGAATAACATCGACAAAGACCTCGAAAAAATCAAGTCACAAATTGACACCCTCCGCATAGATGACCTCCACAAGGCCATCGCCATGTGCGACAATTTCCTAACCAACGCCGTTTACATAAAATGGGAGAAAGTAGAAAACATTGAACGCTTCGTAGACAGTGAGATTGAAAAGGCAATCGCGGAGCTCAGCAAGCAGGCGCGGCGGGACTACGTGGAGTCCGCGAAGGACGCGCTGAAACACTTCGCCGCCAAGGCGTCCGAGGAGCTGGGGGAGCTGCCTGAGGAGATAAACAGGGATCTCTTCGTGGGCTTCAAGGGCTTCATGAGGCAGATGGAGGGTGAGCGCAGCGAAAACATTAATAGGCTAAGGAACGTGCAGAGCAGAATGCTCCGAGCATTGTCCTCCGCGTTCCAGAATTTCTTCGCGCCGCTCGACGAGTATCTCCGTAAGGAGATTGAGAGAGTGAAGAAGCAGAGTGACGACGAAAAGAATCCCTCACTGCCGAAGTCGGAAGAGCCCTACGCCGCCGAGTGGGACGCCGTGCACAGCGATGTCAACGCCCTGCTCAATTACCTCTGCGTGACGCAGGGCTTCGACGACAGGCTGCGAGGCCTGCTCCACAACCTCACCGACGCGCTCACACAGCTGAGGCCGCAGGGCTTCCAGAAGCCCTCCGCTCCCACGCTGGGCTCCGTGAGCAGGGGACTCAGTGCCTTCACCGCTGAGTTCGGCGATGCTTACATCTCCACTTACTCGGGCGCAGAGTGCCGGGAGACGGACGCCGACAAGTACGCCAAGGTGTTGCTGAGCTTGATCCCGATGACGCACGAGGCGCTTACCAATTTGGCAGACAAATGCGGCACCAACTGGAAGAGCAACAAAATATGCAAGCTCACCGGCGACGACAGGGACAACGGCCTGGGCAACTACCTCACCAAATGCGGCTTCAAGGTGTCACCCACCGACGGACTCCAGGAGGGGGAGTTGCAAAATCGTTTTTCGGGCGGCGCAGTTCATGAGCTACTTGCATCCCCAGTGGCCGAAGTGACCACCAAAATGCTGATCGACGGCAAGCCTGCGGAAAACGGAATTAATGTTGTCGACTTAGTTGCGCTTTTCTATAACATGCTTTGTCGCTACCTCCAGGTCTGCCACCTTAAAGTACACGAATCGCCCAGGTACCCCTGCACGGTGAGGGACATGTTGTCTTGGCTCTCAGGCCTGCAGTACACTCCGGTGGCGGACAAACTGCCTGACCACTGCAGGGCGTTGCTCAACCGCAAGTGCGACGATAACGATGCCCCCAACAGGGACGACGCTGTCATGGCACAGTGCATCAACGGCCTGCCCTACACTATCGCAGAAGCGTGTTCACACGCCGACTTGCTGCTCATCGCAATCCAGGGCCACGGCCGCGGCTTTGACCTCGCCGCCTATCCCTACTCCGTCGACTTCGCCAACAACACCGCACAGCTCCACTACCCGGCCGACCCCGACGAGCTGCTGGAGATGATGAGACGGATAATATGCCGCCTGTGTCGCGTCCTGTATTTCCTCTACGCCCAGTGCTGCCGTGCCACCGCCACAACCAAGGGCTGGCGGGAGTGCCACTACGGTCGGCAGGTGCCGTCCTCCCACTGGCAGTGTAACACCTTCGACAGGCAGGCCACCGACGCAAGTCACAACTGCCCGCCCACATCTCCGCTGCAGTCGTTCCTCACAGACAGCTGTCCCAGCCTCCTGCCGCATAAGCTTACCGTACTGACAATGCCATCGAATGCGTCGACTGCCCCGCCAACCAACCAGGCCAGCAGTGCCTCACCCCGCTCGGCTTCTGGGACCTTGGCCTCGCTGCCTCAGTAGCGCGTACCGGCAAGGAACTTGCGAAGTCACTCGGCCGTCTCTGCAGTGACGCCGACGCCTGCCTCTTCCAACTCTGCCGAACGCTGCGCTTGCTGTGCCCCTCAGCACCGCAGTCACTCGGCGACGTGTTTGCGCTGTTCTTCATCTGCTGAGAATGTGGAACCACGAATCGTCCCGGCGTGCGTACTCTCACCATGAGAGTTACCTAACGCATCTGAACGGTGATGCTATAAACAGTCTCTTCCCTCTGTGGCCGCAGCTCCACGGCAGTTACCGTAATGCCAATCTCACCGACGCGCTCAAGGCACTCGCCGGGCACGACCATGACAACTCAGGGCACAATGCCCTCTCATGTCTCTCCGCCGAGCCTCCTTGTCAATCACCCAGTGGATGCGCCCCCTTCCTCCAGCCGCTGGCGCTGCACGCCAACCACACCTTCCCGCAGAAGCACGCACAGCTGTATGTCTCGTGGATAGTGTGGCTGGCATGGCAGCTGTGGGAGCTGCTGGAGTCCCTGCTGGACGCCTTGAACAACATCGACTGCACGGCCCACGGCTGTGCCACGTGCCTCTGTCAGCCAAGCAACCACAACGACAAGGACTCCTGCCACTGCCCGTCACTCGTCGAATGTGGCGGACCTCTGCCGACACTCTACCGCTACGGATTCACGTATCGCAACGCCCACGCCCTGCTCGCCGGCAGCCAGAAGATACGGTGCAGTGACCTCAACGACCAACTCACCAAGGCACTCCACTCCGACCACTTCACTCAACTGTTCCACCAGATCGACCAACTCCTCTACACCATCCGTATGCCCTTCCTCTTCGCCATCACAGCACTCTGGCTCATCGCCACGCTCTTCATCGCCCACTCACTACTCTACCATGGACGTGCTGCGCATCCGCTCCCCACCTACTACCAGGGCCTCACACCTCATCTACGTCAAGGCTTTACTCGCCGGCAGCCGCAGGATGCTCTCGCTCTACAAGGACGTCGACTACTTGACGATGACTTCACTCGTGAGTGTAATTATCTTAGCTACATTCACATTGCATTCCTCTCTTTGTGTTGCCATGTCTCATCACGTCTCTCATCGTGACTGTATGTCCCGCCTTGCTTAGCACATAACTCACTGCCTAACCTAGCACTTAACCTGACGTCTGGCCAAAGTGCTTACCTAGCACCTAACCTAACATGTAACCTACCACCTAACCAAACTGCTTACCTAGCACCTAACCAAATGGCTTACCTAGCACTAACCAAACTGCTTACCTAGCACTTAACCAAGAGGCTTACCTAGCACCTAACCAAACTGCTTACCTAGCACCTAACCAAGAGGCTTACCTAGCACTTAACCAAATGGCATACCTAGCACCTGACCAAACTGCTCACCTAGCACCTGACCAAATGCCTATCCTAAGATGTAACCTACTCTGCTGCTTTGTCATCTCCCTTCTCCGTTTGTCGCCTTGCCGTCACTCCCTAAACGCCCTCCTTCATCCCTCCTTTCAGTGGATTGAGGTGCGGACGCCGCCGTTAAGGCGGCTAAGGAGAAGGCGGAAGATGTACATGGAGGTTGGATCATAATAAAAACGATGCTTCAGGGACCGTGATTGGTCAGGGGATTGGTAAAATTGAGGAAGCTAAAGACAAAGTTAAGCAAGTTGACAAAGCTCAGTCAGCATATTGATGAGTTGGGAACATGGAAATCTGCGGCGCACAGTGTCCTTTCCACAGCGGTTGAAAAGGCAGAAGAGGTGTGGCAAGTTGAACCCAGATGGTAAGGATCCTATTGGTCAGAACATTGATAAGATTCACACTTCCAACGAAGCGATTAAAGAAGCAAATGAGGACCTTAAAAGCCATGTCGACAGTCTGAGTACATGGATCTCCACCGCCGAGGACATCCGTGCCAAGGCCCAGCAAAAGCAGAAGATGCTTACAAGAAATTGACGTTAACGCTGAATTGAGCAACAATGTCAAGAAGATTGTAGATGCTAATAAGGCAATTGAAGGAGTTCATAAAAGTCTGAATGGTGTCCACGGCAATTTGGAAACGTGGAATGCGGAGGCCAAGAAAGTGCTTCAAGGGGCGATTGAAAAGGCAACGGAAGTTCATGATGCGTTGGAAGATAAGAGTAAGTCACTTGGTGAAAATATTGACAAAATTGACAGTGCTGGAAAGCAAATTGAGAAGGCAAATTCAGAGCTTGGCAACCATGTTAAGGATTTGACGAGTTGGAACTCTGCCGCCCAGGGTGTTATTGGCAAGGCGGAGGGAAGTGTAATACAATTTTGGAGAAAGTTAGTACCACAAATCCCCAAGGTCCGATTTTTCAGAATGCTCAAACTTTAGAAAGTAAGGGAATAAAACTTTTGGATGCGGTAACTAAGGCTAAAAGGCTGTTGAGGAGAATGTCACCGAGGCGTTGCAGGCTGTTGTGACCATGGACGGAGATCTCAAGAGGGATTTGAGGACAGTGAGAGAGGAGATTAAGAGAGGGATAACGGAAGTTATTACATCTTTGAGGGTTAATGATTTGGGTGATCTGGTGAAAGGGGATTTGAAGACGTTGAAGGAGAATATTAGTGAGCTTGCAAATGGTATGGAAGGTAATGACAAACATCCATTAGTTGAAAGTGCGTTGTCTCAGCTTAAAGAACAGAAAGATAAGCTGAATGTTCTTGCTGGGCCAAACGGTTCAATTAAGAAGGAGACGGACGGGCTTCAAGATAAGTTTGAGAATGCGATCCAACAGCCGCTTAAGACGTTGACTGAGAATGTTGACAAGGCGATTGAGGTGCTTGGCGGGAATTTTGGTGTAAGTGGCGAAGAAGATAAAAAGAAACTTGAGAAGATTTTCGGGCATATTAAAGGAAAGGTTGCGGAGATTAAGGGGAATGGAGGTTCAGGTTGGGAAAATACAGGTGGCAAAGGCCTGGATGGAATTAAGTCCAAGGTGAATTTTTATTTTGGTGAGTTCAGCGAGGAGTATAAGTTTAACCAAATTGTGAAAGGCTGGATTGAAAAGACTATTATGCCGCATAACGGTTTGGTCAGTGATAGGATTAAGAACAAGATTTTTGGAGGGAGTACAAGTAACGCCATCCAGAATATCGCAAATGGTTTTAAGGAACAGCTTAAGATCCAAGCAGATGCAGCCGGTGGAGTGGTTCAAGCAAAAAATGGCTCTGGTGGAGATATTGCAAAAAGCATCCAAGCTGTGAAGGCAGGCTGCGAGGCATTCGCCGATGATCTTGACGGGAAACTGAAGGAACCGGACAGTGTTAAATCTGGCATAGTCTCTAAGGTTAAGGAAAAGTTGACAAGTTACATAAAACGCGACGCAAAATGCATATGCTATTGCAGTCACTGCAGAGGCACAGAGTGTAAGCAAAACTCTGTCACCGCTGTCATCCTGGGTGCACTCGCCGCCGTGTCCCGGCAGGTTGGCAACGAACTGAATTCAGTGTTTCTCAGCCCCGATAGCGCAAACATCGCTGGCATCCTGGACACTATCACGCCGATTGCTGAGGAACTTGATGAGAAGCTTAAAGCGGCGACAAACAATTCCCTTCCTCCCCCCGGCCAAAAGGAAAGCCCCGCCCAAGCCGTGGACAAGAGGTTGGGTGAAGTGAGTAAGCAAGTTGTGGAGCTTGAAGAGACCTTTAAAGAGAACGTCAAAAAACCACTTGAAGAAGAAGTCAAGAAACTTCCCGCCGCCGTTAAAGAGTTCGACGAGAAAGCTCAAGAGCAGATCAAGGCTGCGGCCAAGGCGGCGATTACAGCGGCGGCTGAGCAGATTAGCAGTGGTAAGGATGTACAGCCTGATGACGTGCAGAACAAAATGCCTAATTTCAGTGGTACCTACAAGAATATAACAGAAAATCTCGAGAAAGACCTTAAAAAGGAAGTTGATGCGCACATTGGGACGGATGAGAATGGTGTAGTTAACATTAAAGGCACTGGACAGTTTAAGGATTACGATAATCACGTTAATCAAGATAGGCTTAAGACCGGTGAAGACCTAAAAGGTACCAAAGACGAAGGCAAACTCCCAGAGGCGATCGGGAAGATTAGTACTGAGGGTCTGGATGCGCTTAAGATCATCGATAAAAATGGCGGTGGCAGAGCAGCCGAAATTACTCAACAAACCTTCACCGGTCCGTTCGGCAAAATTGAGGAACAGCTTGAGGAGATCAAGAAATTGGTTGATGGTGAACGCTCCGGCAGTTCATTTATGGAAGGAGACCCGAATGAAGGCATCAAGGACTTTTTACGTAATTTAACAAGTATGCTTGGCAATGCGTTTTTGTTGACGGTAATAAAGGTTTAGATGAAATTAAAAAGGCAATTGAAGGTCTGCATAAAACTCCGTTCACTACCCATCCCAAGGCAATTGACACAGCCGTCACAGCAATTAAGGAAGAATTGAGGAAGCTGAGAGGGAAGTTGAAGAAAGAACCAAGTGGAGGGCAAGATAACGATGTGATTGACGACCTGAGTGAGATGCTGAGCAACGGGCTGGGCACCGGTAAAGGCAAATGGCCAACCAAAGGTTCAAGTAACCTCGACGGTCTGGGGAGCATTGCTGAGGAGCTTCAGGCGCAGAATGGGAAGTTGCCGGGGCAAACAAAAATTATTGGCGACGCTACGCAGAGTATCATAAACGATATTACAACATTGCTTTCAAACGTCAAAATGAAATTGGGTCACAATATCATTCCCAATAATGACATTGCATATTACATGGGACAGTTGCAGAAGAAACTTGGGAAGGACGTCTCAAAGCAGGACGATGATACTCTGGTAAAAATCCATCACGGAATTCAAAATCTGCGAGCCAAAGCGTTTTCTACAAATCCAGAGACATTGGCAGCGCCGTCAATACAATGAGGAGAGAATTCAAATGGCTACAACATGTGCTGCAAGGCAATGAGGGCGAAGATGTGATTGAGACATTGAAGGATTTCGTGGGCAAGGGGCTAGGTAAACAGCAGTGGAACAAATATGGAAACGGTAACAAAGGCCTTCAAAGCGTCCAAGATGATCTCCAAACTCAACGAAATACGTTGACTCAGCAACCGGGAAAATTAGTGTAGGAGTTTCACAAATTGAAAATGAGCTCACAAAGCTAAGAGACAGATTCCTGAAAACAGACAATGGAGCGACTAGGGAAACCGACAAAGGCGTGCTGAACAATCTGGCCGACGTGATAAAAGAGATAAGTAAGGATTCAGAGGCAAGTGGACTAAGCAAAATTAAGAAGGAAATTGCAGAGCTTAACACTGCCACAGTCCCGAAGGTGACTGACTACCTCAATAAGCTGTGCAACGCTGTCACCAACCACGCCGGAAATGCGGGATGGCATCTGGGCCAGCTGGAAGAAAGGCATATTAATGAGGGACTGAAAGGCATAGAGAATGACATTAACACCCTCAGCACCGATGACCTCCAGGAGGCAATAGAGATGTGCGACAAGTTCCTCACCGACGCCGACGAGATAGAGAGGAACACAGTGAAAGGCCTTGAGAAATTCGTGGACTACGAAGTTAACGATGCAATTGAAGAACTCACAAAAGAGGCCCGTCAGGACTACGTGGAGTCCGCGAAGGACGCGCTGAAACACTTCGCCCTAAAGGCGGAGAGTGAGCTGGGGGAACTGCCCGGCGAGATAAACAGGGATCTCTTCGTGGGCTACAAGGGCCTCATGAAGCAGATGGAGGGTGAGCGCAGCGAAAACATTAATAGGCTAAGGAACGTGCAGAGCAGAATGCTCCGAGCATTGTCCTCCGCGTTCCAGAATTTCTTCGCGCCGCTCGACGAGTATCTCCGTGAGGAGATTGAGAGAGTGAAGAAGCAGAGTGACGACGAAAAGAATCCCTCACTGCCGAAGTCGGAAGAGCCCTACGCCGCCGAGTGGGACGCCGTGCACAGCGATGTCAACGCCCTGCTCAATTACCTCTGCGTGACGCAGGGCTTCGACGACAGGCTGCGAGGCCTGCTCCACAACCTCACCGACGCGCTCACACAGCTGAGGCCGCAGGGCTTCCAGAAGCCCTCCACTCCCACGCTGGACTCCGTGAGCAGGGGACTCAGTGCCTTCGCCGGTGAGTTCGGCGGTGCGTACATCTCCACTTACTCGGGCGCGGAGTGCCGGGAGGCTGACGCCGACAAGTACGCCAAGGTGTTGCTGAGCTTCACCCCGATGGTGCACGAGGCGCTTAGCAACTTGGCAGAGAAATGCGGCACCAACTGGAAGAGCAACAAAATATGCAAGCTCACCGGCGACGACAGGGACAACGGCCTGGGCAACTACCTCACCAAATGCGGCTTCAAGGTGTCACCCACCGACGGACTCCAGGTGGGGGAATTGCAAAATCGTTTTTCGGGCGGCGCAGTTCATGAGCTACTTGCATCCCCAGTGGCCGAAGTGACCACCAAAATGCTGATCGACGGCAAGCCTGCGGAAAACGGAATTAATGTTGTCGACTTAGTTGCGCTTTTCTATAACATGCTTTGTCGCTACCTCCAGGTCTGCCACCTTAAAGTACACGAATCGCCCAGGTACCCCTGCACGGTGAGGGACATGTTGTCTTGGCTCTCAGGCCTGCAGTACACTCCGGTGGCGGACAAACTGCCTGACCACTGCAGGGCGTTGCTCAACCGCAAGTGCGACGATAACGATGCCCCCAACAGGGGCGACGATGTCATGGCACAGTGCATCAACGGCCTGCCCTACACTATCGCAGAAGCGTGTTCACACGCCGACTTGCTGCTCATCGCAATCCAGGGCCACGGCCGCGGCTTTGACCTCGCCGCCTATCCCTACTCCGTCGACTTCGCCAACAACACCGCACAGCTCCACTACCCGGCCGACCCCGACGAGCTGCTGGAGATGATGAGACGGATAATATGCCGCCTGTGTCGCGTCCTGTATTTCCTCTACGCCCAGTGCTGCCGTGCCACCGCCACAACCAAGGGCTGGCGGGAGTGCCACTACGGCCGGCAGGTGCCGTCCTCCCACTGGCAATGTAACCCATTAAACAAGCAGGCCACCGACGCAAGTCACAACTGCCCGCCCACATCTCCGCTGCAGTCGTTCCTCACAGACAGCTGTCCCAGCCTCCTGCCGCATAAGCTCAGTGTAGTTGACAATGCCATCGAATGTGCCGACTGCCCTGCCAACCTACCAGGCCAGCAGTGCCTCACCCCGCTCGGCTTCTGGGACCTTGGCCTGGCAGCCTCCATGAGACGCACCGGCAGGGAACTTGCGAAGTCACTCGGCCGTCTCTGCAGTGACGCCGACGCCTGCCTCTTCCAACTCTGCCGAACGCTGCGCTTGCTGTGCCCCTCAGCACCGCAGTCACTCGGCGACGTGTTTGCGCTGTTCTTCCAAATGCTCAGAGTGTGGGATCACGAATCGTCCCGGCGTGCGTACTCTCACCATGAGAGTTACCTAACGCATCTGAACGGTGAGGCCATCGACAAGCTGTTCCCTCTGTGGACTCAGCTCCACGGCAGTTACCGTAATGCCAATCTCACCGACGCGCTCAAGGCACTCGCCGGGCACGACCATGACAACTCAGGGCACAATGCCCTCTCAAGCCTCTCCGCCGAGCCCCCTTGTCAATCACCCAGTGGATGCGCCCCCTTCCTCCAATCGCTGTCGCTGCACGCCAACCACACCTTCCCGCAGAAGCACGCACAGCTGTATGTCTCGTGGATAGTGTGGCTGGCATGGCAGCTGTGGGAGCTGCTGGAGTCCCTGCTGGACGCCTTGAACAACATCGACTGCACGGCCCACGGCTGTTCCACGTGCCTCTGTCAGCCAAGCAACCACAACGACAAGGACTCCTGCCACTGCCCGTCACTCGTCGAATGTGGCGGACCTCTGCCGACACTCTACCGCTACGGATTCACGTATCGCAACGCCCACGCCCTGCTCGCCGGCAGCCAGAAGATACGGTGCAGTGACCTCAACGACCAACTCACCAAGGCACTCCACTCCGACCACTTCACTCAACTGTTCCACCAGATCGACCAACTCCTCTACACCATCCGTATGCCCTTCCTCTTCGCCATCACAGCACTCTGGCTCATCGCCACGCTCTACATCCTCCACTCACTGCTCTACCGCATGGACGTCCTACGCATCCGCTCCCACCTCCTCACCACCAGGGCCTCACACCTCATCGACGTCAAGGCGCTGCTCGCCGGAAGCCGCAGGATGCTCTCGCTCTACAAGGACGTCGACTACTTCGACGATGACTTTCACTCGTGACAGTAATTATCGTAGCTACATTACATTTACATTCCTCGTGTTGCCATGTCATGTCACGTCTTTCCTTGTGACTGTGTCTCGTGCCTTGCCGAGCACCTAAGTCACTGCCTAAGCAAGTGGCTCACCTAGCACGTAACCAAGCACATAACCTAAGATGTAACCTACCACCTAACCCACAATTTACTAGATGCGTTGGTATATTCGTTGTTTCACACGCCACCCGTGAACGTGTCCACGCCGTTGCTTAATCTCAGTGTACCGTCAAGATGACTGCTTGCTATCTCCCCACCGCTGTGCCGGGCGAGTGTCTCACACGTCCGTTACCATGTGCGTTCGCAGGCAGTGAAGTCGTTGTGACGGCCATTGTACAGCCTAGTCAAGCGGCATCTATGACCACATTGTGGCGGCCGGTAATACAGTAGTCACTGCCCTCATAGCTGCACTCATCGTTTGCCTCGTCACCTATCTCCTCAAATGGCGAACATTAATACGCTGCGTGATTACATCAATTAGCATTGGATATTAATTGAATTATTATTCCTTACAAGATGGTTTCATACAATTCTAATATTGCACTGATTACGTGGCGTCATTGTACCCGCATCCTTCACCTCCATATCATCCTTTTACTCCCCGACTCCAGTAACACTGCACATGTTGCTCTCCGCAGCTGTCCGACCACCTCCACGACATGACACCAGTAGCATCATTCAGTCCACTTAGCCATCCAGTAGCAAACTCACATTCGACGTAGAAGTACTACCGGCGTCACCTTCAATTTCAAGGTTTAGGTTTAGGTTATGCTTAACGGCAGCCACACCAAACTTGCCACCTAACCAAACGTCTTACCTAACAGGTAACCTATCACCTAACCTATGACGTCACCTAGTCGCTGCTTTGTCATCTCCCTTCTCCGTTTGTCGCCTTGCCGTCACTCCCTAAACGCCCTCCTTCATCCCTCCTTTCAGTGGATTGAGGCTGCGGACGCCGCCGTTAAGGCGGCTAAGGAGAAGGCGGAAGATGTACATGGGAGGTTGGATCATAATAAAAACGATGCTTCAGGGACCGTGATTGGTCAGGGGATTGGTAAAATTGAGGAAGCTAAAGACAAAGTTAAGCAAGTTGACAAAAAGCTCAGTCAGCATATTGATGAGTTGGGAACATGGAAATCTGCGGCGCACAGTGTCCTTTCCACAGCGGTTGAAAAGGCAGAAGAGGTGCGTGGCAAGTTGAACCCAGATGGTAAGGATCCTATTGGTCAGAACATTGATAAGATTCACACATCCAACGAGGCGATTAAAGAAGCAAATGAGGACCTTAAAAGCCATGTCGACAGTCTGAGTACATGGATCTCCACCGCCGAGGACATCCGTGCCAAGGCCCAGCAAAAAGCAGAAGATGCTTACAAGAAATTGGACGTTAACGCTGAATTGAGCAACAATGTCAAGAAGATTGTTGACGCTAATAAGAGAATTGAAGCAGTGCATAGTGGTCTGAATAGTGTCCATGGCAATTTGGAAAAGTGGAATGAGCAGGCCAAGAAGGTGCTTGCCGGGGCGATTGGGAAGGCGACGCAAGTTCATGATGCATTGAAAGATGAGAGTAAGCCACTTGGTGAAAATATTGACAAAATTGACAGTGCTGGAAAGCAAATTGAGAAGGCAAATTCAGAACTTGGCACTGAAGTTCAGCATTTAGGTAAGTGGAGTGAGGCCGCCAAGGATGTTATTGGCAAGGCGGAGCAGAAGTGTGATAAAATTTTGGAGAAAGTTAAGACAGATGGAACTTCAACAGGCGTGATTTATAACCAAGCTCAAGAATTAGAAAAGCAAGGTAAAAAGCTTTTGAATGCTGCGCAAGATGCTAAGAGGCTTGTTGAGTCTCAGGTCTCTGAGGCCTTGCAGGCTGTTGTTCAAATGGACGCATCTCTCAAGAAGGATTTGAAGAGTGTGAAGGAGGAGATTAAGAAAGGGATTACAAGTGTGATTACTAAGTTGAAAGTGAAGACTTTGGATGGTTTGGTGAAACAGGATTTGGGGAAGTTGAGGGGGAGGATTGAGGGGCTTGGCAAGGATGTGGAGAGTAATGGTCTTGTTAAAGCTCAGTTGGAAAAACTTGCGGAAGAGAAGAAAAATCTTGAAACAGTAACTGGCAAGACAACTGGCACAATTGATAAGGAAATGGGTCAACTTGAAAGTAAGTTTAATACTTACATCAAGACTCCGCTCAACAGTAAAGTCCAAGCAGTTGACAAGGCGATTGGGAAGCTTGGCGGGCATTTTAAAGACGGCGGTGGGAATGGAAAGAAAAATTTTAATGATATTTTCGGGCATATTAAAGGAAAGGTTGCGGCAATTAAGGGGACGCCGGGGACAAGTTGGGATAACTCAGGTGGCTCAGGCCTGGATGGGATTAAGTCCAAGGTAGAGAATTATTTCAGTGCATTTGCTGGGCAGTGGGCGTTCAAGAATATAGTGAAGGGCTGGATTGAAAAGACTATTTTGCCGCATAACGGTTTGGTAAGTAATAAGATTAATGACAAGATTGTTAATGGGAGTACAAGTAACGCCATCCAGAATATCGCAAATGGTTTTAAGGAACAGCTTAAGATCCAAGCAGATGAAGCAGGCCGAAAGGTTCAAAGCGTGAAAAATGGCGACGGCGGAGATATTGCAAAAAGCATTCAAGCTGTGAAGGCAGGCTGCGAGGCATTCGCCGATGATCTTGACGGGAAACTGAAGGAACCGGACAGTGTTAAATCTGGCATAGTCTCTAAGGTTAAGGAAAAGTTGACAAGTTACATAAAACGCGACGCAAAATGCATATGCTATTGCAGTCACTGCAGAGGCACAGAGTGTAAGCAAAACTCTGTCACCGCTGTCATCCTGGGTGCACTCGCCGCCGTGTCCCGTCAGGTGGGCAACGAACTGAAGTCTGTGTTTCTCAGCCCCGATAGCGCAAACATCGCTGGCATCCTGGACACTATCACGCCGATTGCTGAGGAACTTGATGAGAAGCTTAAAGCGGCGACAAACAATTCCCTTCCTCCCCCCGGCCAAAAGGAAAGCCCCGCCCAAGCCGTGGACAAGAGGTTGGGTGAAGTGAGGAATGAAGTTAGTACAGAAATTGAAAGGAAGTTTAGAGATGAAGTCACAAGAGATCTTAAAAGTGCAGTTGGTGGCCTTGAAGAAGCAGTTAACCAGTTCGACGGCGAAGCTCAAAAGCAGATCAAGAATGCGGCCAGGACGGCGATTGACAAGGCGGCTGAGCAGATTAAGGAGGAAAAGAGTCCAATTGTGCTTGGCCAAAATAAGCTTATGGAGCAATTCAACACTCAGTTTACTACTATTAAAAGTAGTCTCGAACATCAACTCAAGCAGCAAGTTAACAATCACATTAGGGAGGATGATCCGCCAGGCCTGGCAGGTGGTCAACAACAGAAATTCATTCTTGCTAAACAATATTTTACAGGTTATGATAACCATGTTAAACAAGAAGCAATTAATAAACTTAGTCCCGGTGGAACTCTAACCGGCAAGCCAGATGAAGGCCATCTTCCACAGGCGATCGGGAACATCAAGAATCAGGGTCTGGCAGAGCTTAAAATCATTGATCCACCAGGAGGTACTGGTAAAATAGATACCAATACCTTCACCGTTCCGTTCACCCAAATTCAGACAGAGCTTGACGATATCAAGAAATTGGTTGAGAATAAGCAGGGGACTCCACCAGGCGGTAAGCCAAACGGCGCGAAGGACTACCTGGGGACTTGAGAGGGATGGTTACTCAGAATGGTGAGTGTACTCTTAAGTCTGATGTAGACCCACAGTACCAACAAGTCCAAGGCCTCGACGCAATTCACTCCAAGATCCACGGCCTGCAAACAGGGACGCTTGGCACTAAACCCGCTGCAATCGAGGAAGCCGTCCAAGAAATTAGGAAGGAGCTTGGAGAGCTTAGACAGAAGTTGAAGAATGAGAAAGATCAAGATGTCATTGAAAGGTTAAAGGATCTGAGAGACAGTGGACTTGGTGGCCATTGGAATGATAAGAATGGAGATTGGAGAGAAAGCAAGGGACTAAAAGTAATACAACACCGACTTGAAATTCAAAATTACAAGTTACCTGAGCAGACGGCAAAAATCGAAAACGCGATAAACGAAATTAATCGGCAACTTCATCTAATAGGATACAAGTTGGATCACCCCGTGGAGTATGACGATGTCATAGACCGATTGACATGGTTGGGGAGGAAAATTGGTAGAAGTGAGAAAGGATATCGTTATAATCTTGAAGACATTTATCAGATGATTAAATGGCTGCAGGAAGAACATTTTATTAATTTACCCGATGCAATTGGCACAGCCAACTCAGCAATCAAGGAAGCACTCAAAGCGCAGATGAGCACGCTGGACACTGACGTCATCAAGACGCTGACCAATTTAATGACCACGGGGCTGAGTGAACAGGCAAGTTGGCAGCCTAGTGGACAGAAAAATGCCAAGGGCTTTGATCATATTATTAGTGAACTTAGCAATCAACAAGGCATATTGACCAAACAGCCCGAACAAATTAACCAAGGCGTCAACCAGATCACCAGCGAGCTTGAAAAGCTGAGGAAGGAGTTGCTGGGTGAGGAGGACACTGATCCAGTAAAAAGAGGCGTGATAAGGAATATGGATTTCATGATAAAGGAGATTGGGAAAGGTAAAGGAAATGGACTTGAATGCATTGAAAAAGCAATTGCAGAGCTTAACAGGGAGACAGTCCCGAAGGTGACTGAGTACCTTGATAAGCTCTGTGCAGAAATAAGGCTGCAAGCAAGGGATGCCAAATTCTTTTTGGGAGCACTGGAGGAGGGAAGCATAAATGAGAGGCTCAGCAAAATCAAGCGTGACATTACTCATGAAATCTCCGATCTCCAAGATGCCATAAGGGAGTGCGACAATCTCTTCAGACTTCTGCAGCCACAAGCCGAAGCACAGATTATGGACCGTATCAACAAGCACATCGACGATGAACTCAAGAAAGCCGCAGAGGAATTAATAAAGCAGGCCCGTAAGGACTACGTGGAGTCCGCCAGGGACGCGCTGAAACACTTCGCCTTAAAGGCGGAGAGTGAGCTGGGGGAACTGCCCGGCGAGATAAACAGGGATCTCTTCGTGGGCTACAAGGGCTTCATGAAATACGTGTACGGACATTTTGACAGCCTCCAAAACGTGAGGGAAGAGAAAGAAATTGCCGTCATATCCTCCGCCTTCCACAGCTTCTACGCCCCGGTCAACGAGTACGTCAGCAGTGAGATCCGGAGGGAGCACAGGGAGCGTGAGGGCGAAAAAAATCCCTCACTGCCGAAGTCGGAAGAGCCCTACGCCGCCGAGTGGGACGCCGTGCACAGCGATGTCAACGCCCTGCTCAATTACCTCTGCGTGACGCAGGGCTTCGACGACAGGCTGCGAGGCCTGCTCCACAACCTCACCGACGCGCTCACACAGCTGAGGCCGCAGGGCTTCCAGAAGCCCTCCACTCCCACGCTGGACTCCGTGAGCAGGGGACTCAGTGCCTTTGCCGGTGAGTTCGGCGGTGCGTACATCTCCACTTACTCGGGCGCGGAGTGCCGGGAGGCGGACGCCGACAAGTACGCCAAGGTGTTGCTTAGCATGATCCCGATGACGCACAATGCGCTCCAGAATTTGGCAGAGAAATGCGGCACCAACTGGAAGAGCAACAAAATATGTGAGTTCACCCCCGACGACAGGGACAACGGCCTGGGCAACTACCTCACCAAATGCGGCTTCAAGGTGTCACCCACCGACGGACTCCAGGAGGGGGAGTTGCAAAACCACGGCGACATGAACGGTGAGCAGATTCATGCATTGCTTAAATCACCAGTTGATGTGAGCGTAAAAATGCTGATCGACGGCATGCCTGCGGAAAACGGAATTAATGTTGTCGACTTAGTTGCGCTTATCCATAACATGGTGTGTCGCTACCTCCAGGTGTGCCACCTTAAAGTACACGAATCGCCCAGGTACCCCTGCACGGTGAGGGACATGTTGTCTTGGCTCTCAGGCCTGCAGTACACTCCGGTGGCGGACAAACTGCCTGACCACTGCAGGGCGTTGCTCAACCGCAAGTGCGACGATAACGATGCCCCCAACAGGGACGACGCTGTCATGGCACAGTGCATCAACGGCCTGCCCTACACTATCGCAGAAGCGTGTTCACACGCCGACTCATTGCTCGTAACCATACAGGGCCGCGGTCGCGGCTTCGACCTCGCCGCCTACCCCTACTCCGTCGACTTCGCCAACAACCGCGCACAGCTGTACTACCCGGACGACCCCGCCGAGGTGCTGGATATGTTGAGGGGCATAGTATGCCGCCTGTGCTCAGTGCTCTACTTCCTCTACGCCCAGTGCTGCCGTGCCACCGCCACAGCCAAGGGCTGGCGGGAGTGCCACTACGGTCGGCAGGTGCCGTCCTCCCACTGGCAGTGTAACACCTTCGACAGGCAGGCCACCGACGCAAGTCACAACTGCCCGCCCACATCTCCGCTGCAGTCGTTCCTCACAGACAGCTGTCCCAGCCTCCTGCCGCATAAGCTCAGTGTAGTTGACAGTGCCATTGAATGTGCCAACTGCCCTTCCAACCTGCCGGGCCAGCAGTGCCTCACCCCGCTCGGCTTCTGGGACCTTGGCCTCGCTGCCTCAGTAGAGCGCACCGGCAAGGAACTTGCGAAGTCACTCGGCCGTCTCTGCAGTGACGCCGACGCCTGCCTCTTCCAACTCTGCCGAACACTGCGCTTGCTGTGCCCCTCAGCACCGCAGTCACTCGGCGACGTGTTCGCGCTGTTCAGTCATCTGCTGAGAATGTGGAACCACGAATCGTCCCGGCGTGCGTACTCTCACCATGAGAGTTACCTAACGCATCTGAACGGTGATGCTATAAACAGTCTCTTCCCGCTGTGGCCGCAGCTCCACGGCAGTTACCAAAATCGCAATCTCACCGACGCGCTCAAGGCACTCGCCGGCCATGACCATGACAACTCAGGGCACAATGCCCTCTCAAGCCTCTCCGCCGAGCCCCCTTGTCAATCACCCAGTGGATGCGCCCCCTTCCTCCAGCCGCTGGCGCTGCACGCCAACCACACCTTCCCGCAGAAGCACGCACAGCTGTATGTCTCGTGGATAGTGTGGCTGGCATGGCAGCTGTGGGAGCTGCTGGAGTCCCTGCTGGACGCCTTGAACAACATCGACTGCACGGCCCACGGCTGTTCCACGTGCCTCTGTTCTCCTGGTAAGCACGGCGACAAGGACTCCTGCCAGTGTGGATCACTCGTCGAATGTGGCGGACCTCTGCCGACACTCTACCGCTACGGATTCACATACCGCAACGCCCACGCCCTGCTCGCCGGCAGCCAGAAGATGCGGTGCAGTGACCTCAACGACCAACTCACCAAGGCACTCCACTCCGACCACTTCACTCAACTGTTCCACCAGATCGACCAACTCCTCTACACCATCCGTATGCCCTTCCTCTACACCATCGTCACGCTCTGGCTCCTCGCCACGCTCTACATCCTCCACTCACTCCTCTACCGTATGGACGTGCTGCGCATCCGCTCCCACCTACTCACCACCAGGGCCTCACACCTCATCGACGTCAAGGCCTTACTCGCCGGCAGCCGCAGGATGCTCTCGCTCTACAAGGACGTCGATTACTTCGACGACGACTTTCACTCGTGACAGTAATTATCGTAGCTACATTACGTTTACATTCCTCTTATTGTGTTGACATGCCATGTCATGTCCTTCATGGTGACTGTATGTACCGCCTTGCATAGCACCTAACTCGCTACTTAACCAAACGGCTTACCTATCACCTAACCAAATGTCTAACCAAGCACCTAACCAAAAGGCTCACCTAGCACATAACCAAAAGGCTCACCTAGCACATAACCAAAAGCCTCACCTAGCACCTCACCTGTGATGTCCTCGCCGCGTTGCCTCGTTCCCTGTTTGCGTTGTCGCCTTGCCGTCACTCCCTAAACGCCCTCCTTCATCCCTCCTTTCAGTGGATTGAGGCTGCGGACGCCGCCGTTAAGGCGGCTAAGGAGAAGGCGGAAGATGTACATGGGAGGTTGGATCATAATAAAAACGATGCTTCAGGGACCGTGATTGGTCAGGGGATTGGTAAAATTGAGGAAGCTAAAGACAAAGTTAAGCAAGTTGACAAAAAGCTCAGTCAGCATATTGATGAGTTGGGAACATGGAAATCTGCGGCGCACAGTGTCCTTTCCACAGCGGTTGAAAAGGCAGAAGAGGTGCATGGCAAGTTGGATCCTAATCAGAAAGATGACAAGCATCCTATTGGTCACAACATCGAGAAGATTCACACCGCCAAAACTGAACTCGACAGGGCAAATTCACAACTTAAAACACAAGTTGCGAGTCTGCATTCTTGGATCTCCACCGCGGAGGGATCCGCCAAAAGGCCCAGCAGAAAGCGGAGGAGGCTTATAGTAAGTTGGACGTCCACGCTGAATTAAGTAGGAATATTCAGAAAATTGTGGATGCCAATGAGCGAATTAAGAATGTCAATAATAGTCTGAATGGTGTCCACGGCAATTTGGGAGCGTGGAATCAGCAGGCCAGAACAGTGCTTGCCGGGGCGATTACAAATGCCCAGCATGTTCATGATCATCTTGTAGATAGTGACATAAACAAGCCGCTTGGCGCACAAATTAAGAACATCAACGATGCTAATACGTTAATTAAGAATGCAAATGACTTACTTAAAACTGATGTTGCCAATTTAGGTAAGTGGAATAAGACCGCCAGGGAAGTTATTACAAATGCGGAAAAGAAGTGTGATTTAATATTGGGGAAAGTTAAAACAGATAAAAGTGGTCAAAAAGGTCCGATTTATATGCAAGCTGAAAAGTTACAAAAGGATGGTAACAGACTATTAAAGGCTGCGACTGCGGCCAAGGAGGAAGTTGGGAATTTGGTCACCGATGCGTTGGAGGCTGTTGTGAAGATGGACGGAGATCTCAAGAGGGATTTGAAGGAGGTGAAAGAGAAGATTAAAAGTGGGATAAATCAGGTGATTACGAGTCTGGGAGTTAAGGAATTGGATGCGAAAGTGAAAGATGATTTGGGGACGTTGAGGCAGAAGATTGAGGGGCTTAAAAATAATATGGACGATGATTCCAAACCTAATGAGCTTGTTAAACAGGCGTTGGAAAACCTTGCAGAAGAGAAGCAAACTCTTGAAAAAGTTACCCATAAGGACACCGGCTCAATTAAGAGGGAAATGGATAAGCTTGACAACAATTTTAAGACTGCGATCCAAAATCCGCTTGACACAAAAGTCAAAGAAGTTGAAACGGCGATTGGGACGCTAGGCGGGAAGTTTAGTCTAAACGGTGATAAGATGCTTGAAAAGATTTTCGGGCATGTTAAAGGGGAAGTTGGTAAAATTAAGGGGAAGCCGGGACAAAAAGGTAGTTGGGAGAATAATGGTGGTCAAGGTCTGGACGGGATTCAGAGCAAGGTGCAGAGTTACGCCAATGCGTTCAGCGGGGATGACGGGGGAAAGTTTAATATTATAGTTAAGGGCTGGATTGAAGAGACCATTTTGAAGCATAACGGCGCGGTGAGGAAGATGCTTGATAAGAAATTTGCGTATGATGAGAGTGAGAAAGATGTATTCACCAACGTCGCAGATGCTTTTAAGGAACAGCTAAAGAGCGAATCAACTGAAGCCGGTATAAAGGTTGTACACGGAAACAATGGCGCGAGCGGCAACTCCCAAAAGATTCAAGGATACGTCAATGCTGTGAAGGACGGTTGCGATGCGTTTGCTCAAAAGCTGGATGACAAGCTGCGTAATGGGAATGGGTTCAGTGGAATATTCGACGCGGTCAAGCAGCAGTTGAAGGATAATCATTTTAGCGCCAAACAATGCATCTGCGAGAGCGTAGGCTGCACAAACTGTAACGGCCAAGGGAGTGTCCATAAGCAGGACTGCAAGGAAAAGGCTTTCATCGCTGCCATCCTCTGCACACTCACCGCTGTGTCCCGGCAGGTGGGCAACGAACTGAAGTCTGTACTGCTCGATCCACCAAACGGAAACAACATTGCATCCATCCTGGACAAGATCACACCCATTGCAGCGATGCTTAGCACTCAGCTTACCCAGGCGACTGAGAGATCCGGCCAATCAAATAATGAAAGCCCCGCCCAAGCCGTGGACAGTAGGTTGGGGGAAGTGAGGGATTTCGTGAATGGGAAAAATGGTGATAACCTTAACAAGATATTCAAGGAGAACGTGATAAATACACTCACTGAAAAGGTTAGGCAACTTCCCGGCGCCGTTGGAGCTTTCGACCAAGAAGCTCAGAATCAGATCAAGGCTGCCGCCAAGACGGCGATTGAGAGGGCGGCTGGGGAGATTAGTAAGGATAATGTTGATGCAAGTAAAATTGTGCTTGGCAATGGTCTCATGAATGGTTTCCACACTCAGTTTACTACTATTAAAGACAGTCTCGACAGTGAACTTAGGAAGCAAGTTGATAAGCACATTGGGGAGGATGATGGCCAGCCGGGCGGTAAAATTACTGAGCTTAAAACTACAATGTTTAATAATTACAATAATCACGTTGAACAAGAAAGCGTTAAGACCTTTGAGTCGTCCAATAATCCAGAAAGCCTAACTGGCCAACTCCCCGTTGCGATCAACAGCATTAGCAGTGATGGTCTGCAAAAGCTCACTGAACTCATCGATGACAGTCCAAGTGGCGGTACAGACCCAAAGAAAATCACCAAGCAGACATTTGAAGAGCCTGTGAAGGCAATAAATAAGGAGCTTGAAGAGATCAGGAAATTGGTTGAGAAGGAGGGGACTCCCCAAGGGACTGATGAAGGCGTCAAGGATCTGTTGGCGAAGCTGAGTAAGGGGCTTGAAAAAGAGAAGTTGAGTGATAAAGTTGATAAAGGTTTAGAGGAGATTAAAACAAAGATTGATGAGCTTCATAAAAATCAGTTTAAAAGTGGACCACAAGCAATTGGGGGAGCCGTCTCGGCAATTCAGGGGGAGCTTGCAAAGCTGAGGAAGGTGTTGCAAAACATAACAGGCTACGATGTTATTGAGACATTAAAAGATTTGAAAGACAAGGGGCTTGCCAATGAGGCGGGTTGGAGGAAATTTAGTGATAGAAATACTCTCGCCGGTCTTGGGAGGATCCAGGAGCGACTTAAATATCAGAATGGTATATTGCCTGATAAAACGCAAATAATCAGCGACGCTATTGACAGGATACAATGGGAGCTTAAATTGCTCGGAGTTAAATTGGATCACCCTGTGCGTTTCGATGACGTCCTTGACAATCTGAAGTGGTTGAAAAGAAAGATTGGTAAGGACAATCCCTTCAAGGGAAATCTCCAACACATTTATAACCAGATCAATTTCCTGCAGAATTGGGAATTTCCTACGCAGTGGACAACTATCCATCGAGCCAACGAGGCAATCAAGGAGGAACTCAAAGGGCAGATGAGCACGCTGGGCAGTGATGTCATCACGAAGCTGACCAATTTGATGACCAAAGGGATGAGTGAACAGGCAAGTTGGCAGGGAACTAAGGGCCTTGAAAATATCCAAAATGACCTCCAACGTCAACAAGCTTTATTGAACAAACAGCCCGGCGCAATCGGCAGTGGCGTCGACCTGATCACCACGGAGCTTGACGATCTGAGGAGTGAGTTGCTGGGTGAGGAAGGCGAAAATGCAGAAAAAAGAGGCGTGATAAAGAATATGGATTTCATGATAAAGCAGATTGGAACAATTGATGACGATAAGGATAGCCTCAAGAAAATCAAGAAAGAGATTGAAGAGCTCAACAGGGATACAGTCCCTGACATCAACAAATTCCTTGGTGAACTGTGCGCCAAGATTGCGAGCGAAGCCGGCAGTGTCGACTGGCAGTTGGGGCTTTTCAAAGAAAATAACATCGACAAAGACCTCGCAAAAATCAAGACACAAATTGACACCCTACGCATAGATGACCTCCACAAGGCCATCGAGGCGTGCGACCAGTTCCTCACCAACGCCGATTACATAAAATGGGAGAAAGTAGAAAACATTGAACGCTTCGTAGACAGTGAGATTGAAAAGGCAATCGCGGAGCTCAGCAAGCAGGCGCGGCGTGACTACGTGGAGTCCGCGAAGGACGCGCTGAAACACTTCGCCGCCAAGGTGGCCGAGGAGCTGGGGGAGCTGCCGGGGGAGATCAACAGGGATCTCTTTGCGGGCTTCAAGGGGCTCATGAAGCAGATGGAGGGTGAGCGCAGCGAAAACATTAATAGGCTAAGGAACGTGCAGAGCAGAATGCTCCGAGCATTGTCCTCCGCGTTCCAGAATTTCTTCGCGCCGCTCGACGAGTACGTCAGCAGTGAGATCCGGAGGGAGCACAGGGAGCGTGAGGGCGACAAAAGTCCCCTGCTCCCGCCGTCCGAGGAGCGCTACGCAACTAAGCTTAATTACGTCTACACAGCGCTTAATAACTTGCTCACCCACATAACCGGTGCGCAACGCTACGGCCATGAGGTCCGTGGTCTGCTTGACGCGCTTGACAAGGCACTCGCCGGCCTCAGGCCGGAGTGCTTCGCCAGGCCAAGCACGGCTGTGATAGACGGCGTGACGGACGGGCTCAGTGCCTTCGCCGCCGAGCTGAGGAACGCGTACATCAGTGCGTACTCCGGCGCCGCGCTCACCGGTGACTTAGTCAGCAGTGAGGCCGTGACTGCGGCCGAAGCCTCTGGGGGCCGGAAGGCCGTGAGCGAGAGAAGCGTCACCGTGTTGACGCCCTACGGCGAGAATCTGTGTAAGGTCTTGCTCAGCATAGTGCCGATACTTGACAGTTCATTCGCCGTGTTGAAACATAACTGCAGGAGCCTCGCCGGACAGCGTCTCGACAAATCCACGGACCTCGGCAGGCTCCTCGGCGAAATGGGCTACAATGTTCCAGACGGCGGCCAGCGCAGCGGCGAGTTGAACGGGCATGTGACCGGTAAGGTAATTGCCATGCTCCTCGTCGGCGATCACAGCCGCGTCTTCAACTCCGACAGAGACACCAAAACCGCGCTCGGAATTCTCCTCGAGTGTCTCCACGATTACTACAAGGCGTGCCACTACGCCACTTGCTCCGCCACCAGGTCGCCGTGCAACGTCTACGAGATGCTCGTATGGCTGACGGGCCTCCCGCACAACTGTGTCTACCAGAGGCTCCGCAAATCCGCCAAGCTGTGCCACGACGAGCAGATCAGGGAGAGTCCCTATGCCTCCACTATCCCCGCGGAGGCCCTAGTTGCCGCCCTTGACAGGCTCACCGCTGACTGTCCTTCACTGCTCACCAGGGTGCTCGGCTTCGGCGACGCTGCCACCACCTACGCCTGTGACATCCACAGCAACGCCTTGGGACTGCACTACCCGCAGGACGGCGAGAACTGTCTGCATCTGCTGCTGCACATGCTACGTCGCTTGTTGCCAGCGCTCAGATATCTGTTCACTCAGTGCTCTCTCCCCGCTCACCACGGCGGCTGGGCGGAGTGCAGGTACGGCAAGGGTGTCCCACCATACACGTGGCAGTGCGCTCCTCCACTCACCGCCCTGCCCAACCCTCACCCGGAGTGCTCCGATAAATCGCCCCTGATGTCCTACCTCAATGACTGCCTCCCCGGCCACCTGCCTCACCAGTTGGTCTCTGTTGGCTGCGAGCCTCAGTGTAACACCTGTCCCAGTGCACCAAATGGCACGCCCTGTCTCACGCCCCTCGGCTTCCGGGGTTTCTCCGGCAGCACCAAGACGGGCAAAGAGATATGTGAAGTGCTGACCAAATTCTTCGCCCATCGTCATCTTTCATCACTGCTCAGCCTCTGTCCCAGACCGCCGGCCACCCTGGCTGAGCACATAGGCTTCGCCCTGTCACTCGTCAACGACTGGCACGACGGCAATATTGCGGCTAAGAACGGCCTCCAAACGGCGCTCGAGGCATCCGCCACTGATCTCTCCCTTCGCCTGTATGACCGACCCTTTGAACTGACCGCAGCACTCGCCGCCGCCTACGGCTCCGACTCCGCGAAACACGGCGGCTGCAAGCACCCGCACCTCATGCATCTCGCAGGCACTGACGTCTGCACCAGGCACCAAGCTTCGCCCTTCCTTCAATCTCTCTGCCACGACGTCTACAACCATCTCGCCCACCGACACTCAGGCCTCTACCTCTCATGGGCCGTCTACCTCCCGTGGAATTTCTATGATCTGTTGCTGTGCTGCAGCATCTGCCGCGATCTAGCCGATATGGCTGTGATCATGAAGAAGGCCCCTGTGACCAGGGCAGCCACGGAGTCCTTAATCCGGGGTCACCTGCCTCCGGCTGCCGCTGCCCCTCCATCGTCGCCTGCAGGGGCGTCATGCCTACGCTGTACCAGTACGGTCTCACCTTCGGGGACGCATTGGCTTTGATATCGCAGAACAAGAATTGTTCCACCCTCGCCAAGCAGCTCAGCCAAGTCCTACACTCCGACCACTTCACGGAACTGACTCCTTTCCTCTATCGCATCCGTGCGCCCTTCCTCTACACCCTGCTCACACTCTGGCTCATCGCCACGCTCTACATCCTCCACTCACTGCTCTACCGCATGGACGTCCTCCGCATACGATCTCACCTCCTCACCACCAGGGCCTCTCACCTCATCGACGTCAAGGCGCTGCTCGCCGGAAGCCGCAGGATGCTCTCACTCTACAAAGACGTCGACTACTTCGACGACGACTTTCACTCATGACAGTAATTATTGTAGCTACATTTGCATTCATCCCTTTGTGTTTCCATGTCACGTCACGTCTCTCATCGTGACTGTACACCGTGCCTTGCCTAGCACCCAACTCACTGACTAACCAAACGGCTTACCTAGCACCTAACCTAACGTCCCACCTACCACCTAACCAAAAGGCTCACCTAGCACATAACCAAAAGGCTCACCTAGCACATAACCAAAAGCCTCACCTAGCACCTCACCTGTGATGTCCTCGCCGCGTTGCCTCGTTCCCTGTTTGCGTTGTCGCCTTGCCGTCACTCCCTAAACGCCCTCCTTCATCCCTCCTTTCAGTGGATTGAGGCTGCGGACGCCGCCGTTAACGCGGCTAAGGAGAAGGCGGAAGATGTACACAGGAGGTTGGATCATAATAAAAAAGACCAACATGGTGGGACAACGATTGGCCAAAATATAGAGAACATTAAGCAAGCTAAAGACAAAGTTAAGCAAGTTGATGGTCAGTTGAAACGTATTCACAGTGATTTAGGTAACTGGAAAAATGCGGCAAGTGACGTCCTTGACTCAGCGGTTAAGAAGGCGACGGAAGTCCATGGCAAGTTGGATCCTGATAAAAGTAAGTCGACGCTTGGTGGTAAAATCGGAGAAATTGAAGACGCAAAAAACAACATTATTAGCGCAAATTCACAACTGAAAACACAAGTCGACAGCCTTAGTAATTGGATCTCCACCGCGGAGGACATCCGCCAAAAGGCCCAGCAAAAAGCGGAAGAGGCTTACAGTAAGTTGGACGTCCACGCTGAATTGAGCAAGAATGTTAACAAAATTGTTGACGCCAATAAGAGAATTAAGGGAGTTAATCAAAGTCTGAATACTGTCCATGGCAATTTGGACAAGTGGAATGAGCAGGCCAAGAGAGTGCTCCAAGGAGCGATTGGAAAGGCTCAAGATGTTTATGATGCGTTGGAAGATAAGAGTAAGCCACTTGGTGAAAATATTGACAAAATTGACAGTGCGAGAAGCCAAATAAAAATTGCAAATGATAGTCTCGGCGAGAATGTTAAGAGTCTGGAGCATTGGAAGACTGCGGCTGAGAAAATCGTCCAAGCTGGGCAAAAGAAGTGTGAGGAGATACTTAAGAGGGTGGATGAGACGTCGAATGAAAATAGGCAAGTTGAAATCAAAAAGCAAGCTGAAGCATTGCAGAAAAAGGCTGAGAACCTTTTGAGTGCTTACGCGGCGGCCTATCCCAAAGTTCAGCATCTGGTAGAGGATGTTAAAAATGCCGTTAAAGATTTGGAAAAAGGCATGAAAAGCGATTTGGTTGACTTGCAACAGAGTATTATTAGCAAGATGAAGACACATGTTGGCGGGATGCTTGGTGAAATTAAGAGCAGTGTGGAGAGCATTAAGGGGAAGGCAGGAAATATAGCTCCAAATAGTCAATGGACAGAACAGGGCTCAGGCCTGGAGGGGATTAATACAAAAGTGCAGAAATATTTCAAAGCGTTCAGTGAGAAGTGGCCGTTTGACCGTATAGTCGGCGGTTGGATCGATGACATTCTGCAGCACAACGGTGTGGTTAAAAGGCTGCTTGGCTGGAAGAGTAGGCCGGCGGAGGAGCTTAAGAAGGAGCTGGAGAACAGTGGTATCGGAGGCTCAATTAAGTCTCCGCTTGAAAAGGAAATTAACGCAGCGGTTGAAGTTTTCACCAGTGGACAATCCACTGCTACCGACAGCATTAAAGACAAAATCACACAGGTCAAAAGGGCATGCGAACTGTTTGCCAAGCGGCTTGATGAGAAACTGAAGGAGGAATTTCAAAGTGGCGTCATTGCGTTGGCCGTGAAGGCTAAGGAGGCGATGAAGAATGTTGACGATAAGGAACCGAGCAAACAAAGTCACTTAAAAAGTATCATAGCAAAAGCAAACTGCACATGTTATTGCGGAAAGTGCAGCAGCGGCGGCAGAGGTATCGATAAGTGTCTAGAGTGCACAGACCCAAAATGCATCCTCACGCAGGCCGTCGCCACCACACTGCTTGCCGTGTCCTCGGTGGGCCGGCAGGTGAGCAAGGAGCTTCACTCAGTGTTCCTCAGTCCCGAAAATGGAAACATCGCATCCTTCCTGGACAAAGCCAAGGAGGTTACTGATGAGCTTCACGAGAATCTCGGAGCGGCGCAAGCCGCGACTAAACCAGGCCCACAACCTCCCACCTCCAGCAGCCGGGACAACAATGAAATTCTGAAGAAAGTAAACGAGATTGAAAGGAAGGTTTAAGAGGGGATGAAGGATAATAGTCGTGATGGCAACATAAACGTTAATGAAGTCATGACATCGTATAAAGAGAAGAAAGATAAAGCAGCAACTAATTCAGATGGCAAATACCAAATGCTTCTTGCAGACATCCCCCAGGCGATGCATCCTTTTCAGCAGCATGCTGAACTCACCGGTGCTGACGTCTCCGGTAAAAAACAAGCAATCAACTCCGCCTTCGAAAAAATCACCCAAGAACTCCAAGAAATCGCCAAGTGTGTTGAGAATAAGTCGGCGAAAACCGGTAACTCAGATGAATATGGCATCAAGCAGCGCTTGAGTGATTTGGATACGATGCTTGAGGAGGAAGAGATTAATCTTAAAGGCAAAGTAGATGGAATTACTAAAGATACTGTCAACGGTCTCGACGCAATTCACTCCAAGATCCACGGCCTGCAAACAGGGACGCTTGGCACTAAACCCGCTGCAATCGACGGAGCCGTCACCCTTATTAAGGCGGAGCTTGGTAAGCTTAGAGAGAAGTTGATGAATAAGCTGAAGCCAGGAGATGATGTGATAAACGCTTTGACGATGTTGAACACCCGTGGTCTTGGCTCTGGTTCGTGGTACAATGTAACAAATATTTGGAATGGTGGCCAACATGGTGTTACAACAGTAGACGGCCTTGAAAAAATCCAGAAGCAACTTCAGACTCAGAACGATGAATTGCCTAAACAGACAACAGAAATCGATGAGGCCATTAGAGAAATTACTTGGCAACTTCACCTCACAAGATTCAAGTTGGATCATAAACACAGCACCGATGATATCACCGACCAGTTGAAGTGGCTGGGCAGGAAACTCGGCAAAAATGGAGACAAGGATCGCGTTAACCTTCAAGACATTTATGAGATGATTTCATGGCTGCAAAGGGAGCATTTTACCAATTGTCCCCAAATCATCCAGGGAGCCAACTCAGCAATTAAAGTGGAACTTGGCGTGCATAGGAGCACGCTGGACAAAGATGTCATCAACACACTGGAAGATTTGAAGGACAAAGGGATGAGTGAAGATGCGGATTGGATCGTTAACAAAAAGAATGAAAAAGGCCTTGACGCAATTATTAGTGACCTCAGCAATCAACAAGACACATTGACCAAACAGCATCCGGCAATCGGCGGTGGCGTCGACCAGATCACCAAGGAGCTTGACGATCTGAGGAGTGAGTTGCTGGGTGAGGAAGGCGAAAATGCAGAAAAAAGAGGCGTGATAAAGAATATGGAATTCATGATAAAGGAGATTGGAACAAATGATGACGATCCTAATAGCCTCAGAAAAATCAAGAAAGAAATCAACGATGTCAAAAACACTCAGGTTCCCATTGTGACCAGTAAGCTCAATGAGCTGTGCGCCAAGATTGCGAGCGAAGCCGGTAGTGTGGATTGGAAGTTGAAGCTTTTCGAAACAGAAAATATTGACAAAGCACTCGAAAAAATCAAGACACAAATTGACACCCTCCGCACCGGTGACCTCCAGGCGGCCATCGCCATGTGCGACAAGTTCCTCACCGACGCCGATTACATAAAATGGGAGAAAGTAGAAAACATTGAACGCTTCGTAGACAGTGAGATTGAAAAGGCAATCGCGGAGCTCAGCAAGCAGGCGCGGCGGCAGTACGTGGAGTCCGCGAAGGACGCGCTGAAACACTTCGCCGCCAAGGTGGCCGAGGAGCTGGAGACTCTGCCCGGCGAGATAAACAGGGATCTCTTCCAGGGCTTCAAGGGGCTGATGAAATACGTGTACGGACATTTTGACAGCCTCCAAAACGTGAGGGAAGAGAAAGAAATTGCCGTCATATCCTCCGCCTTCCACAGCTTCTACGCCCCGGTCAACGAGTACGTCAGCAGTGAGATCCGGAGGGAGCACAGGGAGCGTGAGGGCGAAAAAAATCCCTCACTGCCGAAGTCGGAAGAGCCCTACGCCGCCGAGTGGGACGCCGTGCACAGCGATGTCAACGCCCTGCTCAATTACCTCTGCGTGACGCAGGGCTTCGACGACAGGCTGCGAGGCCTGCTCCACAACCTCACCGACGCGCTCACACAGCTGAGGCCGCAGGGCTTCCAGAAGCCCTCCACTCCCACGCTGGACTCCGTGAGCAGGGGACTCAGTGCCTTCGCCGGTGAGTTCGGCGGTGCGTACATCTCCACTTACTCGGGCGCGGAGTGCCGGGAGGCTGACGCCGACAAGTACGCCAAGGTCTTTCTCAGCTTGATCCCGATGACGCACGAGGCGCTTACCAATTTGGCAGACAAATGCGGCACCAACTGGAAGAGCAACAAAATATGCAAGCTCACCGGCGACGACAGGGACAACGGCCTGGGCAACTACCTCACTAAATGCGGCTTCAAGGTGTCACCCACCGACGGACTCCAGGAGGGGGAGTTGCAAAATCGTTTTTCGGGCGGCGCAGTTCATGAGCTACTTGCATCCCCAGTGGCCGAAGTGACCACCAAAATGCTTATCGACGGCAAGCCTGCGGAAAACGGAATTAATGTTGTCGACTTAGTTGGTCTTCTTCATAACATGCTTTGTCGCTACCTCCAGGTCTGCCACCTTAAAGTACACGAATCGCCCAGGTACCCCTGCACGGTGAGGGACATGTTGTCTTGGCTCTCAGGCCTGCAGTACACTCCGGTGGCGGACAAACTGCCTGACCACTGCACGGCGCTGCTCAACCGCAGCTGCGACGATAACGATGCCCCCAACAGGGACGACGATGTCATGGCACAGTGCATCAACGGCCTGCCCTACACTATCGCAGAAGCGTGTTCACACGCCGACTTGCTGCTCATCGCAATCCAGGGCCACGGCCGCGGCTTTGACCTCGCCGCCTATCCCTACTCCGTCGACTTCGCCAACAACACCGCACAGCTCCACTACCCGGCCGACCCCGACGAGCTGCTGGAGATGATGAGACGGATAATATGCCGCCTGTGTCGCGTCCTGTATTTCCTCTACGCCCAATGCTGCCGTGCCACCGCCACAACCAAGGCCTGGCGGGAGTGCCACTACGGTCGGCAGGTGCCGTCCTCCCACTGGCAGTGTAACACCTACGACAACCAGGCCACCGACGCAAGTCACAACTGCCCGCCCACATCTCCGCTGCAGTCGTTCCTCACAGACAGCTGTCCCAGCCTCCTGCCGCATAAGCTTACCGCTACTGACAATGCCATCGAATGCGTCGACTGCCCCGGCAATCAACCAGGCCAGCAGTGCCTCACCCCGCTCGGCTTCTGGGACCTTGGCCTCGCTGCCTCAGTAGCGCGTACCGGCAAGGAACTTGCGAAGTCACTCGGCCGTCTCTGCAGTGACGCCGACGCCTGCCTCTTCCAACTCTGCCGAACGCTGCGCTGCTGCTGTGCCCTCAGCACCGCAGTCACTCGGCGACGTGTTTGCGCTGTTCTTCATCTGCTGAGAATGTGGAACCACGAATCGTCCCGGCGTGCGTACTCTCACCATGAGAGTTACCTAACGCATCTGAACGGTGATGCTATAAACAGTCTCTTCCCTCTGTGGCCGCAGCTCCACGGCAGTTACCGTAATGCCAATCTCACCGACGCGCTCAAGGCACTCGCCGGGCACGACCATGACAACTCAGGGCACAATGCCCTCTCAAGTCTCTCCGCCGAGCCGCCTTGTCAATCACCCAGTGGATGCGCCCCCTTCCTCCAGCCGCTGGCGCTGCACGCCAACCACACCTTCCCGCAGAAGCACGCACAGCTGTATGTCTCGTGGATAGTGTGGCTGGCATGGCAGCTGTGGGAGCTGCTGGAGTCCCTGCTGGACGCCTTGAACAACATCGACTGCACGGCCCACGGCTGTTCCACGTGCCTCTGTTCTCCTGGTAAGCACGGCGACAAGGACTCCTGCCACTGCTCGTCCCTTGTCGAATGTGGCGCGACCCTGCCGACACTCTACCGCTACGGATTCACATACCGCAACGCCCACGTCCTGCTCGCCGGCAGCCAGAAGATACGGTGCAGTGACCTCAACGACCAACTCACCAAGGCACTCCACTCCGACCACTTCACTCAACTGTTCCACCAGATCGACCAACTCCTCTACACCATCCGTATGCCCTTCCTCTTCGCCATCATCGCACTCTGGCTCATCGCCACGCTCTACATCCTCGGCGTACTCCTCTACCGCATGGACGTCCTCCGCATACGATCTCACCTCCTCACCACCAGGGCCTCCCACCAAGTCGACGTCAAGGCGCTGCTCGCCGGCAGCCGCAGGATGCTCTCACTCTACAAAGACGTCGACTACTTCGACGACGACTTTCACTCTTGATTGTAATTATTGTAGCTAGACTACATTTACATTCCTCTCTTTGTGTTGCCATGTCACGTCTTTCACGGTGACTATCCAGTGCCTTGCCTAGCACCTAACCCACCACCTAACCAAGAGGCTGACCTAGCACGTAACCGACAATTTGGTAGATGCGTTGGGATGTTAGTTGCCTAGGACGTCGTTTCATGTGCCACTCGTGAACGTGTCCACGCCGTTGCTTAATGTCAAAGCACCGTGAAGATGGCCGGTTTGCTAGCCCACAACTGCTGTGCCGGGCGAGTGTCTCACACCTCAGTTACCATGTGCGTTCGCAGGCAGTGAAGTCGTTGTGACGGCCATTGTACAGCCTAGTCAAGCGGCATCTATGACCACATTGTGGCGGCCGGTAATACAGTAGTCACTGCCCTCACAGCTACACTTGTCATTTGCCTCGTCACCTATCTCCTCAAATGGCGAACATTAATACGCTGCGTGATTACTTCAATTAGCATTCAATATTAATTGAATTATTATTCCTTACAAGATGGTTACATACAATTCTAATATTGCACTGATTACGTGGCGTCATTGTACCCGCATCCTTCACCTCCATATCATCCTTTTACTCCCCGACTCCAGTAACACTGCACATGTTGCTCTCCGCAGCTGTCCGACCACCTCCACGACATGACACCAGTAGCATCATTCAGTCCACTTAGCCATCCAGTAGCAAACTCACATTCGACGTAGAAGTACTACCGGCGTCACCTTCAATTTCAAGGTTTAGGTTTAGGTTATGCTTAACGGCAGCCACACCAAACTTGCCACCTAACCAAACGTCTTACCTAACAGGTAACCTATCACCTAACCTATGACGTCACCTAGTCGCTGCTTTGTCATCTCCTTTTTCCATTATTCACCATGCCCTCAGTCCCCAAACGCCCTCCTTCATCCCTCCTTTCAGTGGATTAAGGAGGCGGACGAAGCCGTTAAGGTGGCTAAACAGAAGGCGGAAAACGTATATGAGCAGTTGGATCATACTGATAATAATGGTGATCCAAAGACTCCGATTGGTCAGGGGGTTAAGCAAATTAATGACGCCAAGGATAAAGTTTTTCAAGTTGATGAACAGCTTCAAACTGTTCACGACGATTTAGGTGGGTGGAAATCTGCGGCAAACAGTGTTCTTGGCCTTGCGGTTGAGAAGGCAAGAGACGTACATAGGAAGTTGGATCCTAATCAACAAGGTGGCGAGATTATCATTGGTACAAAAATTGGTGCGATCAAAACATCTAACGAGGCCATTAGAAAAGCAAATGAGGACCTTAAAAAACATGTTGAGAGTCTCCATTCTTGGATCGACACCGCGGAGCAAATCCGTCAGGCTGCCGAGACTAAGGCCAAGGAAGCCTACGACAAGTTGAAGGTTAATGAGACTCTAGATGAGAATGTTAAAAAGATTGTGGAGGCTAAGGAAGAAATTGAAAAAGTTCATAATAATCTGAAAAGTGTTGATAACAGTTTGGGAGAGTGGAAGCAGCAGGCCGGGGATGTGCTTCAAGGGGCGATTGGGAAGGCCAAGGAGGTTCATGATGCATTGGAAGATGAGAAAAGTAAGGATGGCATTGGCAAAAGTATTGAAGTAATTAATACATCAAGCGAGTCAATTAAAAAGGCAAATATAACTCTTGGTGCCGAGGTTGGGAATTTGCAGAGTTGGAGGACTGCGGCCGGGAGTGTTATTGACAAGGCTAACGGGAAGTGTGAGGAGATACTTAAGAAAGTTAAAACAGACGGTGACGGCAAGATTTTTACAGAAGCTGAAAAGTTAAAAACTGAGGGTACAAGACTTTTGAAGGCTGCGACTGCGGCAAAAAAGGCTGTTGAGCAGAATGTCACCGCGGCCTTGCAGGCTGTTGTGAAGATGGACGAAAGTCTCAAGAAGGATTTGAAGGGAGTGAAAGATAAGATTAAATTGGGGATTGCGGAAGTGATTAAGAAGTTGGAAGTTGAGAAATTGGGCGACAAAGTGAAGATTGATTTGGAGAGTTTGAGGGATAAGATTGAGAAACTTAACAACGGTGATGAGCTTGTTACAGATAATTTAGCGGCACTAGCAGAAACGAAGAAATCTACGTTGGATGAGAAGGCTGAGGCGATAAAGACGTCGGAAAGTCAACTTGAAGGTAAGTTTACGAAGTTTATCCAACAGCCGCTTAACAGTAAAGTCGAAGAAGTCTACACAGCGATTGGGACGCTTGGCGGGAGGTTTGGTCTCGACGAAGATGATAAAAAGAAACTTGAAAAGATTTTCGGGAATATTCATAGTAAGGTTGCGGAGATTAAGGGGACGGCGGGGAAAAGTTGGACTAATGAAGGTGGCAAAGGTCTGGATGGGATTAACTCCAAGGTGCAGCATTATTTCAATGCGTTCAACGCGCAGTGGCCGTTTGGCCAAATAGTCACCGGTTGGATCGATGACATTCTGCAGCACAACGGCCTGGTTAAAGGCTGCTTGGGTGGCAGGATAAGGGGGCGCACACGCTTGAGGAGGAGCTGAAAAACACTAATCTCGGAGGGTTTATTAGGTCTCCCATTAATGACAAAATTCCGCAAGCCGTTAAAGCGTTCGAAGGTGTTAATGATAACGCCGGCATAACGCAAAAAATTGAAGCCGTCAAAAGGGCCTGCGAACTGTTTGCCAAACGGCTTGATGACGAATTGAAGGATCAGAGCAGCGGTGTCCTTGCGATGGCCTTGAAGGCAAAGCAGGCGTCGAAGGATCGTCAATATAACAGCCACAGAACATCCTTGCAAAGGGTCTTAGAAAAGGCAAACTGCGGGTGCGGAGGCTGTGGCGGAGGTAAAAATTGCCTAGACTGCACAGACAAAACGTCCGAATGCATCCTTACGCAGGCCGTCGCCACCACCCTCGTTGCCGTGTCATCGGTGGGCCGGCAGGTGAGTAAGGAGCTGAACTCAGTGCTACTCGGGGACGGGACCGGAAAGATAAATATCGCAGATCTGTTGGATCAAGCGAAAAGACAACTGAAGAGCTTGACGGTCAGCTTCAAGCGGCGACTGCCAAACCCGGCATCGCCGGCCCCGACCCAAATGTTAGCCCCGCCAAAGCCGTGGACAGTAGGTTGGCTGATGTAAGTAGTGAGGTTGGGAGGCTTGACGCCAATTTTAAGAAAGTCAAGAAAGAGCTTCAAGAAGCTGTCAACAAGCTTGACGGAGCCGTCACCTCTTTCCACCAAGCCGCCGAAGAGCAGATCAAGCAGGCGGCCCAGACGGCCATCACCAAGGCGGCTGACATAGTTGCTGATGGCAGTAGTGTGCCAAGTCAAATTAACCTGAATGAGAAAATGAAGACGTTTCACCAAGCTCACGAACAAATTACAAAAAATCTCGAAGACACTCTCAAGAAGCAAGTTGACGAGCACATCGGGGAGGATGATCCGCCAGGTCAGCCGAGTGGTCCAGCAGCTGAGAAAGTGAAGCTTCCTGAAGAGCATTTTAAGCAATATCAAGCATACGTCGATGCCTCTGGAGTCTCCGATCCCACTAGACCAGATGAGCTAAAAAAGCTAACTGGCCAACTCCCCAGTGCGATCAACAGCATTAGCAGTGAGGGTCTGAAAGATCTCACTGAACTCATCGATGACAGTGACAGTGACGTAGCTGCGACTGGTAAAATTAATGAAAAGACGTTTAATGAGCCGTTCAACAAGATTAAGAATGAGCTTGAAGCGATCAAGGAACTGGTTGCTGGTGAGGATGGCCAAGATGCATGGTCTACAAATGACAATAAGGGGATTAAAATTTATCTAGGGTATCTTAAAGATGGCCTTAATTCAGAAGAATGGAAACCAGTTGGTATACCGGTCCAAGGCCTCGCTAAAATAGCGCAGAACATTCGTCATCTGCAAAATGTGAATTTGACTAACAAGCCCATTGACATCGATTACGCCGTGAGAGCAATTAAAGGGGAGGTTAAGGAGCTAAGAGAGAAATTGAAGAAAGACAATGATAATACTGGCGTCATCAACGTGTTGACAGACTTGAAGGACAGCGGTCTGAGTAAATTTTTCAACGCTTGGCCGGCGGACAGCAAAACGCTTAACGGCCTTGGGAGCATACACAAAGACCTCAAGAGGGAGAATGATAAGTTGCCGAAGCAGACAAAAATCATCGATGATACGATTAATATAGTCAAGCAACAAATAAATGATGCGTTAAGGGATGTCGGATTCAAATTGCATCATGACCTAGTAGATGACGACGTGGTGGACCAGTTGGGCCGCTTGGCAAAAATGATCGGCATGAGTGAGGAGGGATATATTAACAATCTTGAAGCAATTCGTTACACACTTTATTGGTTGCAAGGCAACGATTTTACATCCAATCCCACAACCATAGGAGATGCCAACGAGGCAATCAAGGAAGCACTCACAGCGCAGATGAGCACGCTGGACAAAGATGTCATTAAGACGCTGAGTGATTTGAAGGACAAAGGGATGAGTAACGTGCCAAGTTGGGAGCATAATAATCACAATGTTAAGGGCTTAGAGAATATTGAAAATGCGCTTCAAAATCAACAAAAGCAGTTGACTCAGCAACCACAAAATATCCAAAATGGCGTCACGCTAATCACCGGGGAGCTTACAAGGCTGAGGAAGGAGTTGCTGGGTGAGGAGGACACTGATCCAGTAAAAAGAGGCGTGATAAAGAATGTGGAATTTATGATAGAGAAGATTGGTAAGGACAAAAATGATGGTCTTGATAAAATCACAAATGAGATTGACAGGCTCAACAGGGAGACAGTCCCTGACGTCAACAAGCATCTGGGGGACCTGTGCGGTGTGATTTCGGACAATGCTGCAAAGACAAATTGGCAACTGGATTATTTCAAAGAGGATAACATTGATGATAAACTGCAAGGCATAAAGAAAGACATTCACACCCTCAGCACCGGTGACCTCCAGGAGGCAATAGAGATGTGCGACAAGTTCCTCACCAACGCCGATTACATAAAATGGGAGAAAGTAGAAAACATTGAACGCTTCGTAGACAGTGAGATTGAAAAGGCAATCGCGGAGCTCAGCAAGCAGGCGCGGCGGGACTACGTGGACTCCGCCAGGGACGCGCTGAAACACTTCGCCGCCAAGGTGGCCGAGGAGCTGGGGGAGCTGCCCGGCGAGATAAACAGGGATCTCTTCGTGGGCTTCAAGGGCTTCATGAAGCAGATGGAGGGTGAGCGCAGCGAAAACATTAATAGGCTAAGGAACGTGCAGAGCAGAATGCTCCGAGCATTGTCCTCCGCGTTCCAGAATTTCTTCGCGCCGCTCGACGAGTATCTCCGTAAGGAGATTGAGAGAGTGAAGAAGCAGAGTGACGACGAAAAGAATCCCTCACTGCCGAAGTCGGAAGAGCCCTACGCCGCCGAGTGGGACGCCGTGCACAGCGATGTCAACGCCCTGCTCAATTACCTCTGCGTGACGCAGGGCTTCGACGACAGGCTGCGAGGCCTGCTCCACAACCTCACCGACGCGCTCACACAGCTGACTCCGCAGTCGTTCCAGAAGCCCTCCACTCCCACGCTGGACTCCGTGAGCAGGGGACTCAGTGCCTTCGCCGGTGAGTTCGGCGGTGCGTACATCTCCACTTACTCGGGCGCGGAGTGCCGGGAGGCTGACGCCGACAAGTACGCCAAGGTGTTGCTGAGCATCATCCCGATGACGCACGAGGCGCTTAGCAACTTGGCAGACAAATGCGGCACCAACTGGAAGAGCAACAAAATATGTGAGTTCACCCCCGACGACAGGGACAACGGCCTGGGCAACTACCTCACCAAATGCGGCTTCAAGGTGTCACCCACCGACGGACTCCAGGAGGGGGAGTTGCAAAATCGTTTTTCGGGCGGCGCAGTTCATGAGCTACTTGCATCCCCAGTTGCCGACGTGACCACCAAAATGCTGGTCGGTGGCAAGCCTGCGGAAAACGGAATTAATGTTGTCGACTTAGTTGCGCTTTTCCATAACATGGTGTGTCGCTACCTCCAGGCGTGCCACCTTAAGGTGCACGCATCGCCCAGATACCCCTGCACGGTGAGGGACATGTTGTCTTGGCTCTCAGGCCTGCAGTACACTCCGGTGGCGGACAAACTGCCTGACCACTGCAGGGCGTTGCTCAACCGCAAGTGCGACGATAACGATGCCCCCAACAGGGACGACGCTGTCATGGCACAGTGCATAAATGGCCTGCCGTTCACTATCGCAGAAGCGTGTTCACACGCCGACTCGCTGCTCATCGCAATCCAGGGCCACGGCCGCGGCTTTGACCTCGCCGCCTATCCCTACTCCGTCGACTTCGCCAACAACACCGCACAGCTGTACTACCCGGACGACCCCGCCGAGGTGCTGGATATGTTGAGGGGCATAGTATGCCGCCTGTGCTCAGTGCTCTACTTCCTCTACGCCCAGTGCTGCCGTGCCACCGCCACAACCAAGGGATGGCGGGAGTGCCGCTACGGCCGGCAGGTGCCGTCCTCCCACTGGCAGTGTAACACACTTGGCAAGGAGGCCACCGACGCAAGTCACAACTGCCCGCCCACATCTCCGCTGCAGTCGTTCCTCACAGACAGCTGTCCCAGCCTCCTGCCGCATAAGCTCAGTGTAGTTGACAATGCCATCGAATGCGTCGACTGCCCTGCCAACCTACCAGGCCAACAGTGCCTCACCCCGCTCGGCTTCTGGGACCTTGGCCTCGCTGCCTCAGTAGAGCGCACCGGCAGGGAACTTGCGAAGTCACTCGGCCGTCTCTGCAGTGACGCCGACGCCTGCCTCTTCCAACTCTGCCGAACGCTGCGCTTGCTGTGCCCCTCAGCACCGCAGTCACTCGGCGACGTGTTCGCGCTGTTCAGTCATCTGCTGAGAATGTGGAACCACGAATCGTCCCGGCGTGCGTACTCTCACCATGAGAGTTACCTAACGCATCTGAACGGTGATGCTATAAACAGTCTCTTCCCGCTGTGGCCGCAGCTCCACGGCAGTTACCAAAATCGCAATCTCACCGACGCGCTCAAGGCACTCGCCGGCCATGACCATGACAACTCAGGGCACAATGCCCTCTCAAGCCTCTCCGCCGAGCCCCCTTGTCAATCACCCAGTGGATGCGCCCCCTTCCTCCAGCCGCTGGCGCTGCACGCCAACCACACCTTCCCGCAGAAGCACGCACAGCTGTATGTCTCGTGGATAGTGTGGCTGGCATGGCAGCTGTGGGAGCTGCTGGAGTCCCTGCTGGACGCCTTGAACAACATCGACTGCACGGCCCACGGCTGTTCCACGTGCCTCTGTTCTCCTGGTAAGCACGGCGACAAGGACTCCTGCCACTGCTCGTCCCTTGTCGAATGTGGCGCGACCCTGCCGACACTCTACCGCTACGGATTCACATATCGCAACGCCCACGCCCTGCTCGCCGGCAGCCAGAAGATGCGGTGCAGTGACCTCAACGACCAACTCACCAAGGCACTCCACTCCGACCACTTCACTCAACTGTTCCACCAGATCGACCAACTCCTCTACACCATCCGTATGCCCTTCCTCTACACCATCGTCGCACTCTGGCTCATCGCCGCGCTCTACATCCTCCACTCACTGCTCTACCGCATGGACGTCCTGCGCATCCGCTCGCACCTCCTCACCACCAGGGCCTCACACCTCATCGACGTCAAGGCTTTACTCGCCGGCAGCCGCAGGATGCTCTCGCTCTACCGTGACGTCGACTACTTCGACGATGACTTTGGCACGTGACAGTAATTATTGCAGTTACGTTTACATTCCTCTCCCTGTGTTGCCGTGTCACTTCACGTCTCTCATCGTGACTGTATCTCGTGCCTTGCCTAGCACCTAACTCACTGACTAACCAAGAGGCTCACCTAGCACATAACCAAGCACTTAACCTAAGATGTAACCTACCATCTAACCCACAATGTACTCAATCCTCTGCCTTGCCCCTTGTTTGCCGCCTTGCCCATCCACCTCAGCAGCCGACTGCCGTCGTCCCAGGTTTGGCGGTGTAGCATGGTGGACATGAGGTGGCGGTGACTTGTCACAACATTGGTGCCATTAACACAGCAGCTAACACTCTCCTCCAACAAGTTACCAACATAAGTACTTGGATTGACACCGCGTAAGACATCCGTGCTGCGGCAGAGACCAAGGCCAAGGAAGCCTACGACAAGTTGAAGGTTAATAAGACTCTGGATGCAAATGTGAAGAAGATTGTAGATGCTAATAAGGCAATTGAAGGAGTTCATAAAAGTCTGAATGGTCTTCATGGCAATTTGGAAATGTGGAATAAGCAGGCCAATAAAGTGCTTGGAGAGGCGATTGAAAAAGCGCAGAGTGTACATGATGCTTTGCTAGATGGAAGTAAGGAAGTTGGCCAGAAGATTACGAGTATTGAGATTGCCAAGGGACAAATTGAAGAAGCGAATTCACAACTTGCTGGTCATGTTAAGGATTTGAAAGATTGGAAGTCTGCGGCCGGGAGTGTCATTGACAAGGCAGATAGGAAGTGTAATACAATTTTGGAGAAAGTTAATACAGAGAAAAGTAGTCAAAAAGGTCCAATTTTTGAGCAAGCTGATAAGTTACAAAAGGAGGGTAAAAGACTTTTTCAGGCTGCGACGAGGGCCAAGGAGCAAGTTGAGTTGAATGTCAAATCGGCCTTGGAGGCTGTTGTGAGAATGGACTCAGATCTCAAGAGGGATTTGAAAGGTGTTAAGGATAAGATTAAATTGGGGATAGACGGTGTGATAAAGACGTCGGGAGTTTTGAGTTTGGATGGTTTGGTGAGACAGGATTTGGGGAAGTTGAGGAGCAAGATTTTGGAGCTCGAGCAGCAGGTTACTAAAAGTAAGGATACCGGTGAAGGTATGGTTGGTAAGCAGTTACAGGACCTTAAAAATAAGAAAGGCCCATTAGATAGTGTTGTTAAAAACATTGAGCAGGAGACGAATGATAGGCTGGTTGAGAATTTTACGAAGCATATCAAGACTCCGCTTAACGATGCGGTCAGTGAAGTTGACAAGGCGATTGGGGAGCTTGGCGGGAAGTTTAAGGATCGCACGACGGCTACAAGTATTCAAGGAATTTTCGAGCATATTAAAACAAAGGTTGGGAAGATTAAGGGGAAACCCGGAGGGAATGAAGGGCTTGAAGGCATTGTGACGAAAGTGAAGGGGCTTGCTGAGGCGTTTGTTCAGAAGGGAAGTAATAGTTTTAATGCTAGAGTAGGCGGATGGCTTGAGAGCATTTTGGGGATGGGTTGGAATAATCAAGGTAAGGGCATGAAAGCCGTGACGTCCTGGATTAGTACGTATAATGGCAGACTTAGTTCCGCTGGGAGGAAACAAGATGAGCTTACGACGCAAGTTAAGAACAACATTATGCCTGCGCTTAAGACCCAAATTGCGGAAGCTCAGGCGAAGATTACGCAAGGAGATGTCAAAAATAGCAGTGAGCGAAACAGCATCACGCTAAATCTGGGAGCAATAGTAAGCGCGTGCAACACTTTTGTGGCGGAGCTTGATGAGGAACTGACAAATAGCAAAATTGATCACCTTGCCAATCGCATTGTCCCAAAGATTACGGGTTGGATGCAGGGGCAGACTGTTTCTGGTTTCAACGACCAGGCTCTCCGGTCAGCCGTCAAATACAGCCTCGTTGCGCTCTGCGGCGGTGTGAAGCAGGTGGCCACGGAAATTAATGGATTGGGCCTCGACAGGTTTGGTAAGCTTTTGGATGCTATGAAGCCGACAGTTGATGGGCTTTACAGGGCGCTTGACCAGGCGACTAAAACCCCTAATCCACCCGCCACCTCCGGCCAAACTGAAAGCCCCGCCCGAGCCGTGGACAGTAGGTTGGAGGCGGTGAAGGATTTTGTGACTGAAAGCAGTCTTAAAAAAAAATTCACTAAAGTCAAAGACGAACTTACCGCTGCAGTTACTGCACTTCCCACCGCCGTTGAGAAATTCAACTCTGCCGCCGAACAGCAGATCAGGCAAGCCGCCACGACGGCGATTAACAAGGCGGCTGAGGAAATAAAGCAGGACAGCAAAGGTCAAATAGAGTTCCGTGGAGATTTCATGAACAAGTTCGACGAGGCCCACAAGAAGATCCGAGATGAACTCGACAGAGACCTCAAACAAAAAGTTGACCACATTGGGGAGGATGATTCGTCAGGTGGTGGTCAAAAAGTTGAACTTGAGAAAGGAAAATTTCCGCATTATGAGAAACACGTTACACAACCTGTCAATGATACTCTAACCGGCGAACAAGCAAAAAACGAAGGCTTCCTTCCAGCGGCGATCGGGAAGATTAGAGATGAGGGTCTGAACCCTTTCACTGAGAATGGTGTCAACAGTATACTAAACGCAGGTGATACAACCTTCACCGTTCCGTTCGACAATATTAAGGCAGAACTTGACGAGATCAAGGAGTTGGTTGACAGTCCTGGGACCATTCTTGACTACGGCTACAAAGGCATCAAAACATTATTGTCTGAACTTCAGAAGGGACTTGGAAAAAGTAAAGTAGACTACGTCTTTGATACAGGCCTCGAGGCAATTTACAGTAAGATCAACGAGTCGCAAACAGGGACGTTTAAAGAGAAACCCGCCGCAATCGAATCAGCCGTCCAAGCAATTAGGAAGGAGCTTGGAGTGCTTAGACAGAAGTTGAAGAATAAGAATGGTAAGCCTGGGGATGATGTCATTGAACGGTTGAAGGATTTGAAAAATAATGGTCTCGAGAATACTAATTGGTCATTGGACGGAAGGTGGGGGAAAATTGACAGTTTAAAAAGCATACATGTTGAACTCAAAAGCCAGAATGCTGAATTGCCCAAGCAGGCGGGAAATATCGATAAAGCCATAAAGGCAATAGAGGCGGAGCTTTTTAGCATCGGGTACAGGTTAAGTAACAAGTATAGCACTGAAGATGTGGCGGAGCAGTTGAAGTGGCTGGGAAAGAAGATCGGGAAAGGTCAGAAAATAGGGCTTGAGAAAATTCATGATGTAATTAGTGGACTGCAATCCGGTGAATTCACTAAAAAGCCGCAAAACATCAATGCCGCCAACGAAGCAATCAAAACAGCACTCAAAGCGCAGAGGAGCACGCTGGACAGTGACGTCATCAAGACGCTGACCAATTTGATGACCAATGGGCTGAGTGAACAGGCAAGTTGGAAGCAAGATAAAAATGTAAATGGTTTTCAAAAAATCCAAAATGATCTTAACACTCAACAAAGTGAGTTGTCCACACAGCCCACTGACATCCAGCAAGGCGTCAGCCTAATCACCGATGAGCTTACAGAGCTGAGGAAGGAGTTGCAGGGTGAGGATGCCGGTGAGCCAAAAGAAAGAGGCGTGATAACGAATTTGGAATTCATGATAAAGCAGATTGGGAAAGATAAAAATAAGGGACTTGAAGACGTGAAAATAAAGATTGCAGAGCTTAACAGGGAGACAGTCCCGAAGGTGAGTGAGTACGTCAATAAGCTGTGCAACAAGATCACCAATCACGCCGGAAATGCGGGATGGCATCTGAGCCAGCTGGAAGAAAGGCATATAGATGAGAGGCTCAGCAAAATCACAAATGACATTAACACCCTAAGCATCCGTGACCTCCAGGAGGCCATCGCCATGTGCGACAAGTTCCTAACCAACGCCGATTACATAAAATGGGAGAAAGTAGAAAACATTGAACGCTTCGTAGACAGTGAGATTGAAAAGGCAATCGCGGAGCTCACCAAGGAGGCGCGGCGTGACTACGTGGAGTCCGCGAAGGACGCGCTGAAACACTTCGCCTTAAAGGCGGAGAGCGAGCTGGAGACTCTGCCCAAGGAGATCTATCACGACCTGACGATAGGCTACAAGGGCTTCATGAAGCAGATGGAGGGTGAGCGCAGCGAAAACATTAATAGGCTAAGGAACGTGCAGAGCAGAATGCTCCGAGCATTGTCCTCCGCGTTCCAGAATTTCTTCGCGCCGCTCGACGAGTATCTCCGTAAGGAGATTGAGAGAGTGAAGAAGCAGAGTGACGACGAAAAGAATCCCTCACTGCCGAAGTCGGAAGAGCCCTACGCCGCCGAGTGGGACGCCGTGCACAGCGATGTCAACGCCCTGCTCAATTACCTCTGCGTGACGCAGGGCTTCGACGACAGGCTGCGAGGCCTGCTCCACAACCTCACCGACGCGCTCACACAGCTGACTCCGCAGTCGTTCCAGCGGCCCTCCACTCCCACGCTGGACTCCGTGAGCAGGGGACTCAGTGCCTTCGTCGGGGAGTTCGGCGATGCGTACGTCTCTCGCTACTCGGGAGCGCAGTGCCGGGAGGCGGACGCCGACAAGTACGCCAAGGTGTTTCTGAGCATCATCCCGATGACGCACGACGCCCTCACTCAGCTGCGGCAGCAGTGCAAGACCGGCGGCAGGTGGAGGGACATGAAAATTAATTCAAGCAGTAAACTCGGCACGTTCCTCCAACGCTGCGGCTACCGTGTCGCAAGCTCCCCCTCTGACCAGGACGGCGAGCTCCGCAACGGCGCTGACTGCAACGGCCACGACGTGTATCTCATGCTTCTCCAGAAAGTCGCCGGCACCCATGACAACGAACACCTCAGGGAATGTCTCTCAACACAACATGACTGTAACCTCCTAGAGCTCCTCGATTGCTTCTGCACGCACCTCCATGAGTATTATGAGACGTGCCACCTCAAGGTGCATCCCTCGCCCCGGCCGCCGTGTTCCATCTACGAGATGCTCACATGGTGCTGCGGGCTTACGTACAATCCCGTGCATCTCACCGTCACTCATGATGCCATGCCGTCGCTGTTCGAGGCGGAGGAGCCGAACCCCGGGGACTCCGACGTGCCCTTGATAAACCTCAGCAGCCTGGCGCTGCCCGCCCACCCGCAGCACATCACTCTCACTTCCCTCACCGACGCACTCACGGAGGTCTGCCACAAGGCGCATTCAGTGCTCACCACGTTGCTCGGCTTCGGCCACGCAGGTGGCATCTACGCCTGCGACTTCAACACCAACCCCGGAGGCCTGCTGTATCCCCGTGACACGGACACATTGCTCTGCCTGCTCTTCGACGTCATCAAACGCCTCCACCACCAGCTGTATTTCCTCTACCGCCGATGCCTCTACAACGCCCGGCACGGCGGATGGCTCGACTGCTGGTACGGCCGGGGCGTCGGTGGCTCCAGCTGGAAGTGCAACACCATGCAGTGTGCCAACCAGCAGTGTCCTCATGAGGCCAGCCAAGCAGGCGACCAAATTGCCAACCAAACGTGTGAGCAACGCTGTGATCAGCATCCGAAGTGCGGCGTCAAGTCGCCGCTCCAGTCGTTCCTCGAGGACGGCCTGGTGGGCTTCCTGCCGCATGACGTGTCGGCAGATGGCACCTGTGTCTCATGCTCCGGCTGCGACACTAAGTCCCCCGGCCTGCCGTGCAAGACGCCGATGGGCCTCTCCAACATCACCAGGCTGGCCTCCCGTGCGTGCCCAGGCAGAGCCATCATGGACGTCCTCGGCGCCTTCTGCGGCGGCGCTTCCTCACCCCTCACCAGGCTCTGCGGCTCCCTGAGTTGCCTCTTCACCCGACCGCCACGGACGCCAGACGAGCTGTTCGCCTTCTACTACAATTTCCTACGTGACTGGACTGACGGCGTTGCCCACCGTAAGGCGGCCTTCGAGGACGCCGTCGGCGCTGCGTGCTTCTGGCAGCGGGGCGTGTCACTGGACGTCACTGAAATCTTCAGCACCAACGGCCATGGCACACTGCCAAATATGCCTCACCTCACCGGAGATCTCTTCTCACTCGTCGAGTGCAACGGCACTCCACTATCTCCAGCATCACACCCCTGCGGCCCCTACCTCAAGCCCCTCGGCCACGACCTACGCGCCACCTTCGCCAAGACACACGCCCACCTCTACCTCTCGTGGGTAGTGTACCTCACGGACACATTCTACGGCTTCCTTCAAGAGCTGCTCCAAGACTGCGAGCGCACCTGCGCCGACGTCTCAGCCACCTGCCACGCCAGGAGCTGCGACAAGGACTGCACAGCCAAGCAGCGTCCACTGGCCCCGAACTCCAATCACACTCCCGACTGCCCCTCCATCACGGACTGCGACTCCACCACGCCCACACTCTTCCAGTACGGCTTCGCGCTCAGGGACGTCCACACCCTCGCCGGATCCACCAGCGGCCACCAAGGCAAGCGGACCTGCCAGGATCTCTGCATGGCACTGCAAGTCGCCGTCAAGCAGATGAACCCTCTCCACAGGCTGGCGCACGAGACCATCCCCGAGTTCCTCTATCGCATCCGTGCCCCCTTCCTATTCACCCTCGTAGCGCTCTGGCTCATTGCCACGCTCCTCCTCGCCCACTCACTACTCTACCGCATGGACGTCCTCCGCATCCGCTCCCACCTACTCACCACCAGGGCCTCACACCTCATCGACGTCAAGGCGCTGCTCGCCGGCACCCGCAGGATGCTCTCACTCTACAAGGACGTCGACTACTTCGACGACGACTTTCACTCTTGATTGTAATTATTGTAGCTAGACTACATTTACATCCCTCTCTTTGTGTTGCCATGTCACGTCTTTCACGGTGACTATCCAGTGCCTTGCCTAGCACCTAACCCACCACCTAACCAAGAGGCTGACCTAGCACGTAACCGACAATTTGGTAGATGCGTTGGGATGTTAGTTGCCTAGGACGTCGTTTCATGTGCCACCCGTGAACGTGTCCACGCTGTTGCCTAATTTCAAAACACCGTGAAGATGACTGCTTGCTATCTCCCCACCGCTGTGCCGGGCGAGTGTCTCACACGTCCGTTACCATGTGCGTTCGCAGGCAGTGAAGTCGTTGTGACGGCCATTGTACAGCCTAGTCAAGCGGCATCTATGACCACATTGTGGCGGCCGGTAATACAGTAGTCACTGCCCTCATAGCTGCACTCATCGTTTGCCTCGTCACCTATCTCCTCAAATGGCGAACATTAATACGCTGCGTGATTACATCAATTAGCATTGGATATTGATTGAATTACTATTCCTTACAACATGGTTGCATACATTTGTAATGTTGCTGTAATTACGTGGCGTCATTGTACCCACATCCTTCATCTCCATATCATCCTTTTACTCCCGACTCCAGTAACACTGCACATGTTGCTCTCCGCAGCTGTCCGGCCACCTCCACGACATGACACCAGTAGCATCATTCAGTCCACTTAGCCATCCAGTAGCAAACTCACATTCGACGTAGAAGTACTACCGGCGTCACCTTCAATTTCGAGGTTTAGGTTTAGGTTATGCTTTACGTCAGCAACACCATACTTGCCACCTAACCAAACGTCTTACCTAACAGGTAATCTAGCATTTGACCAAATACCTAACCTAACGTCTGACCTAACATGTAACCAAACGGCTTACCTAGCACTTAACCAAATGGCATACCTAGCACCTGACCAAACTGCTCACCTAGCACCTAGCCAAACATCTCACCTAGCACATAACCTATGACGTCACCTAGTCGCTGCTTTGTCATCTCCTTTTTCCATTATTCACCATGCCCTCAGTCCCTAAACGCCCTCCTTCATCCCTCCTTTCAGTGGATTCAGGATGCAGACGCCGCCGTTAACGCGGCTAAGGAGAAGGCGGAACAAATAAATGGGAGGTTGGATCATAATAAAAAAGACCAACACGATGGTACTGTGATTGGCCAAAATATTGAGAAAATTAAGCAAGCTAAAGACAAAGTTAGTCAAGTTGACGATCAGTTGAAAAGTATTCACACCGATTTAGGTAACTGGAAAGATGCGGCGCACAGTGTCCTTGGCACAGCGGTTGAAAAGGCAGAAGAGGTGCGTGACAAGTTGGATCCAGATGGTAAGGCCACAATTGGCCAGAACATTAGTGACATTAGTGACGCTAAAAATGAGATTGAAACCGCAAATAAAACTTTCGAAAAGCAAGTTAACAATCTGAACACTTGGATCACCTCGGCGGAGAATATCCGTGCTGCGGCAGAGGACAAGGCCAAGGAAGCCTACGACAAGTTGAAGGTTAACAAGACGCTGGATGAGAATGTGAAGAAGATTGTTAAAGCCAAGGGGGAGATTGAAAAAGTTCATAAAAACCTGAATAGTGTCCATGGCAATTTGGGAACGTGGAAGGGTCAGGCCAGCACAGTGCTTGCCGGGGCGATTGGAAAGGCGACGGACGTTCATAAGGCTTTAGATATAGATGCTAAAGGAAAGGGCATGCCGCTTGGCAAAAACATTGAAGGAATTAGCTCAGCTAATGACTTAATTAAAAAGGCGAATAATGACCTTAAAACTGAAATTGACAACTTAGGTAAGTGGCAGACTGCCGCCAAGGAAGTTATTTCCAAGGCGGATGGGAAGTGTGAGGAGATACTTAAGAAAGTTGACCAAAAAGGTAAGATTTATGTGCAAGCTCAAGAGTTACAGAAGAAAGGAAAAGAGCTTTTGGAGGCTGCCAGGACAGCCAAAAAGGCTGTTGAGTCTAAGGTCACTGCAGCCCTTAAGGCTGTTGTGGCCATGGACACATCCCTCAAGAGGGATTTGAAGCAGGTGAAGGAGAAGATTACAAATGCAATTAAATTGTATGTTGAGAAGCAAATTAATGAATTGCCTGCGAAAGTGCAAGAGGATTTGCAGCAGTTGAGGGGGAATATTGAGGGGCTTGCAAGTAATGTCCTTGGTGATCGCAGTGCAGATGACCTTGTTAAAGATGCTTTCACTCAGCTTGATGCGGCCAAAAATGCGCTTGCAAGTGTTACTCATGTCGGCGCCGGTTCAGTTGCAACGCTGACTAGTGAGCTTGAAGGGAAGTTTACTGAGTATATCCAAGATCCGCTTACCAAGGCGGTCACTGCAGTTGACTCGGCGATTCAGAAGCTTGGCGGGAAGTTTAGTCTAAGCGTGGACAAACAGAATGTTCAAGGCATTTTCGGGCATATTAAAGAAAGAGTTGGGGAGATTAAGGGGACGCCAGGCAGAAAGGGTAAAGGTCTGGAAAAAATTGTAGAAGAAGTGAAGGGCCTTGCTAGGGCGTTCGTTAACCCTGGCGGAAAAGGTTTTAACCTTAGAGTAGGCGGATGGCTGGAAGGTATAATAGGGAATGGGAAGGGGAGGCCGGGGACCAGAGACCATAAGCCCGGGTTGCAAGCCGTGACGTCTTGGCTTGAGCCGTATCAGAAGGCGGCTAATGGGGGCGGGCCTGGTGAACAGGCGTTGAGAGATCAAGTTATAAATAACATTAAGAGTGCGCTTGGAGGCCAAATCAGGGAAGCTCAGCGGATGATTATGTCAGTGCAGAATGGCCCCAAGTTCATTAACAATAATCTCACTGCCATCGTGAAGGCCTGCGAGACGTTCGTCGAGAAACTTGATGAAAAGATTAAGAAGGATGCAATTGATAGCCTTGTACGGCAGATAGTTCCGAACATTCAGCGGTGGGCAAGCGGGCAGAGCCTTCAGATTTTTAATGAAGACGCTGATCTCAAGTGTGCCGTCCGCTACACTCTCCTTGCACTCTGCGCTTCTGTGAGGCAGGTTGGCATTGAGCTCAAATCATTAGGCATCGACAAGTTTGGCGAAATTTTGGACCAAATTAAACCGACTGTAGATGATCTCGACAAGCAGCTGAAAGAGGCGACTAGCCCTCCCGGCATCCCTCCCACCGGCAAAAATGAAAGCCCCGCCCAAGCCGTGGACAAAAGGTTGGAGGCGGTGAGGGAGAAGGTTAAGGGACTTGAAAACAAGTTTAGAGAAAACGTCACAAAAGATCTTAAAGCTGAGGTGGACAAACTTCCCACCGCCGTTGGCGCTTTCAACTCCACCGCCGAACAGCAGATCAGGGCTGCCGCCCAGACGGCCATCAAAAAGGCGGCTGGGCAGATTAGTGAGAGTGATGTTCCATCTGAGATTGACGTCGAGAGTAATATGCCAAGTTTCCACACTGTCTACAATAACATCAAAACTCAGCTCCCCAAGGACCTTCATGCTCTGCTGGACACGCACATTGGGAAGTATCACTTGTCGGGTTATCCTCCGTTTACTGTAGTACAGGAACTCAAACTTTCACCATTATTTAGCCTATATAAGGGGCACGTTACACAACCTATAAGCGCAATTCTCACCGGCATCACATCTGAAGGCTCCCTCCCCCAGGCCATCGGGGAGATCAAGACTGTGGGACTGGCGGAGCTTGAAGAGGCTATTGGTGACAATGTCATTGGCGATAAGAAGATTGAAGAAAAGACGTTTAATGGGCCGTTCACCCAAATTAAGACACAGCTTGAAGCGATCAAGAAATTGGTTGATGAGGATGACAAGATGATACTCGACTATGGCGTCATTGACAAGAAGGGCGTTAAAACGCTGTTGACTGAATTAAATCACATGATTACTCTGCACAATGCAAACAATTTATACGGTCTTACCGCTGGCCTCAACTCTATTTATAATAAGATTGACACTCTCCACTTAACAACGTTCACTAACCAACCCGAAGCAATTGAGAAAGCCGTCGGCCTAATCAGGCAGGAGCTTGGAGTGCTTAGAGGGAAGTTGAAGAATTCGCAAAATGGTGGGACAAAAGATGGCGTTATTCACGAGTTGGAGGATCTGAAAAGGAATGGCCTTGGAGCTGAGTGGGCATTTGGCGATGCGCAGTGGAAACACATGGACAACTTGAGGGCGATACAAAACAAGCTGAAATATCAGAATGGTATGTTACCGGAGCAGACGAAAAATATTGAAGAAACCATCAAAGCAATAAAGCAAGATATACAGGATGCGCTGAGAAATGTTGGCATGAAGTTGAACAACACGCTCATTGATGATGACGTCGTCGACAAGTTGGGGGCATTCAAATTGATGATTGGTCAGGGTGGACATGGAGGCCTGCAAGGTATTTATGAAGCAATTCAAAAACTTCAACAAAATCAATTTACTAAGCAACCACAAGCCATAGGGGAAGCCAACGAGGCAATCAAGGATGCACTCAAAGAGCAGATCAACACGCTAGGCAGCGATGTCATCAAGGAGCTGAGTGATTTGATGACCAACGGGATGAGTAAAGATAAGAATTGGAAGTACAATGGTAGTGATGTTAATGGTCTATTAAAAATTATTAGTGACCTCCAACATCAACAAGGCATATTGACATCACAGCCCACTGCAATCGGCGGCGGCGTCGACCAGATCACCAGGGAGCTTGACGAGCTGAGGAGTGAGTTGCAGGGTAAGGATGACACTGAGCCAAAAGAAAGAGGCGTGATAAAGAATATGGAATTTATGATTAAGAAGATTGGAACAAATGATGACGATCCTAATAGCCTCAGAAAAATCAAGAAAGAGATTGAAGAGCTCAACAGGGATACAGTCCCTGACATCAACAAATTCCTTGGTGAACTGTGCGCCAAGATTGCGAGCGAAGCCGGTAGTGTGGATTGGAAGTTGGGGCTTTTCAAAGAAAATAACATCGACAAAGACCTCGCAAAAATCAAGACACAAATTGACACCCTACGCATAGATGACCTCCAGGCGGCCATCGCCATGTGCGACAAGTTCCTCACCAACGCCGATTACATAAAATGGGAGAAAGTAGAAAACATTGAACGCTTCGTAGACAGTGAGATTGAAAAGGCAATCGCGGAGCTCAGCAAGCAGGCCCGTCAGGACTACGTGGAGTCCGCGAAGGACGCGCTGAAACACTTCGCCGCCAAGGTGGCCGAGGAGCTGGGGGAGCTGCCTGAGGAGATAAACAGGGATCTCTACACAGGCTACAAGGGCCTCATGAAATATGCGCACGGACACTTTGACAGCCTCGAAAGCGTCACGGAAGAGAGAGAAATTGCCGTCATATCCTCCGCGTTCCACGCTTTCTACGCCCCGGTCAACGAGTATCTCGGCAGTGAGATCCGGAGGGAGCACAGGGAGCGTGAGGGCGAAAAAAGTCCCCTGCTCCCCAAGTCCCAGGATCACTACGCTGACAGACTTAGTGCAGTTCACACGGCGCTCAGCGCTCTGCTCACCCACATAACCGGTGCGCAACGCTACGGCCATGAGGTCCGTGGTCTGCTTGACGCGCTTGACAAGGCACTCGCCGGCCTCAGGCCGGAGTGCTTCGCCAGGCCAAGCACGGCTGTGATAGACGGCGTGACGGACGGGCTCAGTGCCTTCGCCGCCGAGCTGAGGAACGCGTACATCAGTGCGTACTCCGGCGCCGCGCTCACCGGTGACTTAGTCAGCAGTGAGGCCGTGAGCGAGAGAAGCGTCACAGTGTTGACACCTTATGGCGAGAAGCTTTCTAAGGTGTTGCTCAGCATGGTGCCAATACTTTACAGTTCATTGACCGTGTTGAGAACGGAGTGCAAGAGCCTCGCTGGACAGCAACTCAACAAATGTACGGACCTAGGCAGCCTCCTCACCGGGATGGGCTACAACGTCCCAGACGACGGCAAGCAGGACGGCGAGTTGAATAGGAACGTGACCGGTAGGGGAATTACCATGCTCCTCGTCGGCGATTTCGAACGTGTCTTCAACTCTGATAAGGACACCAAAAATGCGCTCGGGATTCTTCTCGATCATCTCAACGATTACTACAAGGCGTGTCACTTCAATCTTCCACGTTCGCTCAGGACGCCGTGCAACGTATATGAGATGCTCGTATGGCTGACGGGCCTCCCGCACAACTGTGTCTACGATAAGCTCTGTAAATTCACGAAACTGTGTTACAGCGAGCAGACTGAGAATAGCCTCTATGCCGCCACTTTCCCTGCCGACGCTTTAGTTGCCGCCGTTGGGAGGCTCACCGCCGACTGCCCTGCCATACTCACCAGAGTGCTCGGCTACGGCAGTGCTCTGACAACATACGCCTGCGACTTCCATAGCAACTCCATGAGACTGTATTACCCGCAGGACGGCGAGGAATGCCTGCACATGATGCTTCATTGTGTACGTTTATTGCTCTCAGTGCTCAGGTTCCTGTCAAGTCAGTGCTCACTCCCCGCTCACCACGGTGGCTGGGCGGAGTGCCGGTACGGCAAGGGTGTCCCACCATATATGTGGCAGTGCAATCCCCTGGCCTTCAATTCATCACTGCCTCACCCGGAGTGCACCGATAAATCACCCCTGCAGTCCTACCTCAACGACTGCCTGCCCGGCCACCTACCTCATCAGGTCAGCAACGTCGGCTGTGAGCCTTTATGCAACACGTGTCCCAGTGCACCAAGTGGAATGCCCTGCCTCACGCCGCTCGGCTTCCGGGGTTTCTCCGGCAGCATCAAGACGGGCAAGCAGCTGTGCAAAGTGCTGACCAAATGGTTCGGCAACAAGCATCTCCCATCGCTGCTCAGCCTCGAACCCAGACCGCCGGCCACCTTGGCTGAGCACATAGGCTTCGCCCTGTCGCTCGTCAACGATTGGCACGACGGCAAGATTGTGCCCAAGAATTTCTTCCAAACGGCACTCGAGGCATCCGCCACGGACTTGTCACTTCGCCTCTACAACCAACCCGGTGACCTGACCGCAGCGCTCACCGCCGCCTACGGCTCGGACTCCGCGAAACACGGCGGCTGCAAGCACCCGCACCTGACGCATCTCGCAGGCACTGACGTCTGCACCAGGCACCAAGCTTCGCCCTTCCTCCAAGCCCTCTGCCGCGACTCCTACGACAGCCTTGCCTACCGCCACTCAGACCTCTACCTCTCCTGGGCCGTCTACCTCCCGTGGACACTGTATGATTTATTGCTGTGCCTGTACACCGCGTTCAAGGAAATCTCCTGCCGGGACTGGAGCTGCGATGCGTGCCTTCACGAAGGCCCCTGTGATCCAGACAGCCACGGCGTCCTAAACCCCAAGGCACCCGTCCACGGCTGCCGATGCCCTTCCATCGTCCAATGCACGGGCGTGATGCCGACGCTCTACCAATACGGCCTCACCTTCAAGGACGCACCGGCCTTGATATCGCAAAACACAACTTGCTTTAGCTTCTCCACGCAGCTCTCCCAAGTCCTCCACTCTGAGTATTTCAGAGATCTCTTCCACAAGTGTGATGAGTTCCTCTGGCACATCAGGATGCCCTTCCTCTTCACCATCGTCACACTCTGGCTCACCGCCACGCTCTACATCGCCCACTCACTCCTCTACCGCATGGACGTCCTGCATATCCGCTCCCACCTCCTGACTACCAGCGCCTCCCACCAACTCGACGTCAAGGCCCTGCTCTCCCGCACCCGCAGGATGCTCTCACTCTACACTGACGTCGACTACTTCGACGACGACTTTCACTCGTGACAGTAATTATCTGAGCTACATTCACATTTACTTTCCTCGTGTTGCCATGTCTCATCACGTCTCTCATCGTGACTGTACGCCGTGCCTTGCCCAGCACCTAACTCACTGACTAACCAAGAGGCTAACCTAGCACGTAACCAAGCACATAACCTAAGATGTAACCTACCACCTAACCCACAATTTACTAGATGCGTTGGGATGTTCGTTGCTTCACGCGCCACTCGTGAACGTGTCCACGCCGTTGCTTAATCTCAGTGTACCGTCAAGATGACTGCTTGCTATCTCCCCACCGCTGTGCCGGGCGAGTGTCTCACACCTCAGTTACCATGTGCGTTCGCAGGCAGTGAAGTCGTTGTGACGGCCATTGTACAGCCTAGTCAAGCGGCATCTATGACCACATTGTGGCGGCCGGTAATACAGTAGTCACTGCCCTCACAGCTACACTTGTCATTTGCCTCGTCACCTATCTCCTCAAATGGCGAACATGAATACACTGCGTGATTACATCAATTAGCATTGGATATTAATTGAATTATCATTCCTTACAACATGGTTGCATACAATTCTAATATTGCTGTAATTACATGGCGTCATTGTACCCGCATCCTTCATCTCCATATCATCCCTTTACTCCCCGACTCCAGTAACACTGCACATGTTGCTCTCCGCAGTTTCCGGCCACCTCCACGACATGACACCATTAGCCTCATCTAGTCCACGTAGCCATCCAGTAGCCATCTCACATTCGACGCTACAATATCACCGGCGTCACCTTCAATTTCAAGGTTTAGGTTTAGGTTATGCTCTACGTCAGCAACACTCACCAAACTTGCCGCCTAACCAAACGTCTTACCTAACAGGTAATCTAGCATTTGACCAAATACCTGACCTAACGTCTGACCTAACATGTAACCAAACGGCTTACCTAGCACTTAACCAAATGGCATACCTAGCACCTGACCAAACTGCTCACCTAGCACCTAGCCAAACATCTCACCTAGCACATAACCTATGATGCAACCTACTCGCTGCTTTGTCATCTCCCTTCTCCGTTTGTCGCCTTGCCGTCACTCCCTAAACGCCCTCCTTCATCCCTCCTTTCAGTGGATTGAGGCTGCGGACGAAGCCGTTCAGGCTGCCAAAAAGAAGGCGGAAGATGTATATGGGAGGTTGGATCATAATAATAATAATAATAATAAAGCGCCTGCAGGTACTACGATTGGCCAAAATATTGAGAAAATTAAGCAAGCTAAAGACAAAGTTAGTCAAGTTGACGATCAGTTGAAAAGTATTCACGCAGATTTAGGTAACTGGAAAGATGCGGCAAGCGGTGTGCTTGGCACAGCGGTTGGAAAGGCTCAGACAGTGCATGGCAAGTTGGATCCTGATAAAAGTAAGTCGACGCTTGGTGGTAAAATCGGAGAAATTGAAGACGCAAAAAACAACATTATTAGCGCAAATTCACAACTGAAAACACAAGTCGACAGCCTTAGTAATTGGATCTCCACCGCGGAGGACATCCGCCAAAAGGCCCAGCAAAAAGCGGAAGAGGCTTACAGTAAGTTGGACGTTCACGCTGAATTGAGCAAGAATGTCAAGAAGATTGTTGATGCTAACAGTGTAATTAAAAATGTTAACAAGAGTCTGACAAGTGTCCATGGCAATTTGGGTACCTGGAATGCTGAGGCCAAGAGAGTGCTCCAAGGAGCGATTGGAAATGCCAAGGATGTTCATGATAGGTTGGATGATAATAGTGCGGAAGTTGGTCAGAAAATTAAGAGTATTGAAACAAATAATGATGCAATTAAACAAGCAAATAAAACTCTCGAAGAAAATGTTAAGAGTCTGGGAGCCTGGAAGTCTGCGGCGGAGAAGGTGATTGACAAGGCGGAGCAGAAGTGTAATAGAATTTTGGAGAAAGTTAGTCCAAAAGGTCCAATTTATAAGCAAGCTGAAATATTAAAAGAGAAAGGCATAAAGCTTTTTAATGCTGCTAAGTCGGCCAAGACAGCTGTTGAGTCTCAGGTCTCTGAGGCCTTGCAGGCTGTTGTTCAAATGGACGCATCTCTCAAGAAGGATTTGAAGAGTGTGAAGGAGGAGATTAAGAAAGGGATTGAGAGTGTGATTACTAGTTTGCGAGTTAATGAGTTGGATAAGAAAGTGAAGATTGATTTGGGGAAGTTGAGGGGGAGGATTGAGGGGCTTGGCAAGGATCTGGATGGCGCTGGAGAGAGTCATCATCTTGTTGGTACCCACTTAACAACGCTAAAAAGCAAGAAAAGTGAGCTGGATAAAATTACTCATAATGGTCCCACTTCAATTAAAACTGAGGTGGACAGTGGGCTTGACAGTAAGTTTCAGACTGCGGTCCAACATCCGCTTAGCGAGAAGGTAGATAATGTTGACCAGGCGATTGAGAAGCTTGGCGGGAAGTTTGATGGGCTCACAAAGCAGGATCAAAATAAACTTGAAATGATTTTCGGGCATATTAAAGAAAAGGTTGCGGCGATTAAGGGGACACCGGGGAGAAACCCCAATGGTAACGATGGTACAGAACTAGAAGGTGTTGTTCAGAGAGTAAAAGGGCTTGCTAGGGCATTTGTTAACCCTGCCGGAAAAGGTTTTGAGGCCAGAGTGGTCGGATGGCTACAGAACAGTATTCTGGGGAATGGTAAGCAGTCATGGGAAAGAGAATATAAGCCCGGGATGCAAGCCGTGAATACATGGCTTGAGCCGTATCAGAAGGCGGCTAAGGGGGGCGGGCATAATGAACAAGCATTGAAAGATCAAGTTATAAATAATATTAAGAGTACGCTTGGAACCCAAATTACCGCAGCTCAGCGGATGATTATGTCAGTGCAGAATGGCATCACAGTTAATCTCACTGCTATCGTCACCGCTTGCAACACATTCGTCGAAGAGCTCGATAAGAAGATCCCGAAGGGCGCAATTGATCAGCTTGCCAATCCCGTAGCCGGGCAGATTCAGAATTGGATGCAAGGGCAGGGTCTTTGGAATCGTGTGACTGACGCTGATCTCAAGTGTGCCGTCCGCTACACTCTCCTTGCACTCTGCGCTTCTGTGAGGCAGGTTGGCATTGAGCTCAAATCATTAGGCATCGACAAGTTTGGCGAAATTTTGGACCAAATTAAACCGACTGTAGATGATCTCGACAAGCAGCTGAAAGAGGCGACTAGCCCTCCCGGCATCCCTCCCACCGGCAAAAATGAAAGCCCCGCCCAAGCCGTGGACAGTAAGTTGCAGGCGGTGAGGGAGAAGGTTAAGGGGCTTGAAGAGAACTTTAAGAAAGTCAAGCAGAATCTGGAGGCTGAGGTTGCCAAACTTCCCTCCGCCGTTGAGACTTTCAACACTAAAGCTCAAGCACAGATCAAGGCTGCAGCCCAGACGGCGATTGACAAGGCGGCTGGGCAGATTAAGGAGGAAAAGAGTCCAATTGTGCTTGGCCAAAATAAGCTTATGGAGCAATTCAACACTCAGTTTACTACTATTAAAAGTAGTCTCGAACATCAACTCAAGCAGCAAGTTAACAATCACATTAGGGAGGATGATCCGCCAGGCCTGGCAGGTGGTCAACAACAGAAATTCATTCTTGCTAAACAATATTTTACAGGTTATGATAACCATGTTAAACAAGAAGCAATTAATAAACTTAGTCCCGGTGGAACTCTAACCGGCAAGCCAGATGAAGGCCATCTTCCACAGGCGATCGGGAACATCAAGAATCAGGGTCTGGCAGAGCTTAAAATCATTGATCCACCAGGAGGTACTGGTAAAATAGATACCAATACCTTCACCGTTCCGTTCGACAAAATTCAGAAAGAGCTTGAAGAGATCAAGAAATTGGTTGATGGGAACAATGCGTCGTTCACGCAAGGTGATGAAAACCAAAAAGGTGTGAAAACGCTGCTCGAAGATCTTAAAAGAGGACTTGGGAACGGCAAATATCCATGGATCACCGGTGTTAGTGGCCTTGATAAGATTATATTGGCGGTTAACGATCTGCAAAAAGGGACGTTTAATAGCGAACCCGGCAAAATCGACATAGCCGTCATAGCAATTAAGACGGAGCTTAAGAACCTTAGAGAGAAGTTGATGAAAAAGAAGGATGAAGATGTAATCAAGACTCTGGAAGATTTGAAAAATTATGGTCTTGAAAATGGTGCTTTTACATTTAGTACTAATAACAAATGGAAAAATGTTGGCAGTTTCAAAAGTATCCATATTGACCTTAAAAAGCAAAATGAGATATTGCCAAAACAGACTGACATAATCAGCAATGCTGTCGACGCAGTTAAGTTGGAGCTTGCAAGGATAGGAATTAAGATTCAAAATATTGCCGGTACTAATGACGTCCTAGACCCGTTGCGTTGGTTTAAACGGAGCATTGGTAAAAATGCTCCGGAGGCGTGGAATATCCAAGGAATTCACGACGCAATTCAAAAGCTGCAATCCGGTGATTTTACTAATAAACCTCAAGCCATCGATGTCGCCAAGAAAGACATTGTTAAAGAACTCACTGCCCTCCAAGGTGTGTTGCAGGGCGACAAGCCAGGCGACGACGTCATCAAGACGCTGGAGGATCTGATGGACACCGGACTGAGTAAAGGAATGTGGGATGTAAATGTACATGGCAAAATGAAAGGCCTACAAGGCATCCAGGAAGATCTAAAAGGCCAACAAATAATATTGGAGAGACAACCTGGTGAAATACTTCTTGGTGTCCAACAGATCACCGCGGAGCTTGACACGCTGCGGAGTCAGATGCTTAAAAAGGATGGCAATGAAGCAACCAAAAAAGGTGTGATTAACAACCTGGATGACATGATAAAGCAGATCGGCAACAGTGACAATGACAGTGAGAGCCTCAGGAAAATGAGTAAGGAAATTGACACCCTTAACACTGTCACAGTCCCGAAGGTGACCGAGCATCTCGTCAAGCTGTGTCAAGAGATTCAGACTGCAGGGGCGTACGCCGGTTGGAAGCTGGACACATTCAATGACACAAACATAGACGTGAGCCTGAAAGGAATAGAGAATGACATCAGTCTCCAGATCCCCGCGCTCCAGGCGGCCATCGCCATGTGCGATAATCTTTACAGACTGCTGCAACCGCAAGCCGAAGCACAGATCATCAGCCGTATCAACAAGCACATCGATGAGGCACTCAAGGAAGCCGAAGAGGCGCTGACAAAGCAGGCGCGGCGGCAGTACGTGGAGTCCGCGAAGGACGCGCTTCAACACTTCGCCTTAAAGGCGGAGAGTGAGCTGGGGGAGCTGCCCGGCGAGATAAACAGGGATCTCTTCGTGGGCTTCAAGGGCCTCATGAAATACGTGTACGGACATTTTGATAGCCTCGAAAGCGTGAGGGAAGAGAAGGAAATTGCCGTCATATCCTCCGCGTTCCACGCTTTCTACGCCCCGGTCAACGAGTATCTCGGCAGTGAGATCCGGAGGGAGCACAGGGAGCGTGAGGGCGAAAAAAGTCCCCTGCTCCCCAAGTCCCAGGATCACTACGCTGACAGACTTAGTGCAGTTCACACGGCGCTCAGCGCTCTGCTCACCCACATAACCGGTGCGCAACGCTACGGCCATGAGGTCCGTGGTCTGCTTGACGCGCTTGACAAGGCACTCGCCGGCCTCAGGCCGGAGTGCTTCGCCAGGCCAAGCACGGCTGTGATAGACGGCGTGACGGACGGGCTCAGTGCCTTCGCCGCCGAGCTGAGGAACGCGTACATCAGTGCGTACTCCGGCGCCGCGCTCACCGGTGACTTAGTCAGCAGTGAGGCCGTGAGCGAGAGAAGCGTCACAGTGTTGACACCTTATGGCGAGAAGCTTTCTAAGGTGTTGCTCAGCATGGTGCCAATACTTTACAGTTCATTGACCGTGTTGAGAACGGAGTGCAAGAGCCTCGCTGGACAGCAACTCAACAAATGTACGGACCTAGGCAGCCTCCTCGGCGAGATGGGCTACAGAGTCCCAGACTACGGCGAGCAGGACGGCGAGTTGGACAGCCACGTGACCGGTAGAGGAATTACCATGCTCCTCGTCGGCGATTATAAGCGTGTCTTCAACTCTGATAAGGACACCAAAAATGCGCTCGGGATTCTTCTCGATCATCTCAACGATTACTACAAGGCGTGTCACTTCAATCTTCCACGTTCGCTCAGGACGCCGTGCAACGTATATGAGATGCTCGTATGGCTGACGGGCCTCCCGCACAACTGTGTCTACGATAAGCTCTGTAAATTCACGAAACTGTGTTACAGCGAGCAGACTGAGAATAGCCTCTATGCCGCCACTTTCCCTGCCGACGCCTTGGTTAAAGCCGTTGGGAGGCTCACCGCCGACTGTCCCAGCATCCTCACCAGAGTGCTCGGCTACGGCAGTGCTCTGACAACCTACGCCTGCGACTTCTATAGCAACTCCATGAGACTGTATTACCCGCAGGACGGCGAGGAATGCCTGCACATGATGCTTCATTGTGTACGTTTATTGCTCTCAGTGCTCAGGTTCCTGTCAAGTCAGTGCTCACTCCCCGCTCACCACGGTGGCTGGGCGGAGTGCCGGTACGGCAAGGGTGTCCCACCATATATGTGGCAGTGCAATCCCCTGGCCTTCAATTCATCACTGCCTCACCCGGAGTGCACCGATAAATCACCCCTGCAGTCCTACCTCAACGACTGCCTGCCCGGCCACCTACCTCATCAGGTCAGCAACGTCGGCTGTGAGCCTTTATGCAACACGTGTCCCAGTGCACCAAGTGGAATGCCCTGCCTCACGCCGCTCGGCTTCCGGGGTTTCTCCGGCAGCATCAAGACGGGCAAGCAGCTGTGCAAAGTGCTGACCAAATGGTTCGGCAACAAGCATCTCCCATCGCTGCTCAGCCTCGAACCCAGACCGCCGGCCACCTTGGCTGAGCACATAGGCTTCGCCCTGTCGCTCGTCAACGATTGGCACGACGGCAAGATTGTGCCCAAGAATTCCCTCCAACAGGCCCTCGAGGCATCCGCCACGGACTTGTCACTTCGCCTCTACAACCAACCCGGTGACCTGACCGCAGCGCTCACCGCCGCCTACGGCTCGGACTCCGCGAAACACGGCGGCTGCAAGCACCCGCACCTGACGCATCTCGCAGGCACTGACGTCTGCACCAGGCACCAAGCTTCGCCCTTCCTCCAAGCCCTCTGCCGCGACTCCTACGACAGCCTTGCCTACCGCCACTCAGACCTCTACCTCTCCTGGGCCGTCTACCTCCCGTGGACACTGTATGATTTATTGCTGTGCCTGTACACCGCGTTCAAGGAAATCTCCTGCCGGGACTGGAGCTGCGATGCGTGCCTTCACGAAGGCCCCTGTGATCCAGACAGCCACGGCGTCCTAAACCCCAAGGCACCCGTCCACGGCTGCCGATGCCCTTCCATCGTCCAATGCACGGGCGTGATGCCGACGCTCTACCAATACGGCCTCACCTTCAAGGACGCACCGGCCTTGATATCGCAAAACACAACTTGCTTTAGCTTCTCCACGCAGCTCTCCCAAGTCCTCCACTCTGAGTATTTCAGAGATCTCTTCCACAAGTGTGATGAGTTCCTCTGGCACATCAGGATGCCCTTCCTCTTCACCATCGTCACACTCTGGCTCACCGCCACGCTCTACATCGCCCACTCACTCCTCTACCGCATGGACGTCCTGCATATCCGCTCCCACCTCCTGACTACCAGCGCCTCCCACCAACTCGACGTCAAGGCCCTGCTCTCCCGCACCCGCAGGATGCTCTCACTCTACACTGACGTCGACTACTTCGACGACGACTTTCACTCGTGACAGTAATTATCTGAGCTACATTCACATTTACTTTCCTCGTGTTGCCATGTCTCATCACGTCTCTCATCGTGACTGTACGCCGTGCCTTGCCCAGCACCTAACTCACTGACTAACCAAGAGGCTAACCTAGCACGTAACCAAGCACATAACCTAAGATGTAACCTACCACCTAACCCACAATTTACTAGACGCGTTGGTATATTCGTTGTTTCACACGCCACCCGTGAACGTGTCCACGCTGTTGCCTAATTTCAAAACACCGTGAAGATGACTGCTTGCTATCTCCCCACCGCTGTGCCGGGCGAGTGTCTCACACGTCCGTTACCATGTGCGTTCGCAGGCAGTGAAGTCGTTGTGACGGCCATTGTACAGCCTAGTCAAGCGGCATCTATGACCACATTGTGGCGGCCGGTAATACAGTAGTCACTGCCCTCACAGCTACACTTGTCATTTGCCTCGTCACCTATCTCCTCAAATGGCGAACATGAATACACTGCGTGATTACATCAATTAGCATTGGATATTAATTGAATTATCATTCCTTACAACATGGTTGCATACAATTCTAATATTGCTGTAATTACATGGCGTCATTGTACCCGCATCCTTCATCTCCATATCATCCCTTTACTCCCCGACTCCAGTAACACTGCACATGTTGCTCTCCGCAGTTTCCGGCCACCTCCACGACATGACACCATTAGCCTCATCTAGTCCACGTAGCCATCCAGTAGCCATCTCACATTCGACGCTACAATATCACCGGCGTCACCTTCAATTTCAAGGTTTAGGTTTAGGTTATGCTCTACGTCAGCAACACTCACCAAACTTGCCGCCTAACCAAACGTCTTACCTAACAGGTAATCTAGCATTTGACCAAATACCTGACCTAACGTCTGACCTAACATGTAACCAAACGGCTTACCTAGCACTTAACCAAATGGCATACCTAGCACCTGACCAAACTGCTCACCTAGCACCTAGCCAAACATCTCACCTAGCACATAACCTATGATGCAACCTACTCGCTGCTTTGTCATCTCCCTTCTCCGTTTGTCGCCTTGCCGTCACTCCCTAAACGCCCTCCTTCATCCCTCCTTTCAGTGGATTGAGGCTGCGGACGAAGCCGTTCAGGCTGCCAAAAAGAAGGCGGAAGATGTATATGGGAGGTTGGATCATAATAATAATAATAATAATAAAGCGCCTGCAGGTACTACGATTGGCCAAAATATTGAGAAAATTAAGCAAGCTAAAGACAAAGTTAGTCAAGTTGACGATCAGTTGAAAAGTATTCACGCAGATTTAGGTAACTGGAAATCCGCGGCAAGTGACGTCCTTTCCACAGCGGTTAAGAAGGCGACGGAAGTCCATGGCAAGTTGGATCCTGATAAAAGTAAGTCGACGCTTGGTGGTAAAATCGGAGAAATTGAAGACGCAAAAAACAACATTATTAGCGCAAATTCACAACTGAAAACACAAGTCGACAGCCTTAGTAATTGGATCTCCACCGCGGAGGACATCCGCCAAAAGGCCCAGCAAAAAGCGGAAGAGGCTTACAGTAAGTTGGACGTTCACGCTGAATTGAGCAAGAATGTCAAGAAGATTGTTGATGCTAACAGTGTAATTAAAAATGTTAACAAGAGTCTGACAAGTGTCCATGGCAATTTGGGTACCTGGAATGCTGAGGCCAAGAGAGTGCTCCAAGGAGCGATTGGAAATGCCAAGGATGTTCATGATAGGTTGGATGATAATAGTGCGGAAGTTGGTCAGAAAATTAAGAGTATTGAAACAAATAATGATGCAATTAAACAAGCAAATAAAACTCTCGAAGAAAATGTTAAGAGTCTGGGAGCCTGGAAGTCTGCGGCGGAGAAGGTGATTGACAAGGCGGAGCAGAAGTGTAATAGAATTTTGGAGAAAGTTAGTCCAAAAGGTCCAATTTATAAGCAAGCTGAAATATTAAAAGAGAAAGGCATAAAGCTTTTTAATGCTGCTAAGTCGGCCAAGACAGCTGTTGAGTCTCAGGTCTCTGAGGCCTTGCAGGCTGTTGTTCAAATGGACGCATCTCTCAAGAAGGATTTGAAGAGTGTGAAGGAGGAGATTAAGAAAGGGATTACAAGTGTGATTACTAAGTTGAAAGTGAAGACTTTGGATGGTTTGGTGAAACAGGATTTGGGGAAGTTGAGGGGGAGGATTGAGGGGCTTGGCAAGGATCTGGATGGCGCTGGAGAGAGTCATCATCTTGTTGGTACCCACTTAACAACGCTAAAAAGCAAGAAAAGTGAGCTGGATAAAATTACTCATAATGGTCCCACTTCAATTAAAACTGAGGTGGACAGTGGGCTTGACAGTAAGTTTCAGACTGCGGTCCAACATCCGCTTAGCGAGAAGGTAGATAATGTTGACCAGGCGATTGAGAAGCTTGGCGGGAAGTTTGATGGGCTCACAAAGCAGGATCAAAATAAACTTGAAATGATTTTCGGGCATATTAAAGAAAAGGTTGCGGCGATTAAGGGGACACCGGGGAGAAACCCCAATGGTAACGATGGTACAGAACTAGAAGGTGTTGTTCAGAGAGTAAAAGGGCTTGCTAGGGCATTTGTTAACCCTGCCGGAAAAGGTTTTGAGGCCAGAGTGGTCGGATGGCTACAGAACAGTATTCTGGGGAATGGTAAGCAGTCATGGGAAAGAGAATATAAGCCCGGGATGCAAGCCGTGAATACATGGCTTGAGCCGTATCAGAAGGCGGCTAAGGGGGGCGGGCATAATGAACAAGCATTGAAAGATCAAGTTATAAATAATATTAAGAGTACGCTTGGAGGCCAAATCAGGGAAGCTCAGCGGATGATTATGTCAGTGCAGAATGGCCCCAAGTTCATTAACAATAATCTCACTGCCATCGTGAAGGCCTGCGAGACGTTCGTCGAGAAACTTGATGAAAAGATTAAGAAGGATGCAATTGATAGCCTTGTACGGCAGATAGTTCCGAACATTCAGCGGTGGGCAAGCGGGCAGAGCCTTCAGATTTTTAATGAAGACGCTGATCTCAAGTGTGCCGTCCGCTACACTCTCCTTGCACTCTGCGCTTCTGTGAGGCAGGTTGGCATTGAGCTCAAATCATTAGGCATCGACAAGTTTGGCGAAATTTTGGACCAAATTAAACCGACTGTAGATGATCTCGACAAGCAGCTGAAAGAGGCGACTAGCCCTCCCGGCATCCCTCCCACCGGCAAAAATGAAAGCCCCGCCCAAGCCGTGGACAGTAAGTTGCAGGCGGTGAGGGAGAAGGTTAAGGGGCTTGAAGAGAACTTTAAGAAAGTCAAGCAGAATCTGGAGGCTGAGGTTGCCAAACTTCCCTCCGCCGTTGAGACTTTCAACACTAAAGCTCAAGCACAGATCAAGGCTGCAGCCCAGACGGCGATTGACAAGGCGGCTGGGCAGATTAGCAAGGGCACTACAATAACTCTTAGTGAAGATGGCCTAATGTCTGATTTCGAGAAAGCCCACAAGCAGATCAGAAATGGTCTCCAAAAACAACTTGAGCAGAAAGTTAATGACAACATTGGGGAGGATGATCAGGCAGGTGGTGGTCAAAAAGTTGAACTTGAGAAAGGAAAATTTCCGCAATATGAGAAACACGTTACACAACCTGTCAATCATACTCTAACCGGCGAACAAGCAAAAAACGAAGGCCTTCTTCCACAGGCGATCGGGAAGATTAGGGGTGATGGACTGGAAGCGCTTGAAAAGACAATTGGTCATACTGCCCAGCAGTCAGATAAAATTGATAACAATACCTTCACCGGTCCGTTCGACAAAATTCAGAAAGAGCTTGAAGAGATCAAGAAATTGGTTGATGGGAACAATGCGTCGTTCACGCAAGGTGATGAAAACCAAAAAGGTGTGAAAACGCTGCTCGAAGATCTTAAAAGAGGACTTGGGAACGGCAAATATCCATGGATCACCGGTGTTAGTGGCCTTGATAAGATTATATTGGCGGTTAACGATCTGCAAAAAGGGACGTTTAATAGCGAACCCGGCAAAATCGACATAGCCGTCATAGCAATTAAGACGGAGCTTAAGAACCTTAGAGAGAAGTTGATGAAAAAGAAGGATGAAGATGTAATCAAGACTCTGGAAGATTTGAAAAATTATGGTCTTGAAAATGGTGCTTTTACATTTAGTACTAATAACAAATGGAAAAATGTTGGCAGTTTCAAAAGTATCCATATTGACCTTAAAAAGCAAAATGAGATATTGCCAAAACAGACTGACATAATCAGCAATGCTGTCGACGCAGTTAAGTTGGAGCTTGCAAGGATAGGAATTAAGATTCAAAATATTGCCGGTACTAATGACGTCCTAGACCCGTTGCGTTGGTTTAAACGGAGCATTGGTAAAAATGCTCCGGAGGCGTGGAATATCCAAGGAATTCACGACGCAATTCAAAAGCTGCAATCCGGTGATTTTACTAATAAACCTCAAGCCATCGATGTCGCCAAGAAAGACATTGTTAAAGAACTCACTGCCCTCCAAGGTGTGTTGCAGGGCGACAAGCCAGGCGACGACGTCATCAAGACGCTGGAGGATCTGATGGACACCGGACTGAGTAAAGGAATGTGGGATGTAAATGTACATGGCAAAATGAAAGGCCTACAAGGCATCCAGGAAGATCTAAAAGGCCAACAAATAATATTGGAGAGACAACCTGGTGAAATACTTCTTGGTGTCCAACAGATCACCGCGGAGCTTGACACGCTGCGGAGTCAGATGCTTAAAAAGGATGGCAATGAAGCAACCAAAAAAGGTGTGATTAACAACCTGGATGACATGATAAAGCAGATCGGCAACAGTGACAATGACAGTGAGAGCCTCAGGAAAATGAGTAAGGAAATTGACACCCTTAACACTGTCACAGTCCCGAAGGTGACCGAGCATCTCGTCAAGCTGTGTCAAGAGATTCAGACTGCAGGGGCGTACGCCGGTTGGAAGCTGGACACATTCAATGACACAAACATAGACGTGAGCCTGAAAGGAATAGAGAATGACATCAGTCTCCAGATCCCCGCGCTCCAGGCGGCCATCGCCATGTGCGATAATCTTTACAGACTGCTGCAACCGCAAGCCGAAGCACAGATCATCAGCCGTATCAACAAGCACATCGATGAGGCACTCAAGGAAGCCGAAGAGGCGCTGACAAAGCAGGCGCGGCGGCAGTACGTGGAGTCCGCGAAGGACGCGCTTCAACACTTCGCCTTAAAGGCGGAGAGTGAGCTGGGGGAGCTGCCCGGCGAGATAAACAGGGATCTCTTCGTGGGCTTCAAGGGCCTCATGAAATACGTGTACGGACATTTTGATAGCCTCGAAAGCGTGAGGGAAGAGAAGGAAATTGCCGTCATATCCTCCGCCTTCCACAGCTTCTACGCCCCGGTCAACGAGTATCTCGGCAGTGAGATCCGGAGGGAGCACAGGGAGCGTGAGGGCGAAAAAAATCCCTGCTCCCCAAGTCCCAAGAGCGCTACGCTGACAGACTTAGTGCAGTTCACACGGCGCTCAGCGCTCTGCTCACCCACATAACCGGTGCGCAACGCTACGGCCATGAGGTCCGTGGTCTGCTTGACGCGCTTGACAAGGCACTCGCCGGCCTCAGGCCGGAGTGCTTCGCCAGGCCAAGCACGGCTGTGATAGACGGCGTGACGGACGGCTCAGTGCCTTCGCCGCCGAGCTGAGGAACGCGTACATCAGTGCGTACTCCGGCGCCGCGCTCACCGGTGACTTAGTCAGCAGTGAGGCCGTGAGCGAGAGAAGCGTCACAGTGTTGACACCTTATGGCGAGAATCTGTGTAAGGTGTTGCTCAGCATAGTGCCGATACTTGACAGTTCATTGACAAGGTTGAGGATGGAGTGTAAGAGCCTCGCTGGACAGCAACTCAACAAATGTACGGACCTAGGCAGCCTCCTCGGCGAGATGGGCTACAGAGTCCCAGACTACGGCGAGCAGGACGGCGAGTTGGACAGCCACGTGACCGGTAGAGGAATTACCATGCTCCTCGTCGGCGATTATAAGCGTGTCTTCAACTCTGATAAGGACACCAAAATGCGCTCGGGATTCTTCTCGATCATCTCAACGATTACTACAAGGCGTGTCACTTCAATCTTCCACGTTCGCTCAGGACGCCGTGCAACGTATATGAGATGCTCGTATGGCTGACGGGCCTCCCGCACAACTGTGTCTACGATAAGCTCTGTAAATTCACGAAACTGTGTTACAGCGAGCAGACTGAGAATAGCCTGTATGCCGCCACTTTCCCGCCGACGCCTTGGTTTCCGCCGTTGGGAGGCTCACCGCCGACTGTCCCAGCATCCTCACCAGAGTGTCGGCTCGGCAGTGCTCTGACAACCTACGCCTGCGACTTCTATAGCAACTCCATGAGACTGTATTACCCGCAGGATTTTGCGAGGAATGCCTGCACATGATGCTTCATTGTGTACGTTTATTGCTCTGCAGATCACTCAGGTTCCTGTCAAGTCAGTGCGTTCACTGCGCTCACCAGTTGGGCGGATTGCCGGTACGGCCTGAATGTCCCACCATATATGTGTGAATGTACTGATTTGTTGCCAATGAATTTCATCGTAGATTTTCTTTAGATTGACACCATAAATTTTGGGCGTCCTGCCAAGCTTCCTTTGCAACTGAATCAATTTGTCCAAAACGTCATCGTAGTCGAAGGGCTTATTCAACTTTATTCCTAACTGAAACAGTTGATCCCTGATTGCGCTGATGGCGTTAGTGATTTTTCAGGCAGTTTCAATTCGGGCAAGCTGCTGCAAAGTCGCTGACCAAATGGTTCGGCAACAAGCATCTCCCATCGCAGCTCAGCCTCGAACCCAGACCGCCGGCCACCTTGGCTGAGCACATAGGCTTCCCTGTCGCTCGTCAACGATTGGCCGACGGCAAGCTTGTGCCCAAGAATTCCTCCAACAGGCCCTCGAGGCATCCGCCAAGGACTTGTCAGCTTCCTCTACAACCAACCTGGTGACCTGAGCCACCGCCGCCTACGGCTCTGACTCCATGAAACACGGCGGCTGCAAGCACCTGCACCTGACGCATCTCAGGCACTGACGTCTGCACCAGGCACCAAGCTTCGCCTTCTCCAAGCCTCTCTGCCGCGACTCCTACGACAGCCTTGCCTACCGCCACTCAGACCTCTACCTCTCCTGGGCCGTCACCTGTGGACACTGTATGATTTATTGCTGTGCCTGTACACCGCGTTCGTGAAATCTCCTGCCGGGACTGAGCGGATGCGTGCCTTCACGAAGGCCCTGTGATCCAGACACCGGCGTCTCAACCCCAAGGCAGTCCAGCTGCCGATGCCCTTCCATCGTCCAATGCACGGGCGTGATGCTGACGCTCTACCAATACGGCCTCACCTTCAAGGACGCACCGGCCTTGATATCGCAAAACACAACTTGTTTTAGCTTCTCCACGCAGCTCTCCCAAGTCCTCCACTTGAGTATTTCAGAGATCTCTTCCACAAGTGTGATGAGTTCCTTCATCAGGATGCCCTCCTCTTCACATCACACACTCTGGCTCACCGCCACGCTCTACATCGCCCCACTCACTCCTCTACCGCATGGACGTCCTGCATATCCGCTCCACCTCCTGACTACCAGCGCCTCCCACCAACTCGACGTCAAGGCCCTGCTCTCCCGCACCTGCAGGATGCTCACTTACACCGACGTCGACTACTTGACGACGACTTTCACTCGTGACAGTAATTATCTGAGCTACATCACATTTACTTTCCTCGTGTTGCCATGTCTCATCACGTCTTCATCGTGACTGTACGCCGTGCCTTGCCCAGCACCTAACTCACTGACTAACCAAGAGGCTAACCTAGCACGTAACCAAGCACATAACCTAAGATGTAACCTACCACCTAACCCACAATTTACTAGACGCGTTGGTATATTCGTTGTTTCACGCCACCCGTGAACGTGTCCACGCTGTTGCCTAATTTCAAAACAGATGACTGCTTGCTATCTCCCACCGCTGTGCCGGGCGAGTGTCTCACACGTCCGTTACCATGTGCGTTCGCAGGCAGTGAAGTCGTTGTGACGGCCATTGTACAGCCTAGTCAAGCGGCATCTATGACCACATTGTGGCGGCCGGTAATACAGTAGTCACTGCCCTCACAGCTACACTTGTCATTTGCCTCGTCACCTATCCTCAAATGGCGAATATGAATACACTGCGTGATTACATCAATTAGCATTGGATATTAATTGAATTATCATTCCTTACAACATGGTTGCATACAATTCTAATATGTTGTAATTACATGGCGTCATTGTACCCGCACTTCTCCATATCATCCTTTACTGACTCCAGTAACACTGCACATGTTGTTTCTCCGCAGTTTCCGGCCACCTACGACATGACACCATTAGCCTCATCTAGTCCACGTAGCCATCCAGTAGCCATCTCACATTCGACGCTAATATCACCGGCGTCACCTTCTACTTCTGTTTAGGTTTAGGTTATGTCTCACGTCAGCAACATCACCAAATTGCCGCCTAACCAAACGTCTTACCTAACAGGTAATCTAGCATTTGACCAAATACCTGACCTAACGTGCCTGACCTATACAATTCAAACGGCTTACTAGCACTTAACCAAATGGCTTAGCAGCACCTCCAAACTGCTCACCACCAAGCCAAACATCTCACTCTAGCACATAACCTATGATGCAACCTACTCGCTGCTTTGTCATCTCTCCTTCTCCGTTTGTCGCTTGCCGTCACTCCCAAACGCCTTCATCCTCCTTTCAGTGGATTGAGGCTGCGGACGAAGCCGTTCAGGCTGCCAAAAAAGAAGGCGAAGATGTATATGGAGGTTGATCATAATAATAATAATAAAGCGCCTGCAGGTACTACGATTGGCCAAAATATTGAGAAAATTAAGCAAGACAAAGTTAGCCGTTGACGATCATTGAAAAGTATTCACGCAGATTTAGGTAACGAAATCCGCGCGTGACGTCCTTTCCACAGCGGTTAAGAAGGCGACGGAAGTCCATGGCAAGTTGGATCCTGAAAGTAAGTCGACGCTTGGTGGTAAAATCGGAGAAATTGAAGACGCAAAACATTATTAGCGCAAATTCACAACTGAAAACACAAGTCGACAGCCTTAGTAATTGATCTCCACCGCGGAGGACATCCGCCAAAAGGCCCAGCAAAAAAGCGGAAGAGGCTTACAGTAAGTTGACGTTCACGCTGAATTGAGCAAGAATGTCAAGAAGATTGTTGATGCTAACAGTGTATTAAAAATGTTAACAAGAGTCTGGACAAGTGTCCATGGCAATTAAGTACCTGGAATGCTGAGGCCAAGAGAGTGCTCCAAGGAGCGATTGGAAATGCCAAGGATGTTCATGATAGGTTGGATGATAATAGTGCGGAAGTTGGTCAGAAAATTAAGAGTATTGAAACAAATAATGATGCAATTAAAAGCAAATAAAACCTCGAAGAAAATGTTAAGAGTCTGGGAGCCTGGAAGTCTCAGTGGAAGATTGACAAGGCGGGAGCAGAAGTGTAATAGAATTTGGAGAAAGTTAGTCCAAAGGTCCAATTTATAAGCAAGCTGAAATATTAAAAGAGAAAGGCAAAGCTTTTTAATGCTGCTAAGTCACAAGACAGCAAGTTGAGTCTCAGGTCTCTGAGGCCTGCAGGCTGTTGTTCAAATGGACGCATCTCTCAAGAAGGATTTGAAGATGAAGGAGGAGATTAAGAAAGGGATTACAAGTGTGATTACTAAGTTGAAAGTGAAGACTTTGGATGGTTTGGTGAAACAGGATTTGGGAAGTTGAGGAGTGATTGAGGGCTTGGCAAGGATCTGGATGGCGCTGGAGAGAGTCATCATCTTGTTGGTACCCACTTAACAACGCTAAAAAAGCAAGTGAGCTGGATAAAATTTCCATAATGGTCCCACTTAATTAAAACTGAGGTGACAGTGGGCCTGACAGTAAGTTTCAGACTGCGGTCCAACATCCTTTAGGAGAAGGTAGATAATGCTGACCAGGCGATTGAGAAGCTTGGCGGGAAGTTTGATGGGCTCACAAAGCAGGATCAAAATAAACTTGAAATGATTTTTTCGCATATTAAAGAAAAGGTTGCGTATGATTAAGGGACACCGGGGAGAACCCCAATGGTAACGGTACAGAACTAGAAGGTGTTGTTCAGAGAGTAAAGGGCTTGCTAGCATTTGTTAACCCTGCCGGAAAAGGTTTTGAGGCCAGAGTGGTCGGATGGCTACAGAACAGTATTCTGGGGAATGTGTAAGCAGTCATGGGAAAGAGAATATAAGCCCGGGATGCAAGCCGTGAATACATGGCTTGAGCCGCATCAGAAGGCGGCTATGGGGGGCGGGCATAATGAACAAGCATTGAAAGATCAAGTTATAAAATAATATTAAGAGTACGCTGAGGCCAAATCAGGGAAGCTCAGCGGATGATTATGTCAGTGCAGAATGGCCCAAGTTCATTAACAATCTCACTGCCATCGTGAAGGCCTGCGAGACGTTCTGTCGAGAAACTTGATGAAAAGATTAAGAAGGATGCAATTGATAGCCCGGCAGATAGTTCCGAACATTCAGCGGTGGGCAAGCGGCAGAGCCTTCAGATTTTAATGAAGACGCTGATCTCAAGTGTGCCGTCCGCTACACTCTCCTTGCACTCTGCGCTTCTGTGAGGCAGGCTGGCATTGAGCTCAAATCATTAGGCATCGACAAGTTTTGGGAAATTTTGGACCAAACTGACTGTAGATGATCTCGACAAGCAGCTGAAAGAGGCGACTAGCCTCCTGCATCCCTCCCACCAAAATGAAAGCCCCGCTGTGGGACAGTAAGTTGCAGGCGGTGAGGGAGAAGGTTAAGGCTTGAAGAGAACTCTTAAGAAAGTCAAGCAGAATCTGGAGGCTGAGGTTGCCAAACTTCCCTCCGCCGTTGAGACTTTCAACACTAAAGCTCAAGCACAGATCAAGGCCGCAGCCCAGACGGCGATTGACAAGGCGGCAGCAGATTAGCACTACAATAACTCTTAGTGAAGATGGCCTAATGTCTGATTTCGAGAAAGCCCACAAGCAGATCAGAAATGGTCTCCCAAAACAACTTGAGCAGAAAGTTAATGACAACATTGGGGAGGATGATCAGGCAGGTGGTGGTCAAAAAGTTGAACTTGAGAAAGGAAAATTTCCGCAATATGAGAAACACGTTACACAACCCACAATCATACTCCAACCGGCGAACAAGCAAAAACGAAGGCCTCTTCCATGAAGGCGATCGGGAAGTGATGGACTGCTTGAAAAGATATTGGTCATACTGCCCAGCAGTCAGATAAAATTGATAACAATACCTTCACCGGTCCGACAAAATTCAAAGAGCTTGAAGAGATCAAGAAATTGGTTGAACAATGCGTCGTTCACGCAAGGTGATGAAACCAAAAGGTGTGAAAACGCTGCTCGAAGATCTTAAAAGAGGATTGGGAACGGCAAAATCCATGGATCACCGGTGTTAGTGGCCTGATAAGATTATATTGGCGGTTAACGATCTGCAAAAAGGGACGTTTAATAGCGAACCGCAAAATCGACATAGCCATTACAGCAATTAAGACGGAGCTTAAGAACCTTAGAGAGAAGTTGATGAAAAGAAGGATGAAGATGTAATCAAGACTCTGGAAGATTTGAAAAATTATGGTCTTGGAAATGGTGCTTTACATTTAGTACTAATAACAAATGGAAAAATGTTGGCAGTTTCAAAAGTATCCATATTGACCTTAAAAGCAAAATGAGATATTGCCAAAACAGACTGACATAATCAGCAATGCTGTCGACGCAAGTTGGAGCTTGCAAGGATAGGAATTAAGATTCAAAATATTGCCGGTACTAATGACGTCCTAGACCCGTTGGTATTATTTAAACGGAGCATTGGTAAAATGTTCGGAGGCGTGGAATATCCAAGGAATTCACGACGCAATTCAAGCTGCAATCCGGTGATTTTACTAATAAACCTCAAGCCATCGATGTCGCCAAGAAAGACATTGTTAAAGAACTCACTGCCCTCCTGTGTTGCAGTGGCGACAGCCAGGCGACGACGTCATCAAGACGCTGGAGGATCTGATGGACACCGGACTGAGTAAAGGAATGTGGATGTAAAATGTACATGGCAAAATGAAAGGCCTACAAGGCATCCAGGAAGATCTTAAAAGGCCAACAATAATATTGAGAGACAACCTGGTGAAATACTTCTTGGTGTCCAACAGATCACCGCGGAGCTTGACACGCTGCGGAGTCAGATGCTTAAAAAGGATGGCAATGAAGCAAACCAAAAAAGGTGTGATTAACAACCGATGACATGATAAAGCAGATCGGCAACAGTGACAATGACAGTGAGAGCCTCAGGAAAATGAGTGAAATTGACACCCTTAACACTGTCACAGTCCCGAAGGTGACCAGCATCTCAATGCTGTGTCAACCGATTCAGACTGGGCGTACGCCAGTTGGAAGCTCGACACATTCAATGACCAAACATAGACGTGAGCCTCAAGGAATAGAGAATGACATCATCTCCAGGTTATGCGCTAGGCGGCCATCGCCATGTGCGATAATCTTTACAGACTGCTGCAACCGCAAGCCAGCAGGTACAGTGGCGATCAACAAGCATCGATGAGGACATGGAACACAAAGAGGCGAATGTACAAAGCAGGCGCTACGGCAGTACGTGAGTCCGTGAAAGTCGTCGCTGAAGTAGTCGACGTCCTTGTAGGCGAGAGCATTCTCCTGCTGCCGGCGAGCAGCGCCTTGACGTCGACGAGGTGTGAGGCCCTGGTGGTGAGGAGGTGGGAGCGGATGCGCAGCACGTCCATGCGGTAGAGGAGTGAGTGGAGGATGTAGAGCGTGGCGATGAGCCAGAGTGCTGTGATGGCGAAGAGGCATACGGATGGTGTAGAGGAGTGGTCGATCTGGTGGAACAGTTGAGTGAAGTGGTCGGAGTGGAGTGCCTTGGTGAGTTGGTCGTTGAGGTCACTGCACCGTATCTTCTGGCTGCCGGCGAGCAGGGCGTGGGCGTTGCGGTATGTGAATCCGTAGCGGTAGAGTGTCGGCAGAGGTCCGCCACATTCGACAAGTGACGGGCAGTGGCAGGAGTCCTTGTCGTTGTGGTTGCTTGGCTGACAGAGGCACGTGGCACAGCCGTGGGCCGTGCAGTCGATGTTGTTCAAGGCGTCCAGCAGGGACTCCAGCAGCTCCCACAGCTGCCATGCCAGCCACACTATCCACGAGACATACAGCTGTGCGTGCTTCTGCGGGAAGGTGTGGTTGGCGTGCAGCGCCAGCGGCTGGAGGAAGGGGGCGCATCCACTGGGTGATTGACAAGGCGGCTCGGCGGAGAGGCTTGAGAGGGCATTGTGCCCTGAGTTGTCATGGTCGTGCCCGGCGAGTTCATTCAGGGCGTTGGTGAGATTGCTGTTCTGGTAACTGCCGTGGAGCTGCGGCCACAGCGGGAACAGCTTGTCGATGGCCTCACCGTTCAGATGCGTTAGGTAACTCTCATGGTGAGAGTACGCACGCCGGGACGATTCGTGGTTCCACATTCTCAGCAGATGACTGAACAGCGCGAACACGTCGCCGAGTGACTGCGGTGCTGAGGGGCACAGCAAGCGCAGCGTTCGGCAGAGTTGGAAGAGGCACGCGTCGGCGTCACTGCAGAGACGGCCGAGGGACTTGGAAAGTTCCCTGCCGGTGCGTCTCATGGAGGCTGCCACGCCAAGGTCCCAGAAGCCGAGCGGGGTGAGGCACTGTTGGCCTGGTAGGTTGGCAGGGCAGTCGGCACATTCGATGGCATTGTCAACTACACTGAGCTTATGCGGCAGGAGGCTGGGACAGCTGTCTGTGAGGAACGACTGCAGCGGCGATGTGGGCGGGCAGTTGTGACTTGCGTCGGTGGCCTGCTTGTTTAATGGGTTACATTGCCAGTGGGAGGACGGCACCTGCCGGCCGTAGTGGCACTCCCGCCAGCCCTTGGTTGTGGCGGTGGCACGGCAGCACTGGGCGTAGAGGAAATACAGGACGCGACACAGGCGGCATATTATCCGTCTCATCATCTCCAGCAGCTCGTCGGGGTCGGCCGGGTAGTACAGCTGTGCGGTGTTGTTGGCGAAGTCGACGGAGTAGGGATAGGCGGCGAGGTCAAAGCCGCGGCCGTGGCCCTGGATTGCGATGAGCAGCAAGTCGGCGTGTGAACACGCTTCTGCGATAGTGTAGGGTAGGCCGTTGATGCACTGTGCCATGACAGCGTCGTCCCTGTTGGGGGCATCGTTATCGTCGCACTTGCGGTTGAGCAACGCCCTGCAGTGGTCAGGCAGTTTGTCCGCCACCGGAGTGTACTGCAGGCCTGAGAGCCAAGACAACATGTCCCTCACCGTGCAGGGGTACCTGGGCGATTCGTGCACCTTAAGGTGGCAGACCTGGAGGTACCGACAAAGCATGTTATAGAAAAGCGCAACTAAGTCGACAACATTAATTCCGTTTTCCGCAGGCTTGCCGTCGATCAGCATTTTGACGCTGACATCAACTGGGGAGTTAAGCAAAGCATGAATTTGCTCACCGTTCATGTCGCCGTGGTTTTGCAACTCCCCCTCCTGGAGTCCGTCGGTGGGTGACACCTTGAAGCCGCATTTGGTGAGGTAGTTGCCCAGGCCGTTGTCCCTGTCGTCGCCGGTGAGCTTGCATATCTTATAACTTCGCCAGTCACCGCCGCATTTGTTTGCCAAGTTGTTGAGCGCCTCGTGCGTCATCGGGATCATGCTCAGCAACACCTTGGCGTACTTGTCGGCGTCCGCCTCCCGGCACTCCGCGCCCGAGTAAGTGGAGATGTACGCACCGCCGAACTCACCGGCGAAGGCACTGAGTCCCCTGCTCACGGAGTCCAGCGTGGGAGTGGAGGGCTTCTGGAAGCCCTGCGGCCTCAGCTGTGTGAGCGCGTCGGTGAGGTTGTGGAGCAGGCCTCGCAGCCTGTCGTCGAAGCCCTGCGTCACGCAGAGGTAATTGAGCAGGGCGTTGACATCGCTGTGCACGGCGTCCCACTCGGCGGCGTAGGGCTCTTCCGACTTCGGCAGTGAGGGATTCTTTTCGTCGTCACTCTGCTTCTTCAGTCTCTCAATCTCCTTACGGAGATACTCGTCGAGCGGCGCGAAGAAATTCTGGAACGCGGAGGACAATGCTCGGAGCATTCTGCTTTCCACGTTCCTGAGCCTGTTAATGTTTTCGCTGCGCTCACCCTCCATCTGCTTCATGAGGCCCTTGTAGCCCATGAAGAGATCCCTGTTTATCTCCTCAGGCAGCTCCCCCAGCTCCTCGGCCACCTTGGCGGCGAAGTGTTTCAGCGCGTCCCTGGCGGACTCCACGTAGTCCCGCCGCATCTGTTTGGTGAGCTCCGCGATTGCATTTTCAATCTCACTGTCTACGAAGCGTTCAATGTTTTCTACTTTCTCCCATTTTATGTAATCGGCGTTGGTGAGGAACTTGTCGCACATGGCGATGGCCGCCTGGAGGTCACCGGTGCGGAGGGTGTCAATTTGTGTCTTGATTTTTGCGAGGTCTTTGTCGATGTTATTCTCTTTGAAAAGCCCCAACTGCCAGTCGACACTGCCGGCTTCGCTCGCAATCTTGGCGCACAGTTCACCAAGGAATTTGTTGATGTCAGGGACTGTATCCCTGTTGAGCTCTTCAATCTCTTTCTTGATTTTCTTGAGGCAATCCTTATCGTCATCATTTGTTCCAATCTTCTCTATCATGAAATCCATATTCCTTATCACGCCTCTTTTTTCTGCATTTTCGCCTTCCTCACCCTGCAACTCACTCCTCAGATCGTCAAGCTCCTTGGTGATCTGGTCGACGCCACCGCCGATTGCCGGATGCTGTTGGGACAATGTAGTTTGTTGAGTGTGAAGGTTATTTTTAATATTTTCAAGGCCCTTAGTTCCCTGCCAACTTGCCTCATTACTCAGCCCCGTGGTCATCAAATTGGTCAGCGCCTTGATGACCTCACTGCCCAGCGCGCTCATCTGCGCTTTGAGTTCCGCTTTGATTGCTGCGTTGGCTGCTTGGATGTTTTGCGGCTTTTGAGTAAACTCACCGGATTGCAGTCCACTTATCACGTTATAAATTACTTGCAAGCCTCCTTTTCCACCTTTATCAATCTCACTTTTTAATTTTTGCAATTGATCCATGATGTCATCGGGGACGAAGTCATGGTCCAACTTGAATCCAAGATATCTAAGTTGCAACTGAATTTTTCTTACAGCATCTCCAATAATCTTGTTTTGCTCGCCCAGTTGCTTATTCTGCTCCTGAAGTCCCTGCTGGATTTTCCCAAGGCCACTGAGAGGTTGACCTTTACCGTTCGGTGTCCATTGTTTACCATTCTTGCCGTCGAGACCAACAGTTTGCAAATCTTCTAGAACGTTTATCACGCCATCCTTAGGATCACCGTTCTCTTTCTTCAACTTCCCTCTAAGCTCTTTAAGCTGCAACTTGATTGCTTCGACGGCTGTGCCAATTTCTTTGGGTCCGCTGGTAAACGGATTTGATTGCAGATCGTTAATCACCGATTGGATTTGTTCTAGACCCTTAGTAAAGCCATTCCAAAGGGCGTTACCATTTTTATTACTAAGCGCATTTTTTAGTTCAGCCAACCATTGCTTGATGCCATTTTGCTTATCACCGACGTGGTAGGTTGGCGGCGTGCCCTTTGTATTATCAACCAACCCGGCGATCGCTTCAACCTGATTCTTAATTTGGCCGAACGGAACGGTGAATGTTTTGTCATCTATCTTATTTTTGTCCAGGGTGCTGTCACCTAATGTATTTTCAAGCTCTTCAAACACCTTAGTCTTGATGTTCCCGATCGCCGCTGGAAGAAGACCTTCGTCTTGCTTGCCTTTTAAGCCGCCTGCAGCAGGCACTTTTTCTGGCACAACATGTCCTCTGTAAAGCGTAAATAATTGTGGAAGCGTGACTTTATCTGGTTGAACAGCCACGCCACCTGTACCACCTGTCTGATCATACTTCCCAATGTGCGTATCAAGCAGGGCTTGAAGGTCCTTTGGAAGCTTCTGTTTGATATTATTGTGGGCTTCGTAAAACGTCGACATTGGACCACTCTTCTCAAGTTTTACTTCACCACTTGGATCCTCACTAATTATTTTAGCCGCCTTGCTAATCGCCGTCTTGGCGGCTTCCTTGATCTGGTCTTCGGCGGCAGTGTTGAAAGTGTCAACGGCGTTGGGAAGTAGGCCAACTGCATTTTGAAGATCTTGTTTGACAGCAGTAAATTTGCGGGGAAGCCCCGTAACCTCATCCCTCACCGCCTGCAACTTACTGTCCACGGCCTTTGCTGTGCCATCTTGATTGGAAGGGAAATTGTTTGTCGCCTGTTCAAGATTACTATATAGCCCATCAACAACCGGCTTTATAGCGTCCAGGATTTTGCCAAACTTGTCGGTACCTAGTGAATTTATTTCCGTGGATACCTGCCTCACAGAAGCGCAGAGCGCGACCAGAATGTATTTGACGGCGGTGTTGAGATTGTCGTCTTGATTAAAATTCTGAAGACTCTGCCGCGATGCCCAACTCTTAATGTTCGGAACTATCTGCTGAACAAGGTGATCAATTTGCGTTTTCGCGATCTTCTTGTCAAGCTCCTTGACAAACGTTTCGCAAGCGCTTACGATAGCAGTGAGATTTTCTTTAATGCCCTCTTTCACTGCACCAATCTTCCCTTGCGCTGCACCAATTTGGCTGTTAAGTGCAGCCATAATATGATTCTTAACTTGATCTCTCAACGCCTGTTCACCAGGCCCTCCCTTCTTAGCCGCATCCTTATACTGCTGAAGCCAAGAGTTCACGGCTGCTAACCCAGCCTTATATCCAGTTTCCCTTGGCCCCTTCCCATTCCCTATTATAGCTTCAAGCCATCCGCCTACTCTGGCATTGAAACCTTTTCTGCCAGGGTTAACAAATGCCCTAGCAAGCGCCTTCACTTTCGCAACAATTCCATCCAGACCTTTTTGGTCTCTTTCACTCCCCTTAATCTCCGCAACCTTATCTTTAATATGCTCGAAAATCATATCAAGTTTCTTTTCATTTCCGCCACTCAACTCAAACCTCTCACCAAGCTCCCCAATCGCCTGGGTAACTGCTTGGACTTTACTGTTGAGCGGAGTCTTGATATGCTTACCAAAATTCTGTTCGAGTTGCTGAGTCTCCTCCGTAATTTTTTTAGTATCCTGATTAAACTTTTCCTTTGGCTCTTGCAGCAGTTTAAACTGGTCACCAACGATATTACTCTTAGGATCTGGCTGCTCATTAACCTGTCATGTAAGCCCCTCAATCCTCCCCCTCAACGTCCTCAAATCATTCTTCACCAAAGTATCCAATTCCTTAACTTGCAACGTCTTAATCACATGGTCTATTCCTATCTTAATATCATCTTTCACTTTCTTCAAATCCGTCTTGAGAGATTTGTCCATTTGCACAATAGCCTGCAACGCCTCAGTGACATTCTGCTCAACAGTCTTCTTCGCCTTCTGCGCCGCAGTCAAAAGTGTTTTACCCTTCTCCTGTAACATATTAGCATTCTCATGAATTTCACCTGATGTCTTAACTTTGTCCAAAATTTTGCCACACTTCTTGTCCGCCTTGGTAATAACCTCCTGGGCCGCAGACTTCCACTTACCTAAGTTGGTTACTTCGGTGACAAGTTGTGAGTTTGCAGATTCAATTTGTTCTCCAGCTGAGCTAATATT